AAGTACAAGTAAAAGTACGTACTTTTTACTTGTACCGGTGGAACAAGTAACGAAAGTAAAAGTACTGCCATATATGGCAATAACGCAGTACTTTATTCTGTTATTAAGACAAAATTTATCAACTGATCTTTAAAAGCATTAAAAAGTTAAAAATAGAACTTTTTTTCCACTTATTTTGAAATAGTCTATCAAATTAAAATGATTAAAAGCTTCTAACAAATCAAAAAGTATATATCTTGTTAAGATATTTTCAATCATATTTATAAATACTTTAACCTCTGATCAAATAAATTTGAAAAGTGATCCTAATGAATGGAAATCATTAGACACACACACACTTATTCATTTTGAAAAATATTTTATTCATTTTAAAACAGCATGAAATATCTGATATATATACAAATAAAGTGATGATAACCTGAGACTGTTTGATTAAATAAAGCTGCAAATATAAATGAAGGAGTCCTTTGTAGAAATGAAATTAAATGATTCTTAGAAAGGATCCCATTTTAAATAAATTTGATTACATTCTGCATAAATTAGATGCAGTTTATTTGCATTGTTCTGATATCGCAAGCAAGTTATTTATGTTTTGCTTTAAATTATCTGTGGATAGAAGAGTTAATAATTTGCCTAAATAGAATTTGATATGTCTTAATAGTGCCAAAGGTATATGAAGATCCAAACTTTTGACCTCTCTCCTAACTAAACTGTTGTGGCCATATTTTTCAGATTGCGGCTATCTCCCATATTTTGAAGGTGAAAATCCCAATCTGCCAAAAACAATGGTATGTGTATTGGAAGATACTTATTTGTGTCTAAAATTAATTATTATATTAAAAGTTTAAACAATTACCATTTCATGAATGTGAACCTATGAGCCATTAAGATTGCATGTGAAAATCAGATCGTTAAATCAAAAATGTACTGCTCTTCTTACTTGATGCAATGTACATTAAAAGAAATTTCACCTCTCATGTGATAACAGAGTTAACTAAGATATATGGGGGGGTGCATGCAACTTTCTTAAGGAAGCAGGGGAGGAGATTCGTGATTTGCTTATTTTTGCTGACTGAGGGATAATCCAAAATTGCAAAGAAAAAAAATTGCTATCGTAATATATGAACGCACAAAAGGCATGATTAGAAATTATAAATGGATCATAATGATATGCTCATGAGAGCATTTTTATGAATTCGAGTAATGCAATAATTTGTAATATTGAAAAACAAATGCTGATTGGAAATTTTATTCAATCATCTCATCGACGCTGCACCGGTGAACCCTCACTGACAAAGGTCTGATTTTGGTGTTATGTTTAGCGACAAAAACATGTACAAAAAACGTCTGAATACATAAATTCATTAAAATTTAAAGAATGAAAAGTTATTAAATGATGTGCATACAATTATTACAGCTCAGTAATCGAAATACTTCTTATGAGGCATCTTATCAATGTTCCACACCGTTTTTCAAAAAAGGATATATCATATGATGTGTGAAGTATCACTTTTAACTCAAATGTAATAACTAATATTCATGTTGTTGTTGTCTTGTCGATCTAGTCTATTTTAATGCTAAATGTATTCCAAAATTTTGGAAGGTGAGTTTTACGAGTTCCCATGCCTGAGAACTATATAGTATGTCATCTGATGAAATATTCTTGTATTTTTTTTAAAAAAGCTTTATAAATGCATTTTAACTTGTTTTATAAGTTTTACCATAAAAAGGTTTAAATTCGTATTATGTTTAAATGTTACCTTACATAATAGTTTATTGTACACACAGAAACATTCGTAATTTGTACCTTATGAGTGACAGATGTAGTTGTAAATAGGAGAGGCTCCCGTTATCTCCAGTAATAACCTAGAGTCTCATTAAGTTTAAATTCTGCATTTGACTAATGTTATTGCATATACTTTAGTATATTATATATTTTAGTACATACAATGTATGTATATGTTACTGCTAATGACCAAAATGGGGGCTGTCGACTTCCACTGGAGAATGTTGACAATTACATAGTCGCTTTGGNCCTTAGTGACAGATGTAGTTGTAAATATGAGAGGCTCTGCATTTGACTAATGTTATTGCATATACTTTAGTATATTATATATTTTAGTACATACAATGTATGTATATGTTACTGCTAATGACCAAAATGGGGGCTGTCGACTTCCACTGGAGAATGTTGACAATTACATAGTCGCTTTGGTAAATGTCCGAAACAGATACTAGGTCTAGTTAAGTGCCACTGCTCGGTATACATTTGCCCGGTATGCCCTTCATCAATGTTTTTAAGGTCAAATGCCACTGCCCAGTATACATTTAACCGGTACTCCGAACACTGATGTTTCTCCTAATCTATCCTCAGCTGATATTAAAATATAGATTAAATATAATAATATTAATGTTTAAATTAATATCAAATCGGATGTAACACATATTTCGGACATTCACCAAAGCGACTGTGATTGTTGACGTTCTCCTGTGAAAGTCAACATTCTCTTGATTTCGATCATTGGCGGTAACATATATACTATATTAATTTCATATATACCTATATCGCAGAGTATTTCCTGTCTGAAAAAAATACTAGTGATAGAAATGAATAAAATTATGTACACATTAAAAATTCAGAAGATGGATGCTTTTGACAAAATTCCCCTTCATTTCTGTTGGCACATTCAAAATTCTCAGAAACACAATCAACATTAAAAATCTTCGAGTCACTGATTGAGAAATTTTTGACCTGAAAAAAAAGATTGCATTATTTTTCTCAGATAAAATCTCTACTTATTGAACTAAATAAATTTGCTGACATTTGTTTCAGCTTATTGATTATTTTTGTGTAACTTCTGATTGTACGGAGGGATTCATATTAAACTGACAGTATTCAAGAAACTGCAGTTCCAAATTTACTGAACCGACGGCATCTAGGTTAGTAAGGGGTGGGATAGGGAAGTTTATGCAACAGAAATATTTCATTAGATCCTGGGGAAATACTTGAATATTTCACATTTTATTTTAAGGATGGTATAAGAGAAGGCTTAAAATGTATAAAAAATTTCACTTTATCCCTGTTGTGAATTAGGCGAATCTTTACCCCCTTTTGCAGTTTTTTAAGATCAGATCGCTTATTGTATATTACGTTATTTTAGTCTGGCCTTGTATAAATGACTGTACTTTATTTTAGGGTAAAAAATTTTAAATATCGATGGTATACATTCTGTGAAATCTTTCGTTTATAAATTCATCAATGTGACCACACATCAAAAGACCGAATAACCACCTTCTGCAGAGCGGACCACCGCGAGACTTTCAGGAAGAGAGTCAATTAGATTCTTGAAAATGTTCAGTCATTGCGACTCCAGTGCTGATGAGAGCTGCGGTAGGTTTAAGTCTGGGGAGTTTGGTGGTCAGGGGAGGTAATTGGTCAGGGGCATCTGCAGCGGAGGCTCATACGCAGCAACGTTAGTTGAGAGGACACTCAGGGGTGTTTGTATTCCGGGTGTTTCGTATCATCCTTCCAGGTCTAGGAGCCGGGCATGTAATTTTTACGCGAATTCCACGTATTTCAAAACCATTGATTTGCTGACTTACGCGAATCAAAACGTATAATACGGCGAAATGTTCACTTACTTCCACAATCTAAAATTCAAGTTTTTAAACTTTCGCTAAAACGCGTTAACGATACGTTTACCTACATGTGATTCTTCCGCCAATTTGATTTTTTTTTTAGTTTGTCTGATTTTTACAGTTTTTAACAATTTAAACTACTCCAGAATCCGCTACTATCGCGATTCGAATTCACATGATTTTAATATCAAACTTCGATTTTCGTATTTACCTGATTTAAAAGTTGCACATTGTAAATCTTATTCACGCGAATAAAAAATCGTTCGTTGCAATTCGTATTCACATGACTTAAAAATTTAATATCACAATTTGTGTTTACGCATTTTTAAAAATCAATATTGTGATTCGTAATCACGCTTTTTTAAAATTCAATGTTATTTGTAACTTCGCTTTCTTAAAATCCAATATTGCGATTCATATTCACATGATTTTAAAATCCAACATCTCGACTCTTGTAGGAACTAAGTTTGTTTTGTTTTTTAAATTAGCTGCTAAAGAGATGTGATATTCTTCATTGATAGGGTAATTTAAATACAAATCTTAGTTCAAAAAATTATATTAAACACTTATAGTATATAAATTGATATCGAGTGTATTCACCAAAACTTTTCAGGCCTTTTCACTTCGTGTCACAATCACTGTTGGTAGCCCCTTCCTTGGTTCATCTGAGCGATGGCACGTCTCGCTTACCTCTGTTTTCTATGGCCCGTGGTGCACCACATTTGCACCGTCTCTGATTTTCGATAGTGCCATGCGCAGTATGTATCACTATGGTGGCCCACAAACTATTTGCGAAATTAGCCGTTTTGGAAATGATTCAATGATTCCACCCTTGCCCTGAAAGCCAATGGTCATTCCCCTTTGGACGTCAGATAAATCTCTCCGTTTCTGCATTACGCCAGCGATTGCAATGTTGATTTTCCTTTCAGAAATATGACCGAAAATTTTAATAAGAAATATTTTATATATGACCGGAATCAAGAGAATGAAGCCTTTCATCGGTAAATGTCGACAATCACATAATCGCTTTTTGAATATCCGAATTATTTGTTATATCAGAATCGGTATTAATTCATTCGTTGATGTTAGTATATTTATTCGATATTTTAATATCTGCTAAGGATAGATTAAGAGAAATATAAGTGTTCTGAGTACCGGTTAAATGCATGCTGGACAGAGGCATTTGGCCTTAAAAAACATTGAAGTAGGGCATACCGGGTAGTGGCACTAAACCTTAAAGAAAAACATCAGTGTTGGGTATACCGGTCAGTGTCATTTAACTAGACGTAGTATATATTTCGGACATTTACCGAAGTGACTATGTAATGGTCAACATCCCCCGATTTCGGTCAGTCACAGTTAACATATACACTTCATTGCAATGTGCTACCACCTGCCTGTTGTGATTGGTTATTTCACGTTGACGTTGGAAGTAGGTGGTAATCACATTAATGTGACTGGGCAGTGTAAAATTTGATTTGGTTTGTATACATTCTTTAGTTCTAGGAATTTAGATCCGGTATAAAACTATTTTTTTCCGTATTTCGGTGCTCAACAATTTTAAGTCCTTTATTCTATCATGAATTCATATAAAACTTTAAGATACTGTTTAAGAAAATAAAGAAAACCTAGTAAAAGATCAAATTCACTTTTAAAATAAATTAGGTTGAATTGGTGAGTAACGTCGTTCAATACATTAAAAATAAATTAATATAGATTTAAGTCCCAATGTTTATAAAAACTCACCGAAATCTTCTCACTCTTTTAATAGTTCCGATCAGGAATGAAGTAATGAGATGGTGAAGGTATGAACTGATTCATATCAGCAGGAATCGGAGCTCTCAAGCCCTAGAGGAAAATATCACCAATTATACACTCATTAAATAAACTAGTTGTCTCACGATTAAGTGTGCCATACCTCCCCTCTCCGTTACCGTGGTTTCGGTGAATCTTAAGTCTTTTATCTGTAAATACCACCCTCTTAAGGAACCCAATCGCCAAATCCATGGTAACGAAAAAGGGAAAGTGTGAAACACATAACCTAAAGGCGTCCATTTTACTCTGTCTAGAATTTTTTTTTTTTAAATTGCATATTTTCTTGAATTTCCTGATACCAATGAGTGAAATGTAAAACTACTGCTTCAAACAAAGATGTAAATTTTGTGTAATACATAAACGTATGCGTGGACGGAGCTAGTTGAGCAATAGACTTTATAAGCGCAAATAGCAGAATCTTCCCTTCCTTCACTCTCACATCTTCTTGCTTTTTCTTAAAATTTAATTTCAAACAGCAAAATCGTGTAACCACCAACGTTTAGATAATGGAATGAGTCGGCAAATTGTGGGGAGATTTGAAGCTTCTCAAATCTAGATGTGTAATTGCCATCGTCGTGTGAAATTTATGAAAACAATTTCAAGATTCCGAATCTACCGGGAGAAATTGTGGCTTATAAGTCGGCCAACGAAGATAGGTATTTGTCGATTACAGCGAGGCGTATGCAACCACTGGAAGTCAAAGTTCAAGGGTTAGTCTTTCCAGAGAACTTCATGAGAGAGGGCTGTTAGCAAGAAGATCTGCTAACAAAAAAGACCGTTTAAGATGGTGCAGAGCATGTATATAGGCCGAGTATTCTCTTCACTGATGAGTCCCGCTTCAGCCTGGCCACTGGCTCTCGGAGCGTACTTTCATACGGAGAGGACCAGGCCTCTGCCCTCTAATGTCCAAAAAATTGCACATTATGGAGACTAAGGTTTGTTGGTCTGGGTAGGCAAAACGCTGGATTCCCGCATATCTTTTGAAGAGGTACTAGTATGAGGTCTTGGAGCATTTTCAGAGGTGCAGTGGTAGAATGCAACATCCCACAGAGCACTTCTGGTCGACCATTTTCTGGAAAATGAAGTAATATCTTTTTGTGTGTGTGTACTGTACAAAATAACAGTGTTTAACTGAAAATGGAGCCGAAAAGCAAGTTGCGGATCATTAAAAAAAAAATTAGCAGAAAATAAATTTTAATAAAAATCTATTCAAATGAAAAAAATTTAAAATGTACGTATAAAAAGATCAAAGGATTTTGATCAATAGTAAATTATTAAGCAAAATATTTATGTGACTCATCGGGAAAAATAAAAATAAATATTCTAAAAAAATTTTACAAAAATAAAGATATGTAATGCTGTTAAGTTTTAGTAAACTCAGTTTTTCTTTTCATTTGACTTATTCATTGTAGTTTGTAACTCTAGACCAGAGGTCGCCAAAGTGGTCTATATAGACCCCCAGGGGTCTATTTAACAAAAGCGGGGGTCGAATGGGGGTCGATCCGAATCCGAGGGGTAAATCGGTAAATTCAATCTTAACTAGGTACAGTTTCAAATTAAATGTGGAGTTTCGAGGGGATTTAAGATTAAAATTGACCAATTTTGTTATTAAATTAATATTAAGGTATTTAAATATCAACATTAATATATTTTTTATAAAACTATTGTTACACAATGTACTATTACTCTAAAAAATGCTTGAAATTATAAAATAAATGTACAAACACAGTATCTAATAGAGTTTTATTTTAATTAACAGAAAATTAGTTTTATGGGGGTCGATGGAGATTTCGAAAAATTACATTGGGGTCTATGATCAAAAAAGTTTGGCGACCCATGCTCTAGACGAAATTCTAATTTGCATTTAATTATCATTTTTGAATTGGTAAATTAAACAGAATTTGTAAAATACAGAAAATTATATATTTTCCTGAAAAGGTATGAAACAAGAGATAAAATGAGTGTTACTTACAGTCGGAGGATGGCAATGGAAAGTTTGCTGAGGAAGATATGCTGGATAGAACAGGTTCGCCTGAAAAGATACATTTTCAGCTCTCCTTTGCAACTGCAGCAATTTAATACAAAGTGAACATTTTATTTTATAACCGTCGTTGAACAGCCGACCCAATTTTTGGGTTTACAACTACTAATGTCCAACTTCGTAGCCTTGTGATTTTGAACCCAATCCAGGAAATAAGGGATCCCTCCTGGATTAAGAATTGGGAGAAATTTGCCCTCCTGGAGAGCTTTTTGATGGAACTAACCTACATTTGCGTTATATGGAGAGGAAAATCTCTTATCTTATTTTTTAATACATGATCTTATTTTTTAATACATTATCTTAAATTTAGTGACTACAATCAACATATTAGCTGATCGAATCAATCACTTTTAAAACTATAATACTGAGAATCAAATGGTTTAAAACATTATTATAAAGGAAGGAAAAGAACACATCATTTATTTATTTTTTATATCTAAAGAGTCACGTTGTTACCAATTTGTAAATATGTGGATAATTTTGCAAACATTATTTTGTTATTAGACTAAATATCTTAGTTGGACCCTAAATAAAAAGTTTAATTAGAAAAATTGCTAGGAAGTCGCGTAGTTCTACCTTAATTTCGAGAGAAAATAGCGCCTAATGTATTTCTTATAGAAGACTCCGTTTGGCGACATTGTTGCCGACTTGGCGATAATCTTGGAGATATTTGGTGACCAAACAATAGGTTAACTTTGAGTTTCAAAGCGATAGGCCCAATATTTACGGAGTTATGTGAGAATCGTCTAGAATCATGTCGAAAGTTCTGGGGTTTCGTCGCCAATTCTATATAAAAAGAAGTTTGAAAGGCAGAGAGTGTTAGTCTGCTTGTGACTGTAGTTGTGTTCTGACTTGAGCTAGCTCATTGACTCGTCTGAGATTGTGAAACCTTCGTTTCGTTAAGTACTACAATTTCATTGAGTGCTAGAAATAGTTATATTTTCTGGAAGATTCTGCTAATTAACTTTTGGAGTCTTAATTACTGTTTTTATTCCTCTCCAATCGAAACGAACCCATTTGCTCGGAATAATATCAATAAATACATCTAAAAATTAAATGAGAGAAACAAGATTTTTGAAATTTAACGATCTAGAAACTGTTAATGAGCACAAGGTAAATTGCGGATAACTCTTGATTCCACCCTTTAACGAATCACCCTTGTTAATCTTCAGAATAGCTAGGTTAAGTGCGTGTTAACGACGGCTTTAGAGGTAACATGCATGCGCTTTCAAGTGATTAAAATTCTAATGAATCTTCCTTGTGATGACTCACCTGAGGATAAACGTTCTCTGGTGATCCAAAAAATGTTGGATACGAAAGAGGAATTCCACCACCCGGATACAGTATGGTCCCACTCGACACAGTTGTGGCTGCTGCTGCTGCGGGTTCTGCTGAAATCATGAAAGAAAGGGCATACAAAATACTGATGACATTTTATTTTAATCTTAAAGTAAAATAGAATTCTTACTTACCATAAACACGAGCAAACGGCTGAAAAATAAAATATAAAAAGTATTAAACAAAACTAATTTTGACTCAATGAAATAAATGAAGTGCTTAATGCGAAATAGTTTTAAACCACAGTTAGGTATATTTTATTTTATAAGCTGGCGTTGAACAACAGATACAGTTTTGGGCTTACGATTATCAATGTTCAACTCAGTAATCTCTAATTTTGAACCAAAACAGGAAGAAAAAAGAATTCTTAGATCAAACATTACGGCAAATTATCTTCGTGGAGGTCTTTCTGGTGGATTTAACCAGCATAGTGAAGAAACCTTCGAAAACCTCCCATGGTTAGTCCGACGGCAAGGGGATTCCAACCCATGATCCGTCTATCTCAAAGGTTATTTTTACGTTGGCTTTATGATGAAGTTATTCTAATATGGTTAAGTTAAGTTACTCTCTTAAGCTTACATCTTTTTATTTGATTTAATCGCAAAACTAGGTTACTAAAATAAATTTCAAAGTCAAAGCAAAAACCTAGGTGGTGTTCCAACTTTCATACATGAGCATGAAAATGAGTTTAGGATTTGCTTATTTTTTCTGACAAAGGGGGTGCGAGAGTCCACAACTGCCATAAATATGCTTACGTAATATTTGAACGCCCCTAATGGAAAAATCTTTTCCCCCGAGTCCCCGTGGCTCAAGGTATAAATTGGAGTAAAGTGCTGGGGGGGGGGGCTTAGGGATTAAAGTATTCGCTTTCTAAATAAGGCTAGACAATTCGAATGCTCCTACAGGCTAGCACCGGCCCAAATGCTGAATAATAAACAAATTGTGAAATATTGAGTATGCTAGGTTAAATGTGAGATGTCTTTGTGGTTTTCCTTCCCATGGATGGGGAACTGAATGTAAATAATAACCAAAATCAAAACAGAATTTTAAAAACTTCCGATGTATCTCTCGACTTATGTTAAATTTACGAGATGATGTCAGAGGAGGATTTATAATCTAGGAAATTTTATGATCGTGATTAAATTTGCACTCAATTTTACCATTCATAATATTTTTCAGTGTTTTACGAATTTTTAAAGGACGTCAGTCATCGATCGATTTAAGGACATTAACACAACGGCATAAATAAAGTAAAGGTTCCCATGTTTTGAGAGGCATCTTTAGTTTTTCATGCCTTCAGCTAAAGTTAAATGAATTTACTCAATGTAGGGTAAATAATAGTCATAGAATAAATAGTACAATAACAGCGTGTTTTTTCAGTTTCGGTGTGTAAATGAATCGGTAGTAGCAACCTGGAAGTCTTATTACGAATTTTAACCACTAGCGCAGCCTGTGATGAGCTTTATGGATGATTGACCGTGTAAAACTAAACACAGATGGCGCTAGAGGTTAAAAGTCGTTGCAAAACTTCCAGCTCACTACTTCCGATAGAATTTTACGTCTAGCTCTGAGAAAGCGCGCCATCCAATAATATTACACTTGTAGTGTTTGCAATACAATGCGTTCTTTCATTTTAAATTATAACGAGACAAGGAAATAAATTAGTAAAACTCCGCAAGCACGCTTTGATACTATCCAAGAAATAAGAAACGGCTATTTTTTCAAACAAATATAGCCAGCTAAGAGATAACACACTAACCATGGCAAATCTTACTCTTTATTTATGCTGCGATATTGATTTTCTTAAATTTATTTTAAGTTCATGAATCAGTTAGAATTTATAAGTCACAGAAAACTCTTGTGAACAGTAAAATCACAATAACAAAACTTCCTGGAACAGGGATGGCGAACCAGTGGCACGCGTGCCATTTATAGTACGTGGCACAATATTTTGGGCACCCCACCAATCGCAATTGTTATTGCACTATAAATTGTTATTACAGAAATGTTATTACATTATGAAGCATATGTAGCAATTAAATTAAAAATCACAAAAACAAACAAAATAATAAACAACTATTAATAAAAAAAATAACAATTAATGCTAAAAAACTATTANTAGCATTGTAAACATAAGTAATAAGTAATCAAATACATTGTTTGCAAGAATCTCAAAACACAATGATGCCAAATGGCTTTAAAATACAACTGAAACAGTAACCCAGAAATTTAGGCAGTCCCGAGCTTGCAGCGTTCCCTAGTGTAGAAAACACCATCCACAACCATAAAAAAAAAAACAAGTTAACAATAAGTAACTAGCAAAAAAAATTAACAGTCTTGCTTAAACTAACATCTTACAACCTAATATAAGTTATTTGTTATCTAATCTGCAGCAACTGAAGTCACACTGGTGTTACTTTAAGTTGAATTACGCCTATAACTGTTCAATGTAAATAGTTTTGAGTTGATATTATTTAGTATTATTATTTTCCCAATAATTCACGAAGTCAAAATTACTTGACGGCACGTCTATGACATCATTAAACAGTTTTTTTCGAAAAAATGGCACGTAGGTGTATAAAGGTTCGCCACCCCTGTCCTAGAATATTAAGCCTGTTCACACATAGCCTCGTAACCATAACATAAGTGGAGTGACACACAGGAAGTTTTCTAAATTTCTTCCTGTTTTATAAAGCTTGTTATTGTTTACATTCAGTCAACTATCCATACGATTCTTCAACAAAAATAACAAATGTCACTTAATATGTCCTCCACGGACGCGACTTGGTCCCAATGCTTGATTTGATTTGAGTTTAAAATAACAAGGCTACGAGCTTGAACATTAATATCGAATACATAGAGGTAAATTTGATATAAATCGGGATATAATAATGTACAAAATAAAAAAGTAAAGAAATATTTCAAACTTAATAAGTAATATATACGTTTTTGTTGATGTTATTTTATTTTCCTGAGTTATGGATTATATTCATTCAAAACAACTAAATTTAAATAAATTATAAATTTCATGAATTTTTAACTACGTTTTTGTTTCCTAATTTTCGTGTCTATTAGGGTAGAATGTCAAACTCAAAATTCGAATCCTTTCCCAACTATCTTGAGTACTTAAAAATCAAGCAAAAGCCCCGTTGCCTAAATCAATGCAAGTTGGGATTGAGGTGTGATATAAACAGAGTTTATCGCCACTGTAAACCGCCAATCAAAAAGTCAAACAATTAATGACTCGCTAGAGTACTCAAAAGAAAAACATAGTTAATTCTAAAAACTGTATAAATTATTCAATAAATAATTACCACCCTTAGTATATATTTTTTTTTTTTAAAAACTTAAGTAAAAAATTAAACACAATTTTAGTCTAAAAATTTAAAACCAGTTTGATTGTCTGATAAGATTTGAAGAGGTTTCTAATACTCTTTTCCTGGCAATCAGACTGCCGTTGATGTTTTCCTCAGTTGTAATTTATTATATTTCAATAGCGTTTATGTGTTTACCTCCCTTAAATATTAATTTACAATACCTAATGTGTGTATTTTTTGATATACGTTAAATCCTTTTTAAAGTTATTAATAATTGACCAATGCAAAAATAAAATAGTTAAAATAAAATAATTAGAATGAATGAATTAAAATGAAAAATTTATATGTATTAAAGAAAGTTGGAATGGAACTTAAATAATAAGCTCTCTTATAATGTAAATATAAAAATTAAAATAATTGTATAACAATATTCTAACTTTAATGTCTCCTTTTTTCTTGTAAGTTTTATATTAGGTATTATCCTTTAACAGTTTGATTAAGGGAAGAAAGAAATGTGTGACAAGCTAAAGAAATAGATAAAATTTAATAATAATTATATTCCTTTAACCATTTACTCTAAAACATTGCCTTTTATCACATATTTCCAAATGTTATTTATTTAATTTGTTCTAGCAGGATTTTTTAAAACTTATTTTTGAAATGGACTCACCTGCTTTTTAATAGCTGGAGCTATATTTAGTTTCCGGTCTTTGAATATAACTGCTGCCTATGGAAAAAAAAATAACAATGATTATGCAATGACTTCGTTTGATTGGACTGTAAAAAACAATATAAAAAACAACTGTAGTTGAAAAGTACTAAGAAAACAGACGAAAAATATCCATCAACGATATTCGATAGAAATGCTGCAGAAGAAGTGGGCGCTGCGTTAAGCTGAGGGAACCACATTATTTCATGTTGCCCTGTTTCAAAATTAGTTATAAAGTTATGAACATATGGCGCGCTGCTAAGTGAGAGAAAAAAAACTGTATAAGTATGTTCTCAAAACATCCACCATTTGCAATAATCACTCGGATTCGAAATATTCCAGCTAGTTTGAATGCAGCAAATTATTATTTTTTAGACAGAAATGCCATCTGTTATTCAAATTTCGTTATCGTTTGAAATGCAGTAAGTCTGCTATAGCGAGAATTCACAATCATAGATGGAAATATCGTAGAATTTTTATGATACATATTTTTGATACTTTTTTTGGTTATATTGTATTAATTTAGATCAAAATATGTGAATTATCATTTTAAATAATTTATGATAATGAAATATAGCATGAAACACCGGTTTCTTTTTCTGCTCTAAAAGCAAAATCTTCCAAACACGGCTCAGTTCCAAGCAATGATTTTTCAAATTTGCTGTTTTTTAGACCTAAGAGAAACAATTATTCATCATTGAAATTCCCTTAATTTACAAAATCAATTATTGGTAAATTGCTTTTATTTTCAAACGACCTTTACTTAAGAAAATTTTTCGTATATCTGTCCACTCAACAATGTATAATTTATTTAATATTTCGTTTATATACGTATATATATACGTTTATAAATACGTATATATATACGTTTATATATGTATTAGTATCAACCGGGTTCGAATTATCTGCACCTCCCAAAATGTCATTTAAGAATTCGACCTGCAATTTTCAACTTCATGATTTTGAATTGTTTTGAAATGAAAATAAAATGAATGAAAGAAATCGTTTTAAAATTGTAAATTATTTATCTCTCATTTAACAGCTTTTTTAAATTCTGTTCGCTGCGACATTTGAAATCAAGAATTTTCCCATCGGTTAGCCTTTATTTCCTCCTCAGGGGAGATGAGCAAGGGATGATTTGGTAGAAGCTTTTACCTGTCATAGAAATTTTAAAGCTTGCTTGAAATTAATATTTTTTCTTTTTAGAATTCAGACGCAAAAATTAACTGCCTTAATAACTTTTTTTAATTGTAAATTTAATAACACAAATATTAAGGGAAAAATTGTAATCTTGGAAGGGCTGCGCTCTCTTACTTATAAAATGTGAGAGGGCTAAAACTTCTCTGCCCACCTTCCGGTTCTGCGGTGCATAAAATTTCTCTTTTCTTTTCGATTTTCACAGCTACAAATGAACACTTTTTTTAAAATGCCGGGGATTGGCCAAAAAAAGTTCTATCATTTAGGGTTCCATAGCCGAAAAAAATTGGGAACCGTGGTTTATTGTATCTCGCACTCCTGAGTTATAATTAAATAGGAAGGAAATTGTATCTGACAGCAATGCAATACTTGCTACGCCCAACCCAGTATTGATAATTACTACCAGAATGCGATGGGAAACCTACAAGTGACATAGTGTGGGTATCTCGATCCTGATTGGATGTTGAAACGTGGCATTTGTTTACGTTAGCAACTGTTCTTTCCATCTTATTTCGAGTAAGCCAAGTCTTTCAAGACTCAATTCTCCTAAGTGACACATACTATATTCTTTCACAAAGATTTCAATATATACTTCTACATTAACACTAAGGCCGACGCGAAGTTATGTAGAACATAAACAAACTGATTATGTATCGAAGTTGGCAGGTGCACTAAACAGAAATATATCACGGTTACAAAACAATGCATAAGCAAATAATAAATCTAAATTTAGTAAAAGATATAAAAGAGTGCGAATTATTTTTCAACATATTCGATGTGCGATGCGGAGCTGTATTTAATTAACATTTTAACTTATGTGGGAGAAGTTTAGATCAACTTTAACGCGCCATTTTCCTTACATACGATCAGCTGGCACTGACGTTATAAATCCCACGTGTGTGAGTATACTTGATCTTCTTCTTCAATTGCACAAATAGCTCAAAAAAATCTATTACCCTGCACCTTACACTAAATTAAGAAAGTGTATTACATTATCTTTATTGCATTAATGGGGAGAAAAATGAGAGAAACTGAAATATAATTATTATAAAAGTATTAACAGTTTCTATCACACAAAAGAAAATAAAAAACAAATATTGCGTTGTTTTTTTATGTGCTTGAAATATAAGAGAAGTCGGCGTGATGAGATAGAATACACAATGAAACCAAATATTAATTTACCTCTTTCTGGATTCTCATAGCTTCTTCTTCTGTTTCAAATGTGACAAAACCATACCTGCAGGCACAAATATTGATTTTACTCAAAAGAAAATTTTGAAGATAAAAAAAGAAACCCCTTCGACCATAGGGCCATTTTGTTTTGAGATTAATTTATAAAAATTATATTAATTTTTAATGTCTTTTTTTTTGTTGAAAAAAGGGTGATTTTTTTAAAAAATTTTACCTACTCTAAAGAATTGACCATACACTTGATCATCTGCGCTGATAAATAACCGAATTTATAGGTTATGCGTTCATAACTACAAAAAAACTCGATGAATAATGAACAAAAGCATAACTTAGAAGAGAAAGTAGATTCCCTGTGCTGGCCTCTCTTCTTGATCTCACACTAACCTTTACTGTTACCAACATTAGTATTAAGAAATCCCTTCTTATCAGCAGCTGGCTGCACGAGTCACTTTAAGCTTAAATGAAATGCTAACAATTTTAAAAATAATGTTTTATTACAAATGTTACATTAAAATTTTAAAATACGTTTTGCAAACTCTGTTTTATGATTTTGTGTGTTTTGTGTTTAAATTCAATTCTTTACATTTCGTTCAAATGAAAGGGAGAGAATGTCATCACTCGAAGTTACCTTACATACAATCTTGCAACAATGGACTAATGGTTAGCCAAAGCAATGGGAATAAATAATATTGAGTATTGGTATGGATATATGGATTGGTATGGATATGGTATGGATTGGTATGGATATAATGGGAAAAATATGGGAATAAATAATTAGATTACCAACAATTAAACTGATTTCTAAAATCAATTGATCTAGTTTGGCCGGATAAATTGGACATTTTTAGAGAGTATTCCCTAATCACCGCATTTTATACATATTTTTAGAATCTTAGTTACCAAAAATTAATATATTAGGGGTCACAAATAATTATTTACGCAATGTAAAAAATCAAAAATAGTGTCATAATCTGACTAATCTCCACCGAGAACGAATGAAGAAAAAAACATCAAAAGCGGTTTAATTGCTTGCCAAAAATATGGAAGTGTCCCACGAATGTCTTTTGACACGTCTGCTTTTTTTTGGTAATCAAAGAGGTTTTGATATTTTCCGTCTCACCTTCCTTAGTAGCGATTTGTTAAATTACGATTTTGTTTTTTGCATCGCTTATAAAATAATTTGCAGTATATATCTGACAATGATTCTTAATGCATATATTAAGGGAAGTGATAACAAAACACCCTGCTTACATAAACTTGTCCAAAAAGAAGAAGAAGATGGTGTAACTCACCCCTTCGACACTCCTGCTCTGTCGAGTATGATTTTAGTTGCTTTCACATTACCGTATGTGGCAAACAAAGAGTGCAGCTCTGATTCTATCGTCTGCAACACAAGATTTTTCAAAAACAATTATCACTCTTATTGTTTACAAGAGGTAAACAAAACTTTGGGACGAAACTTGATGTTTTAATTCATTGGGTAGGGAGCAGTGAAAAACTAATTAAGAGAAAACAGCATATGAAAATACAAGCAAGATTAACATGTAGTTTGTTTATAGAAAAAAACTCCCTTCGCTGCAAAGTCTTAGACCGTCTGCTGCTATGGAAACAAGAAACAGCTCATTTTAAAGAGGGGGGCTTCTTTTCTCCCTGATTCTCGTTCTCTAGCCGGCCCGGACCAAAACCTGTCAAATACTGACCCAACACCCCTATCTGAAGTAGTTAAACCTCGTAACCACAGTCACCGACACTACTCTAGACGAATGACGAGGTGAGTTCCTTACACAGACAAACTATACTATAATCTTAGTAAATAGAATAGGCATCTCAAAGTTACGCGATTTCTCCAGTCTCCACATTTTACATCTCGGCGTTACCATGGTTACGGCAAATATCGCTTTTATCCGTACTTCAATAGGAACTTGAAATATACTTGCGCAGGGACAGAGCAAGATTTGCCGAAATTATGGTAATGGTGATGTGGAAAATGGGTAAACGCGTAAACTTGAGACGCATATTCTAAAGTGTGTATGTTTAAGGTTTCACACAGACGAATAACGCAAAATTCTATGTGAAACTGTAAAATGAGCCAAGAACATAACCTGATTATACTTCGTTTCAAGTTAAGGAAAGACAAAGATTAAATTTAAAAAATTTAATGTAAGCAAAAGTGATGTCCCCGAGAATCAAATCCCAAGCGTATGGCAGAAAATAGATCCAACTGATTATTCAGGTGGCACTATTTTCGGCCATACTCTAAGAACACCCATAATAAATCCCAAGAGCGGATAAAGCGTACGCGGGGCCCTAGGCCATTCTAATTTTTGGGGCCCTTAAACTACATTTTTTTCTCGTATATTTTTTTATTTATTCAAATATAAAAGTATTTATATGTCTTTTCATTTAAGAAAGCATATGTAAAATTAAAATAAATAACAATAAATTAAATTTTACTTTATATAATTAAATTAGAACTAAAAAGTAATCATAACATTTTGAAAAATCTTTTTTTTTCTCAATTTTTTAAAATTTATTTTCAAAAAATCTATTTTAAGGGGCCCCTAATCATTGAGGGCCCCAGGAGGCCATGGCCTAATGGGTAATCCGGCCCTGATAAATCGTTACCTGTTCAAAACGTAAGTAATAGAGAAAACCTATAAAGAATCGCAAAGGAATTCTTAAATGAAGAAAAAAGAACGAAATTATCAAAATCTTATGAATTAGTAGTTTATTTTATTTTATAAACAGCGTTGAATGACCGTTTATTTTTGAGTTTACAGCTATCAATTTTCAACTCCATAGCCTTGTGGGAAATAACCAGCATTAGCGTTGAATGAAGAGACAAACCAACAAAACCTCCCACGGTTTACCCGACGACAAGGGGATTCTAACCCATGCTCCGTCTACCATTGAGGATATTTTTCGTCATCAATGAATCAGGAACAGAATTTGCATCGACCAGCTATCACCGGGATTCGAACTTGGATAGCCGCATTTGCAGGCGAGCGCTCAAACTGAGCCACCTCGGCTTGCAAGGTGGGTCAAAAAACCTCAAATCCAGATAAATTGATTGATAGTAGATGTTTCTAATAAACGCCACTGAGTCGTGGTGGCTCAGGAGATAGAGCGTTCGCCTTCCAATGAATGAGGTGGACCGGGTTCGAAACCCAGCGATGGCTGGTCGATCCGAATTTCTCATCCGCCTTGCATCGACCGCAGTTCTGACGTAGAAGTATCCTTAGTAGTAGATGGATCGTGGGTTAGAGTCCCCTTGACTAACCTTGACTCGTCAGACTAGATTTGGGAGGTTTTCGTGGTTTTCCCATCCATGTAACGCAAATGCAGGTTGGTTCCAACAAAAGTACAAATTTTACAAAAGTACAACAAAAGTACACAACAAAAGTACAAAAGATTAGGTACAAATTTACAAATCAAGTGCCTGATTTACTCATGAAGTAAAATATGTCCCACTAAAGTTTCGGTTAACTAAAAAAACTAGACCTTTTAAGCCGTATAAAACTTAAAAAAATTTTCACTAGATATGTACCAGTGGTGTTATGGTTAGGTTGCCCTCCTTCTACCAGACAGGTCCGGGAAGCATGTTGGACATTTGAATTTTGACTTATATTTCTAATCGAAAAAGGCGGATTTGTATTTAATATGATTTATTCAATTTATAAATTATTATATTTCTCAACTGAAATCAATTTTAAAAAATATTTACATTTTCAAAAACAAAAAATTAACAAATATTTATTTATTTTTATTTTTTAATTAAAACACATGGATTACTGGAGAAAATTACCAAAGGTTAATTTAAATTTCAAATTAAAAAATGTTCAAAATTATTACAAAATTTTTTTTAAACTTTAAATTTTTTTTTTTTCTAAAAAATAAGCAACGTATTTTAATTAAAAATATTTTTAAAAAAAATTAAATATCCATTATCTTTTTTTGCTTTCAAATATTTAAATTTTAAAAAAAAGTCATTAAAATAACTAATAATTTGTAATTAGAATCAAACATGTTAAATTGTTTTCAACCTAAAAAAGAAAATTTGAGATAAAATTCAAACGATCCTGACGGGATTTAGAACTTGTCTGGAAGATGGCGAACAATCAAACCGAATACACATCAGCTGGAAAGTCCGATTTGTTTAAAACTAAATAAATTTTAGTGGGCATTATTACTCAAAGCGGCTAATTTGTACCCTATCCAAGGTACCCTAACCCATGGGCGGATCGTGATTTTGTGGGGCCCTGGGCTGAAACTACTTTGGGGCCCTAATAGCCATTTTGTCAAAAAAACTGTTTTCTATAGTGATGTAGATAAGTATATAGAAAAAAATAGGACAATAAAATAATTTTATTAATTTTTTTTTACTTATTTATTTTTATTTGTCTATACAAACAGCAACTGTACAACATTATTGCAAAAGAAATTGACAGGTTAGGTGTAGTTATGTTATATAAATTATAAGGCAACCTTTCTGCAGTTTTGTGGTGCAAATTCCTTTATTTTTTCAGCACATTTTAAGTCCTTCGTTAAATCACAATTTATGGAAAGAACTGATAAATGATTTAGTCGANTAATCATTAATCATTAATAATCATTAATCATTAATAATCATTAATCATTAATAATCATTAATCATTAATAATCATTAATCATTAATAATCATTAATCATTAATAATCATTAATAAGGTATCCATGATCATTTTTTGCTTTCAAAAATTTAAATTTAAAAAAATGGCATTAAAATAACTAATAATTCGTAATTTGAATCAAACATGTTAAATTGTTATCAACCTAAAAAAGAAAATTTGAGATAAAATTCAAATGATCCAGACGGGATTTAGAACTTGTCTGAAAGATAGCGAACAACCAAACCATTAGACCATGAATACACATCAGCTAGAAAGTCCCATTTGTTTACAACTAAATAAATTTTAGCGGAACATTATTACTCAAAGCGCTAATTTGTACCATATCCAAGGTACCCTAACCATGCTGATTAGTTTTAGTTCAATATTGTTTTAATAGAAATTTTTCAGCTGCATATTTCTCTTGTTAGCTTAAAGTGTTCGTTGCCGGTCTTAAGCCAGCGTGGATTACTATTAAAGTGGACTATCACGCTCTATAGGCGCACTACTTAACACAGAGTACGGGCCTTAAAAACTAATAGCAAAATTTCTAAAAGTGCAATCAAAAACTCAACATTTTACCGTTTTAAAAAAATTATTTCTGTTAAGGAAACCCTATGAATTATCTCTGTTCGAAGAACATTCATTTTTGGAAAGATTAAGCAGTTAGTTCTCAAGTATTTGTATAGAAACTTTACTACTAGTTTCTTAGTTTCTTGAGGACGCTGGTCAGCTTAGCTAGATGTGAACATTTGTTTTTGAGCTAATTTCTGAATGAAAGTTGGAATTTTTTTCTTTCTTCATGTACAGCGTCATTCAGTTTAGCAAAAGCTACAAATAAGCTGTAGAATTATAATGTTTGGCAGCCTTTTATCAGAAAATGTGCAACACTTCCCCCTTTTATTTAAAGTTTTGAATTAGTTTTTAAGAAAGAAAGAAAAGAAGACTTACATTTTCGGCGATTCCTCCGACGAATATTCTGTTGGGAATGAGTGTGCCGAATTTAGGGGCATTGGGTGCAACTGGAGAGGGAGATTCGGAACCATCTTTGCTGCTGCTGGAGCTTGACTAGATCAAAAGAAGATTTTATGAGAATATATCATTCAAATGAAACCTGGTCAGTGCGTCTAACTTTGTATGAAACGTATTGATGCGCTACATAACTGGGTGTATAGCGGCACCATTTATTGGTAGAGAGACTGACGCATGCGCAACTTTTAAGGTTGAATAGCAACAGTGTTGTTGCACACCGGAGAGAAGGTGGTCACACAAGTTATCGTCCACTACGGAACATGCAAGCGAGTAAGTAGGAACAACCAGGAGTGATTCAATTTTTAGCGGCGGAGGGAGTTGGAGGCCGTGAATAAGGTCACGACACGCTTTTTTGACCACGAGAGCCCACTGCTTGTCGAGTTCCTGGAACGGGGAACCACCATCAATGCCCAACGTTATCAAATCATTTTACAGAACTTTAAACGAGCCATCAAGTCGAAACGGCCATGCATGTTGCCCGATGGCGTTATTCTGCTGCATGATAATGCCCGCCCACACACAACTAATGCGGTGAAGACGTCCTTGCAGCAGTTTCGGTGTGAAACGCAGGAACATCCACCGTATAATCCAGACCTCTCACCGTGGGACTTTCATGTTTTTGGACCTCTAAAACAAGCTATTCGCGAACATCAATTCACAACGGACAACAACGTGTGTGACTGGGTTCAGACCTGGATCTGACAGCAGCCTACTAGCTTCTTCAAAGATAGAATCGAACGGCTAGTGTCGAGATGGGATAAATGTGCCAACAGTTTTGGCGACTATTTTTAAGTATGTGTACTGTGTTTGTGAGCTAATAAAATCGTAACCGTTTCTTTACACTAGTGACCGGGTTTCATTTGAATGACCCTCATATATTATATATGCCACTTTCTAACCAGTTTCATATTTTAAAAGCTCATTTAAAGGCTGTTTTTCGAAGACTCCGTCGTATTACGAAATGATGTTTTTTTTTTCGAATAATATGCTATTTTCATAACTTCTGTGAGTTTGCAACAGTTACTCATGAGTAATAGGTCAAGTTTAGCTGATATTTAACCAGCGCTGCCTGCGCTTATTTTGACAATGGTGCAAAACGTCAAGATGGAGAAAAGCCACAGTTTTGAGAAAATAAAAAGCGTTTGTGGTCGAATTTTTTAATATTTAAAAACTTACTCCAATGCTACATTACCTGGGTTCATAAAAATTTACAAAAACTAAGAATTCGGAAGTGAGTTTGATAATTTCATTCTAGGCAGAAAAATGTCGCAAAATTGGCGATTTTTAAAAAAGTTTAATAATTTTTAAAATATTTAAGTTATTTGTCTATTCTAAAGTCGAGATAATTCATCATAGCAAGATTATATATGTAGTTTAAAATAATTGCATTGCTTTAAGTGTAAAGCACTTAAGCAATGGCTTTTTATTTTTGTTGGCGACAGAGCTTCGAAAAACACAGTTACGGAATGAAAGAAAAAACTAAACTTAAATAAAATTCCACCGACCAGGGAAGTTGGCGTGAATTCCACCAAATTGACGCCAAGTCGTTTCAAATTGTAACGGCAGTAAAAACAAAAAAATATTTAAAAAAAAGTTTTAAATATTATTTTAGAGCATACGATTAAAAAAAAATTGCGCCACAGTTTATTTGCAAAATCTTTGCAAAGAGGTTTCGATTTTGTGGTTTTAGTGAAAAAAGTCGATGGGTTTTTACGCAAGTACGAAAAAAAAGAAAGAAAACGAGGACTTAAGGTGTGAAGGATTATAAGAAAAAACGACAATGTGAGCAATTGGGTACTTGCACTTCAAGAAGAAGAAGACTTCCCATACCAACACATGGGACCTATGATGTCAGCGCCAGCTAATCTTTATCTGTAAAATGGCGTATTAAAGTTGATCTAAGTTTCTCTACATGAGTTAGAATGTTAATTAACGATAAGTTAATTAAATTCAGAGCCGTATCGCACACCGAATGAGTTGAAATATAATTATTTCTCGTCTACTTCTTTTACTTAACTTAGATTTATTATTTGTTTATGTATTTCATTGTAATCGTGGTGCAATTTTTGTTTCGTGCACCTGGCAACTTCGATGCATATTTAGTTTATTTGTGTTCCACATGATTTCGTGCTTGTCTTTGTGTTAAGTAAGAAATATATTTAAGGAATTGAAATATTTGTAAAAGAATCATTGTGTAAGAATATAGAATGTGACACTTAAGAGAATTGATTCTTGACGGGGGCTTGGCTAACCTGAAATAGAATAGAAAGAACAATTGCTAACGTAACCAAATGCCACGTTTCAACAACCAATCGGGATCGAGATACCCATACTAAGTCACTTGCAGGCATCCCATTGGATTCAGACAAGTGACGCCATCGTTAGTAAATCACGACATTCCTTTATGTCGGAAGCCAATCCAATATGACAAGCACACTTACAGGTCTCCAAATAAATATCAATCGAAAATTGATTCAGCTTGATAGTAAAACAAGCCTAATTGCTGTAACGTAAACCCGCCTAGCACAACCACGTGATTATCCCCAACCATGGGATTTAAATCGCATTGTTGGGCCTAATCACCTATTTATCATCTCGAGTTGTGACATAGAATGAGTGGTTTGTTTTGTTTGCTTATAGTCATCAATAATCAAAAAAGGAATTTATTGAAACGTTCTAAAAAGAATTTTCGCCATGGTATATAAACTTAATAATCAAAGTGAACGTGGTTGCATAGTCGGATTACGTCATTTAAATTAGTATTTCTTAAGTACTCTGACACCACGTGTTTATTTTTAATAATCATAATGGGATACTTGCAAGTGAAGTAGTGTGGGTATCTGGATCCTGGTTGGTAATTGAAACGTGTCATTTGTTTACTTTAGCAACTGTTCTTTCCATTCTATTTCGAGTAAGCCAACTCGTTAAGTATCAATTCTCTTAAGTGACACATTCTATATTCTTTCGCAATTATTCTTTCAAACGGATTTAAATTCTTTCACGATACATTTCTTACTTAACACAAAGACAGGCATGAAGCCACGCAGAACATAAACTAAATAATTATGCATCGAAGTTGCCAGGTACACAAAACAAAAATATATCACGATTACAATAAAATACATAAACAAATAATACATCTAAGTTAAAATAAAAGAAGTAGACGAGAAAGAATTATATTTCAACAGATTCGACGCTATATTTAATTAACTTTAAGTTAATTAACATTCTAAACTATCTAAAGAAACTTAGCTTAACTTTAACACGACATTTTGTATATAAACGATCAGCTGGCGCTGACGTCACAAGTCAGATGTGGGGGTATGAGTGAACTTTTTCTTCTTCTTGAAATGCAAGTGCCCAATTAATTTTTTTAATCATAATAATTAGTTTCTTAAATAATATTTTTTTTATAATCATAATAAACTTTTTTAAAAACGCATTTCTATAAAAATAAATAATTCAAAACCAACAATAATTGAAAGAAAATGTAAGTTACGTACTGATAAGCAAAATTAATGGAAAAATACTCATAATTCGTTTAGGAGAGAGCGGCTCTTAATTAATTGGAGTAATATATTTCAATTGAGAAAAATAAGTAAATAAAATATTAAATTAGATACTAAAAGAGCAAAATTAATGGAGAAATTGTACTAATTAGTTCGTTTAGGAGAAAAGTAAAAACTCGCCGTGCTATATTTCACACCATTGGTGCGTAAATAATTTCGGTTATAGATACTAATTTTATTTTATAGCCGTCGTTGAACAGCCGACACAATTTTGGGTTCACGACTACTAATGTTAAATTCCGTAGCCTNACGATCAGCTGGCACTGACGTCACAAGTCAGATATGTGGGTATGAGTGAACTTTTTCTTCTTCTTGAAATGCAAGTGCCCAATTAATTTTTAATCATAATAATTAGTTTTTTAAATAATATTTTTTTTTATAATCATAATAAACTTTTTTAAAAACGTATTTCTATACAAATAAATAATTTAAAACCAACAATAATTGAAAGAAAATATAAGTTACGCACTGATAAGCAAAATTAATGGAAAAATACGCATAATTCGTTTAGGAGAAAGCGGCGCTTAATTAATTGGAGTAATATAGTTTAATTCAGAAAAATAAATAAATAAAATAATAAATTAGATACTAAAAGAGCAAAATTAATGGAGAAATTGTACTAATTAGTTCGTTTAGGAGAAAAGTAAAAACTCGCCGTGCTATATTTCACACCATTGGTGCGTAAATAATTTCGGTTATAGATACTAATTTTATTTTATAGCCGTCGTTGAAAAGCCGACCCAATTTTGGGTTCACGACTACTAATGTTAAATTCCGTAGTCTCGTAAGAGGGAGATTGCAGCGTCTTTCTTACTTAGGATGGGATTGGGTTTATGATTTTTCTTATTTTAACTGACAAGGGGGTGTCCAAAACTGACAAAAATATGTTTACGTAATATATGAACAGGGACAGCGGAAATGGGGGGGAGACACAGCCACGTCTAAAATTACAATTCTTCACTCTATTTGCGTAATTAAATTTACAACTAAAATAGATAATTTTTTTGTGAATGAATTTTTAAAAAAAATGTCTTTATTTCAAGCGAGCTTTAACATTTACTTATTGACAACTACAACCAAATAATGCCTTACTGACTCCCCCCCCCGCAGAAGGAATATACGGTCTTACTGCTGACTAATGGGGAAAATTCTTGGTTTAATATGTCACAGTGAACATAATTTAAAAAAAAATGAGAGATAAATAATTTATAGACAATTCCTTTTATTAATTTTATTTTAAAACGATTCGAATCATGAAGTTGAAATTGTAAGTTCGAATTCTAGAGATTGCCATTTTGTGAGATATATATATATATATATACACAGGGACGAGATACTGTATATGAATTGCCCTAAATATTTAAAAATACTTATAAAAGAATGCGATAAAATGCATGCAATTTGTTGAGCAGATAAAAAAAAAAAAAAGAATTCTCACCATAGATCTAATCAAATGGTTGACTTTCGAAAACAGGTTTGACGTTCGGCATAGCGTATTCCGTAGTAGAGTCTAAATGATAATAATCCATATAACATGAGTGTATCACAAAGCAATATGGGTTATTCAAGGATTGAAATCGTTGTCGACCTCAAAATCGTAACAATGATAATGACAAGCCTCCAAAGAAATTAGTGTCACAATCAAAAATATTCTCTTGTGCATCAGTGTAAAAAGCAGCCTGGCACTGTTCGGATAAATTAAATTTAGAACAGTGTTCATTAGGATGCTTTTCTCCTTGAGAATAAGGAACGATTGCGCAGGTCTAAAGTGAGATTTTTAAAAATAGAGTAGGAACTGAAAGAAGTTCCATACCACCTCGCATTTCTTCTTCATTTATTTATAAGATGAAAAAAAGTATTCCACCTGCACTGTTGCTGCCATCTGTTTTCTTTTGATCTTCCACTGCTCTTTGTTATAAAGCAATTATCAAATCGAACTAACTGTTTCGGTTGGAATGAGCGCGTTTAAATGCTAATCAGGTGATTTCGACTTTTCTTAAGGGCTCGCTGCTTTGTGGTTCCTCATTGTGCAATCGTACATTTTTTTTTCGAACGATATTACGCATTTAAATTGGAATAAAGACAAATAGTAGCCTCCAAAACAACGAAAAATAGAATAATTATGTATAATTGAAATTCTGATAGTAAAAAAAGATGAGCATCTAGAGCAGGGGTTTCCAACTGGCGGCCCGGGGGCCGCATCCGGCCCGCGAAGCCTTTATTTGTGACCAGCGAACTAAACTATATTAGTTGACATTTCTTTGCGGACAATTTTCGTAACGAATCAATATGGGTTTAAAATACTTTTCTCGTTAATAAAAACCTAATTTTTTTCGTATCTGTGAAATTTAGCATACCAACGGTGCAAAAAAATTTATTTCTCAGGTTTTGCACCCAGGAAAATATTTATTCAAATGCAAAAATAAACGTGAATGTAGCTCTATTTTATTTAATTTTTTTGTATTTTGTGAAAATAATTTATCATGTGCGTATCAGAAATTTTCTCGAAGAAATTATCCGATTTAACTTTTGAAACCACTCACGCATTTCGGACGAAAATATTTACACACACATTTGTAAATTTTGAATGTAAATATCTATTCTGTGGTGGTTGTAGCAGACAAATCTCAATTTTCTATTGAATATTCTGAGTGCTACTACGTAAGTTTTAATACCAACCTTTTTAAAGTTTTATATTTTTACAATTAGATATCTGTTGCACATTATTTGTTTAATACATAGGTGCACATTAAAGTTATTGTAGCCCGAATTTTTATTATTTATTTAATATTTTTAAAAATATTAATAACAATTAAATATTTTTAAAAATCTACTTCATATTTTAATTTTTAATTCAATACTTTTGTTTTGTACAACTTATTAAAAATCTAACAGTAATATTTAATGTTCCTTCAAACATAAATGAGTCCTACATAAAATTTTGATAAAGTTGTGGCCCGCCATTTGATTTGTGTTTTTAATTGTGGCCCGCGGCCTCATGTAAGTTGGAAACCCCTAATCTAGAGTATTAAACACCTATTTATCATGGCGAGTTGCATGCACGGCACGTCATGGTGACAACCAGTAAGCTATACGCAAAAACTGTATATTGTATATATGTAACATAAAAAGCTTCTATTAATCTTTTTATGTTAGTTTCTTTGCTATAAAACAACTCCTACTTTATTACTAATTAATTTTTCTATTCGAAATTCTTTCTCACACTTTTAAAAGCCACATCCTGTTCTTAAATCTATTTTTGGCTCAACTATGCATTTAATTAAGAGCAGGACATATTTCCCTTTGCTCTATGTGGGAAACGCTCGATCTCTTTCATAAACCAATAGTAATCCTTGGGATTTCCCTTTTCCCCTCAAATATAATAAAATAGAGGGAAATTCCATTGCTACTTTCCCTAAGATAAAAACTTAAGCACACAGTTTTTGAGTGCGATTTTGAGCTCCACCTTTGCTAGAAAATGTCTTAAATATACTATGTGAAGCTAATAAAATATTTTTTGCCTTCCAACTGCTATCTGCGTGGCCTAACAACACTCACCATGACTGCTACCCTTTCATATATATATATGGACAACCTGAAAGATTGTAAATCGTAGCCACCTACGGGCAAGTCACTATACTTTTATCACTATAAATCCCGAAGTGTGTTGCGCTAAAAAGTACAGATAACGGAACGATTTAAATTGTAGAGCAGAAATTTTAACCGTTCTTCCTCACAAATAATGTACTAAAAATGTCCCAGATTAATTGCAAGATATTTTAATAATATTATAAAGTGTGTAAATTGCACACAAAAAAATATTAATATAATAATTTAAAAAGTGACTTTTTTATGGTTTTGTACAAAAAAGTAGAATATAAAATATTGTGTGTAACTTATGAGAATCTAGTTGATTTACTCTCGGTTAACCTTCCTGATATTATGTATATTCAGTGCACAAAACAAACAAACGGACCACCCTTGAGACCTTTTGATCGGATCTTCACGCCCTAGGACTCATTCTTAATGATACGAAGAGGTAACCTCAAATATACTTATTCATTAGAGAAGACGATATTTTAAGTTATGAAATCATGCAAAAAAACTTACTTTCTCTGAAAAAACATACCTTTTTTTCGGTCCCAAAAATATAGGGGGTAGCTCGGTCAGAAGAGCCGTCCAAAGTTTTGACCCCTTAATTTTAAATTTACATTTTGCGTATTTCGCCATATCTCGAGAACTTTTATGCGAATTGTAAAATTTTTGCACGCAATTATAAAATTCGTTCATCCAATGACAATTCCATGCAAAAATTAAGTTTTAATAAATATTTATTATTTCATTAAATATTAGTCGACAAAATTTTGAATTGTAGGGTATATAATTTTTTCAATCTTTTTTAAAGTACGTAATTTTACATGGCAAAATACAACATTTGAACACTATTGGCACCATAATTCCTGAGAGAAATTGAATATTGAAAATCATATATTTAAGATTCGATTTCTCAAGAAAGATTCAAACAATTTCGTTCAAATATTGTATTTTGCCATGTTAAATGACAATGATATATATATAAAAAAATTTGTACCTTACAATTCAAAATTTTTTCGACTATTATTTAATAAAATAATAAAAAATTATCAACATATACTAAAATTCATTTTTTACATAGAATTATCTTCGGATAAACGTATTTTATAACCGAGAGCAAATATTTTTTCAAATTCATTTCGAAAGCTCTCTAGATATGGTGAAATACGCAAAGAGTAAGGGGTTAACATTACGGGGTTCAAACTTTTTTACCGCTCTTCTGACTAAACTATAGGGACTATATTTTTCAAATTGCGGCTACTCTCTTTATTTTGGAGGTCAGAAATCTGTCATCGAAAAACAGGTATGCTTATTTCAGAGGTTTTTATAGGTTTTTGTGTCCAATTTCGTAACTTAAACTATCGTTCTTATTAATTAGCATATTTGTTAGCTTAGCAATCTCTCTAGCCATTAAGATTGAGTCCTAAATGATGAAGATTCAATCATTAGATCAAAAGTTATTCAGGGTGGTCCGTTTTATATTTTGCGCACTGTACATTTTATATAAAGTTTATCTTAAAATGTGTTGGAAGAATTTCTTACGCACTTCTTTTTAGAGAAAGCAGTTGAAAAGTAGGCGTTTTTTATGCAATTATTGTTATTCGAAAACAACCGTATTTTCATCTGCTTTCTTTAAATCTTTTATAAGAAATTCTTGCAGAACATTTTAACACTTAAGACTTAACGAATGGGTCGAAAATTAGACACCACGCATTTTTTAACAGCTTCAACTATTGCCAAACGGGGAGATCTTCCTAAATGGTCGGCAAAGTGTTAAGATAAACTTAATATAAAATCTTATATGTAAATGTAATATATCTGAAAAATTAACCGAAGTTCTTTCTTATAAGTTACACTCAATATTTCATTTCTTACTTTTTCGTGCAGAAATACATTTTACGCTTTAGGATTCCTTAAGTCATTTAACAAAATTTGCTCTTCGATTCCCACCGGCGAAGACTCCCTCTGTATTAAATGTTGACTGGTGTATGTTAAATCTGTCAGGTCACAAAGCCCTCCAAGTTCCCATAACAAATGAGGGTACTGAATTGGAAATTGATAGTTCTCTGTTTCAGATCAAAATTACAATCTGTAGATGAATGAATGGGTCCACCCTATTAACGGGAAGTGACGTGTGTATGAAGTCGTATTCTTAGCCATAGATGGTACCACTGAAAAACAAGAAACGCACCCTCTGATATAAATTTACATCGATAAATCTGCTTATTTACTCCATTACTGATGGAATTGATAAGCAGATTTTTACTATATTGATGTAATTTTTTTACTGAGAAAGAAGTTAATTTGTTAAATAGAACCAAAAAAACTATGTTTTACATACTTTTTTTTTGAGGCAAAGGATTTTTCCACTAGGTAATGCTGTAGGACAATGCAGAACATACACAAATATTAAGTTTCGAACGCGCAAAAAGTCAGAATTTAAAAATTTGCAATTCACGCATGCTTCAGACATCATAACTTTAAATTTAAAAAGAATATTCCCCCCCCTCCTCAAAAAAAAGAGAATAACTAAGCAAAACAATTCTTTACACATATTATAGAATTTAAAACACATTTTAATCACTGTATTTTACCATAATTTTCTTAAAAACATGCGAAACTTAATACCTTTAACAGAATACTTTTCAAAATTAGCAAACACACAAGGACAAGATTTCTTTAATACTACTAAAAACTAAACTCAGTAGCGCGACAGCCCATAGAGGGCCAAGGCCTACCGTGCCCAACTCAGTTTTCTTGACCTTGGGCTCTGGGGTGCAGGAGCAGATGCTCCGGTTAGGGGGTCAGCCGAACATGAAACCCCCAGTGTTTAGTTCCCCCGAAGGGAAGAAAGGCCAAGTCAACATCGCCCGGCCCGAGGATCGAACCCAGGACCTGTGGCATGGGAGAGTGAAGTATTACCACTCAGCCACCGGGCGTCATTTCTTTAATACAAAGAAAACAAATTGTTTCCGAGTTTCAACAACACTTTAATATTTTTTTCAGTACCGCCTTAAGGCACATGCACACTCGGGCAGTGCCCAGTGTATAAAGTGTGCATTTTGTTTATCTTTTACAAATAGTGATTGAATATCATGCAAACACCAATAATTTGAAAAGTTTATCACCAGGAAAACTTAAAAAGGCAAACGACATCTATTTTTCTATGTTACAATGAAGTTTTTAGGTACTCAACTCTCACTTACTAGCAAGATTCGTCTTGCTAGTAAAATAAATTAATATACACGTTTAAAATAAATTAACGTGATCAAGTTTTATGTCAATTCATAATGTCACTCTTGACCACCACCAACTCTGTTTAGTATTTATTAATCTTAAATTCTGTTACACTAACTTATTTGTTAACATTTTAACTAGCGCCTGATTTCAATACACATTATAATTGCTTCCCATATGGTAATCCCCAATTGATACTTCATTCTTTTTTCGACATCAACAATTTAACAAAAATAAAAAGAATTCAATAAAATAAAAATTTCAAAAACAACATTTTTGAATGGACTTAAATAGAAAGTAACTCAATTTTTTCAGACCAAAAACGAAAACATTGTTTTCAACTATTTGTCACTGCTGTAAGCTCCCCCCGCCAACCTTTCAAAAGCAATGTGCCCTAAATTTTCTGTTTAAGGCATAACAAAATTTCATTTTATTATAATTTATTGATGATTAACTTTGAAATAAAGTTGATTGTACAGGCTTTCAGCCTACCCTTTAGAATATTAGAAAAGCTATGCATTTATATCTTAATTTATTGCCGTCTTGAAATAATTATTCATGAGCAGCACATTAATATTTTAAAAAACAGATAAAAAATACAGATTTTTTTAATATGCAATATGTACAATAGTTTTTAATAAAACGTATATTACAGAACTACTATGATGCTCCTTTTCCTTTGCTATTTTTTTAAACTAAACTGTTCATAAAAATGTATTGTATCTCTGTGAGTAAGCGGAAGGACAGTGACTAAAGCTCGCTCAAAATGCTCTCCTTTCAAAGTTGGAGATACACAGCCAGGGTCTTCGATAAGAAGTTGCATCGCAGCTTCATTACATAGCTGAACAATCTGAAAGGAATACAATAAGGCTTTATCAAATGATTATTATATGAGTTTCATTATCATAATTAGATTTATTTATTATTTTTTTTAAATATTTATTTTAAAGTTAAGCACCATTAAAAAAAAGTCGTGAAATTAGATTATACCACAGCAGGTTATTTAATTTGTGTAACAAAAAAATCATACATAATAAAAAATATGAAAAAATAATACTCTTTTGCTACTAAAGTTTTGGTTAAAGTGTGCCACTTCAACTAAAAATTTACCACAAGAGACAACCTCAAAATGACTAAAAAATGCATAGTATCAAACCTAATTTTTAAGTATAGTAAAAGCTGAATATAAGAAGTGTGGTATCTTACTGGAAGTCTGTTATTACGAAAAGTCACAGCCATTAAAGATACAAAAATTGTATGCTTATGGTAAGCTAAAAATTACCAGACTTCTACAATAGTGACAAATTTTTTTTTACTTAAAAACATTTTCTACGGAATGCTTTATAAAATAAAGATTAAATGAAAGGTATTTTTTACTTATTTATGGTCATGAGTACAGAAAAGTGAAAAATGGACATCATTTCACCTTATTTCCTGTCATGCAATGTTAACCGTTTTATATTTATGGGATTCATCATCAGTTCAAGTTACCTTTTCTCACTTAAAAAAAATAAATAAATAAAACAAAACAAAAAAAACGAAAAAAGGCTTAAGAAGTTTTTTTGAAACCTACCAAACATTTTAAAAGAATACTCCTTTTCCTAATCACATGTCTACCATACCCTACTTGATTTCTTTTCTTCAAGTAACTTAGTGTAATCAATAACATCAAGAGCTATTATAGCACATCATTTCAACTTTCAGTTTTTTCTGTTATTTTAACATTAAAAGTTTATTTACTAATTAAAATAATTTCATTTACTATTGTGTATCGACATTATAATGAGCTTTTGCTGCAGTCGAAGCCTGATTTACCTCTGAAGTTCAAGAAAGCTCAGACTCGTTTTGGGGCCCTCTTTTTCTTTCTTTTTTTTTTTGCTTCAGAAAAGTTTTCTTAAATTCTATGCACATTAAAATGAAACTTACTAACGCTACAAATATTATTTCCAAAAGTGGCTCAGATGCATTAATATATTCTTACCCCCTCCCATTATTGACATATTTAACATTATATATGATTGATTGTGGTTTAATCTATAGGGTTTAATTTGAACTGGAGATCCCATTCTGTTACAGAGCTTAGCAGCTACAAGTATATGGCTGAAAGTGAAAAAAAATTATGGCAAAAGCAATTAATTTTTGTCTAGTTTCTGGTATAATTAACAAGTAAGTAAACAAGTTAAATATTTGAATTTTAAAGAGTGGAATCATTAATTTCTAAAAAGTTCTAAACTGTATAACAGCTATCATATCTTCAATTTCCTCCGATTCTACCGTCACTAATTTGCATTGTAGAAGCCTGAAATAGGCGTCTGCTGCAACGTTTCTTAATTAGTGCATATATTTTTCCAATTTAGCAAACCTTTTAAAAAATTTTAAAAAGAAAAACTGTCATCCGAAACAAAAACAAAAAAATTTCAGTCATTTTGGGCCCCCTTAAATCTTTTTCTAAAATTCGGAGTGGAGGTTTGAGCTTTTCGGTAATCGGGCCCTAGCACCAGTGAACAAACTTACCTCAGCACCAGTGTAACCTTCTGTTTTTTCAATCAAGACATCAAAATTGACATCAGCAGAAACTTTTCTCCTCTTCATACATAATCTGAAAACCTCTCTACGAGTTTTGCTGTCAGGTAAAGGAACGTAAATAAGTTTTCCAATTCTTCCACTTCGCAACAAAGCCTGGAATATGTTTGTAAACATATCAGATAATCATACAGAGAAAACAAAAAAAGAGTAAAGGGGGAAAATATAACGAAATTTTTAATTAAAAAAAATTTAAATTACAAGAAATTTAAATAACGACAAGTCAATTACCAATAAATATAAATACTTTTTTAACCTACAGTTATATCTGCAAAACTAAGTGCTTTTTGAAATTGTATTAATACTGCCAAAGCAGAATAGATCGATATGATAGCCTGAGGATTACAGAAAACATGAGACTCTGTTCATTAAGATAATTGAATCAAGTAACCACAAGAATTCAAAATAAAGCACACACACAAAATAAATATAAGTAATAAAATATTAAGATAAAAAAGCATATACACATAAATTTAGACACATTTCTTTTAAGAAAAAGAGAACAGCAGTGAAACCTTAGATAAGCGGACACTCTTGGGAGCAAAAAATTGGAGAGTATCCTAATAACGAAGTTTACCACCGTAAATTGTTTTTAGAATATTTTCAATGATATAGAACCTTACTCTACAAGGATATTTATTTAAAGTTTAAAAAATATTTTTTTCTATACAAAAGAATACATGAAAAAGTTTGATATAAATACATAATTTTAGATGTAGTTACAGATAAATGAATATAATTTTCCTATACAAATGTGATACCGAATAGAAGTTTTTAGTCCTCAGTCGGTTTCAATTAATACGTAAACACCTAACCATCACTTGATAGGAAACGTGATTAATACCTCCTCGAAAGCAAACCTCCCGCGATTCATAGAAAGAAAAAAAGAAAGCAATGCATACCTGTAAGGCATGGAGTTGTTATATTCACAATTGATAATCCATCAAGTGTCTAAATAAATATTTCATTTATATAAACACTTCAAAGACTATATTTCTGTTTTCTTTCTTTAACCCAGCTGTGTTAAATACAGTCTTCGAATTGATTAGAAGAAGAAAGAAATTTTCAATGGGGGAAGAAGCATTGATAGCATTTAAGACATCATTTCAGCTTGTGGAGTCTCATAACCTGTGTCGTCCAAATGGAAAGATCAAAAGATGTCGCTGTCCGAATTATTTCACACAAGCTGTATTATTTTTTCACTTTTCTTTGGAAAGGTAAGGCGACAGACGAAAGATTGATTCCTTAGTCGCGAAATAACTTAACAATATTTATAGTTATGGTTAAGGTAAAACATTTATATGCTTTAAAAATGGTGGAAAGTAGCAAATTTTTCCCCCTTGGAATTTAAAGCAGAAATATTTTTGTTTTTGGATCAAAATCAGAAAAAATGGTGTCCGGTTTAAAAACATAGAAAACAACGTTCCAGGGCAAAAATGACTATCCACACCAGATAACAGGATTGTCCGCTTTGGCGAGAATGTACATAATGGTTGATTCATAGAAGATTCATGAAATATGTGTCCGTATTGAGAGACGCCCTTTTTGTAGGAGTTTCTATACCACAAGGTTTCACTGTACAGATAAATTTATACACATTTATTTCAAAAAGCAGAACAAATATTCTTAGTATGATTGCCGTCATAACCTTGCCATTTCACATCAATATGAAGTGCATAACAATTGCAGTAATGCAAGTTTTAAAAAAAATGAATGAAAATTAAAAAAAAAATATTTGAAAGAATAATAATAGCAATTCTTACATCATCTATAATATCTGGACGATTTGTTGCTGCAATGATAAGCACATCTCTCAGAGTTTCGATTCCTCCTATCTCAGTGAGTAAACAATTTACTACTCTATTTTCAACACCAGAAGCTGAGGATGAGCTGAGAAAAAAATAATATAAGTTGATGATACAAGGAAACAAAAAAAAAACATACTATCATAGCTGCCAACATGGATAGGAAAAAATACAGTAGATTTTACGAAATAATGTAAATTTCATGATAACGGTAGTTACTTACTGTCATCAAAATACAAAAATTTTATTACACAAAAAATTTCAAATTATCGACAATATTTTCCATTTATGATTGATAATAAATGTACCTTAAGTTAAAATGATTTTAACTATGTTAACTCATAATTTTGAATACTAACAGACAGGTAATTTATTATTGATGGTAGAAATATTTTTTCAATTAATTTAAAAAGGTAGTTCTGAATAAAAATAAACTTAAAAATTTAGATTACAATATAGAAAAAAATAAATAAGCTTCAAATTGTTTACTATAAATGAGGCTATCTTCATTAGGTACAAGTAATATATTTAAATATTCGAGCAAGCAATAAATTGCGTAAGAATTCTATGTCAATAGGGATTTTTTTTGAGGAAATTTACTCACTTTTAGCAAATGTTTTAAAATATACAAAAACCAGGAGAATTTTTGTTAAAGCAGTAGAACAGGAGAAATTGGAAAAATCCAGTTATTTACTGGTAAATCCAGTAGAGTTGGCAGCTATAGACTATTAACTATTGTGCTTATTTAGTCATATTTTTTTGTGTCTCTCAGAGTTAAGATGCTGATAAATGCAAGGTTAGCATTAATCAATAAGTAAAGTATGAGATGCATGTAAGTAAAGAGGGAGATGCATAAAAGTTGTAGTATACCTGTTTCTTGCAGGTGCTATAGCATCAATTTCATCGAGAAAAATGATACAAGGAGCTTTTATTCTGGCTTCAAGAAATAGATTGGTAACAGCTTTTTCAGATTCCCCCACATACATGTTCATAATGTCAGAAGCCTGAAATAATAATTTTTTTTTTAAAGTCAAATAATTCTTTACTATTGCAATTGTTGTGGAATTATTATTTGTTATAAGAATGATTTAATTAGAATTAAAGTTTATGATGACTTTTGTTAGAATTTGAAATGTAACAAATGTTATGTAAATTAATAATTACTTCTTAGTTGCTACTCCATGGTAATCACTAAAAAGCTCTGTGGAAAAAAAATTCAGCATTTTAAATAAATGTAAAAAGGTTCTGTAATACCACTGCTATAAAAAAAAAGCATGGAAAATGTCTTAAATTTCAATGAATTCATGGAACATGTTAATAAACGTTTTGTTCTTAAGGGATAAATTATCATGATTTTTTAAATTTTTAATAATGAAAGATTTGTTAAAGATCTTATTATTAGTGTTGGCAAGGCTTCAGACACAATGATAAAATCTATAGTTCTTAAATTCCTGTCTACAAAGCTTTTTAACTGTGCAAAGCATTTGTCAATTGTCCCCGTGATTCTGCTAATGTTTTATAGCGTCTCAAACACACACAAAAAAAGTTAAGACACATAAATAGTTCATACACCACATGTTGCATACATATCCCTTGGAATATGTAATTCTCCATTACTAAAAATAAATAAATAACACCTCAACAGATTTTAATAGGCAAAAAAAAATTAAATATAACAAAAAACAATTTTTGCTACTAGAAAAAAGTCACTTAAAAATATAAATGTGAGATTTAGATTGTTTTAAATAGGAATGATTTAAATTATTTTAAATTAATTAGTTATTTTTTAAAATTATAATTACATAATTGCACTGTGGATACGAAGCAAAGCTCTGCGTCACATTTGAATATCACAATAAAAGTTCAAAGGAAATTCATAGGATAGCTTTTTAGAAGAATGTTCAATTATTATTATTTTTTTTTGGTTCATTCTAAATTTTAATACTACTTTTTTTCCTTACAGACTAAAAATTATGTAAAAATTAATGCTTCTATTTTTAATGTATTGTCATTAATAACCACAAAAAAAGTCATTTAAATAAAGTATATTCAAATTTCATGACCTGCTTTCAACTGTTAAGAAGTTAAACATAAGTTAACTTAATATATATATACAGTAAAACTCCAATTATCCGAATCAATTGGGACCGAACCCCATTCGGATAATCAAAAATTCGGATAATTAGATTTTTTTAAAAAAAATGCTTATTTAAAATAATTACTGTATGCATAGTGGAAATGAGGGAAAAGAACTGTTTTTAAGGAAAGAGATCTTTTTATGAATAATGTGTACACACCTTGCAGTAAATGAAAGTTATTACATGCTAAACATTTCAGTTAAAGTAAGCTGTTTAACTGTCTTCATCCGTTTTTGGGCAGCTAAGTTGCGCATCCATTTGACAGTGAAAACTTGCTAATGGTCACACTCAGGTTGGTGCTCCATCCACATCAATGCAGTTTCAAGGCCAGCAAATGCTTCACTAGCTGACGGCCCTGTGTCTTCCTCAATTTCAGCATTAGGGTCATCTTCTTCATAGACACTTTCCTCCATCACACTTTCAATAAGTTCATCATCATTTAAAATTTTAAATCCACAGTCTGATGAATCACATGTCATCCACTCTCCTATATCTTCAGCACTGACATTTGAACATCCAGGATTGTTCAAAAATATGTTTCTGAATTCCTCAAGAGATATGGCATCCTCATTTTCTGTCTCTTCCCTTTTTTTTCTTTAACTTCTTTTTCCCTTTTCTCTTTTTCCTTCTGTACTATAGTTGATACGCCTTTTAACTTGTTCCATGCACGTCTTAATGAGGCATCTTTAACCAAATTCCAAGTTTCCGCAACCATGTACATGCAATCGTTCAAATTTATCTCTTTGTGGTTATCCAACACACCTTCTTCATCCTTTCCCTCTACTAAAAGCTTCCTTAAAAGTTGTCTTCGGTAAAGCGCCTGACAAGCGCCAATTGGCACAAGCAAGCTGACCAGGGAGTCTAGTGTTCACATTTCTTTGTCAACAAACAACATTCCTAAGATATTATTCCACAACTAACATCCTTATTCATACGGTCTCCCATGAGCTCTTTTGTCACTGGATTCCCCCTCCTTTGTTATTCCTTTTATTTATCTTTGTCCAATCCTGTAAACTTTCTCTGCATAAATTTTTTCTTGACTTTACTAACATTTTATGTTATTCATATAAAGAAAGAAAAAAAAAAGAGAAACTTATCTTTTTACTATATTTCCATAGGAATTCTGAAAGCGATTTGGATAATCGGCGATTCGGATAGTTGGAGTTCTACTGTGAAACGATGAAAATTAATTAAACGAAAAATAAATTTTTAGATATTTACTTTATACACTAGTGCATTTGAAGATATAAGTTTTTTAGTAATTTTAAAAAATATAGGTTTGTAGGTTGAATACTTCAATAAAAGTTTTGGACTCATCAGGACAGTTTTAAATATAAAATTCTGTGTCCTCTCCAAAGCCCATTTCAGCCATCCAAAATCTCAACCTTGTCTAAGAAAAGGCTATATAGCACTTTATTACAAAAAATAGTATTTTTAGCTTTAAACAACTTTGTAATATACAAATTCTGACTATTTCAAAAGGTTTCAAACATAAATGTGATGTTTAGGAAAGGATGTTGAAAGACCTACTTTCTTTGAAATGAAATTCCAGTTGCATTCAGTGGCTAAGGCTTTTGCAATCATAGTTTTTGAGCATCCAGGAGGTCCATAGAGAAGTATACCTTGACAAGGGGAAATATTGAAGCGTTTAAGTTTCTCTTTTGGAATCTGAGTCATCATTTCAAGCTCCTTCATCAATTCTTTTTTAACTGTTTCCATTCCCCCTATGTCAGTCCATTTCACCTATATAAAAAAATCCCTTTATACTTTCCACCTCTTAACTTTGCAGAGCAAAAGACGAGAACCAATCTTCACATTCACAAATATAATTTTCCAAAATAGTTTAATTATTTATCAATAGTTCAACACTGTTGGTTTAAAAATAAGTTCCAATCGAATTGATCTATTTTCATTTTTTTCCCAGACTTACATTTTTGCGAGGCCCATGACATCATTAAAAACAATGTATATTTTGTTAACAGTTCTTCTGAAAACCTTTTATCTCTAGAGTATGGAAATCTTTTTATGTTTTAACTGCACCACCATATGCGCTTTTCATCGGCTATTTCATTGATTTATCCTTTTACTTCCATCAACAAATGGAATTATGCCGATGGTGGACGAGTGGTTAGCGTGTCTGACTGCGGAGCCGATGGTTGCGGGTTCGAATAGCGATCAGGCCATGGATGTTTCTTTCTCTCTTTGTGTTCTATGCCCTTTCTTCTGCGTGATTGTAACCCGCCCTATAAACGGGTTTGTGGTTGTATGACATGGGCGAACCTACTCCACTGCCGTGGCTTAGCCATAGGTGCTCACTGGGTAACGATAAGAGAGTAAAAATCCTGGCATTTCTGAGGCCAATGGGTAATAGACCCAAGTGCCTGCCATTAACCAAAAAAAAAAAAAATNGCTCACTGGGTAACGATAAGAGAGTAGCAATCCTGGCATTTCTGAGGCCAATGGGAAATAGACCCAAGTGCCTGCCATTAACGGAAGAAAAAAAATTTATTATTGTATTTTTATAATTTTTATAACTACTACTTTGTTATTGACTGATTCAGTTTAATTTCTTTTTTATCTCACATTTCTATTGTCTTTCACAACTTTTTATCTGTATTCTATTATGCATAAGCCATTTTGCATTATGAACAGCATTACAATTTGTATGCTAACCACTTTAACATATTATTTTTTGAAAGTTTTAATGTTGGTTTTTGAAATGGTTCTATAATGATCACAAAGTTTTTATTCATCAAAACAGTGTGTATAACCTAGCAAATGTAAATTGGTCGTTCGCAGGCAGGTCACAGAGTCTACAAGCCAATTGAAATATCCTATCATTTTTTATAATTAAAATTATTCATACTAGCAAAAAAGATACTCAGAAACCAGCATAGTTGCAATAAAAAGTACCTTTACCACTTACATTAATAAATTCCTAAAACTTGTTTAATGTAATGATAAATACTAAAATTCTTTTCCTTTTATTTTGTTACCCATGATAGTCAGTTAAGGAAAACGTTTTATTTTAAATTGTTTCATTAAACATATAAAAATATTGCACAATGCGGAAACATTATTGTAGCATTTGAAAGTTTATGTAATTGTTTTTTTAACACAGTTTAAAATGAATTTTAAACAGATATTTAGCAGAACATTTTTGAAATGGAGCTTTTTTTTTGAAAAAACGAAAGGGGTGAGGAGTATTTATTTATTACATGGTTTTAGAGATTATTCAGGATGGCAAAAATACTCACAAAAAAAATTTCTTAATTTTTCCACACAAATCTTATAAAATTTTCCTGATTTTGCAAGCTTGACCTAGATTTTATCATCCATTTCTTAGTTATATGTTAATCTTTCATACAAATTATGATACTAAACACTTATACAGTGAAGCCTCTCGAGAGCGACCACTCTCTGTTCCACAGGAAAATGGTCATTAATGGAGGTTGACAGCTTTCAAGGGTTACCTTCATTATCCTCAAAATGTTATAGAAGGTACATGTTTGTTGCAAGCAATTTTAATTTTATTTGGTGTTTAATTTCTTGGAGTGGAAATGCCACTTGTGTTGGCGCCATGAAACCGGATCAATAAATAAAATTTAGAGTCAATAAAAATTACCTTTACTGATAAAATTATTTGTAAAACAAATTTACCAATTATGAATGATAGAACTACTTCAAATAAATAAAAAATGATGTTTTTTTTAAGTTTGCAGATAATTTTATATTATAAAAATTAGTTAGCTTTAAAAAATGAAAAGAAGTTTGTTTATTTAAGATGCTTAGTTCTTTTTAAATTAACTTTTTTTCTGATTTAACTTTCAACTCTAAAAATAAATCATTGATAGCATCTTTTTTCTGCAACATGAAAGTAGTTAATCTCTTTCAAAGATCATCAAAGAATGCTCTCTAAATAACAGCCATTTTTGGAAAAAATAGATAGTCCTATACTTTCAGATCTCAACTTAAATTGCCAGATATTTGACAGATTTTTTTCGGAATAGCAAGATTCCCTGACCACCATATTATTATAAACATTAAAAGAGTCAAATAAAAACTGGTATATATATATATCCTTACTTTATCTGTTTTCATGTCAGATGATAAGAGAGAAGTTTTCCTCTTCTTAATAGCAGTCTCAATGTCAGAGAAACTTAAATTAGACTCTGGTGGTGAGATCTGTGAGGTATTTTTCATCCGTATCAGAGACAAGAGAGTAGCTGTAATGAAAACAAATTAAATGTAAATGAGTATTTCCAAATTAAAAGTGGTAATTCAAATAACTTTTCAAGGATCAAAATCAAATTCACATTATTTTTAATAATTTGAAAAAGCACAGACAAAATTTCATTTTGCTCATTTTTCGTTGCCTGGTGAGCACCTTGTGCCGAAACTCAGGGAGGCAAGCAACATTACCCACGCCACACTGCCCACAGATAATGCCACTCTGCTCATTCATAGGGTGGGTCACATTCACACATCACAGAGAGAGAGAGAGAAAAGCACTCATGCCCTGAGCGGGATTCGAACCTGCAGCCATTGGCTTTGCAGGCGAGCATCACAAATATAATAAATAAATAAACATAATGTAAGTTAACCAATTTTTACAGATTGTAAAAGATTTATTTAAAAAATAAAATGAAAAGTAAATACAACAAGTACCACAATTTCCATGATTTAAATTAAATGATTAAAACTTGAGATATAAAATCTAATATTCTAAAAAATAAAATAATAATCGAATTAATGTAAAAATATATTAATATAAATCGTTTTAAATACAAAAGGTAAATTTTTTTAAAATAATAAATTTAAATCATATAAGATTTGTTATTGTAGATGCTTGAAATAAGTGAAGGACCCTTAAATTCATACTTTATAAAAATATCAATTGAATTTTCTTTCATAAATGAACTCAAGAGAAATGAAACTTCAGAAAATCATAAATTCAATAAGATAGATAGAAAGTCTTAAATACTTTGTGCAATGAGTGGAGGGTCCTTAAACTCAAACATAGCTAATCTAGAATTTTGATTTAATTTTATCTTTATTTAATCCAAAAGGAGGATAAAAATTACAAAACAATGAAGCTCTGTTGTAAACTGCTCTAAACCAAAATGAAAAAGTAAAGTTTTGATTAGTGAACAATCCCCAATTCGAAACATTGTGACTGATCTATAAATAAAATGATGCACTAACACCATCAGATTTCCAGAGACGCGATGTTATCAGTACAAAAAATAGAGGGAAAAAAAAATGAAATGTTCTTTTTAGGAAAAATAAAAGACAATCCTAAGAATGCAAACAATGTAAGTGTCATAATTAAAAATAGTTTTTATTTGAGAGAACACATAGGAAAAAATGTTTTTCTTTACAGTCAAGTGCAATAAAAACATAATTCAACTAATGAGAATAAAGTAACAATGAACAAAAAAAAAGAAAACAATACATACCGTCATACTTTAAAATTTTATCTATATATCCGCCACTCAATCCCTGTAATAATTCGGCACAATGCTTTATTTCAATGGATGATAACTCTTGTTTTTGCTTAACGAGTATCTTTTCAATTATCTAAAAAAACAGGATAATTATTTCAAATGTGTTATTAAAAGTTTGAATGTAATATCTATAAATATTAGAATAAAGTAATATCTAAATATATTCCATGAGTTATGGACACAAAGAATGTTTAATTACGTCATTGTTTCGGCTGAACCATAAACAATGATAAACTATTTAGCTTAGTTTATGCACTAAAAATGATCATCTGAGCTTACAAAAATCTTTTAATTACATTTCACACTTTATTTGAGCAAATTAACAAAATATTAGGGATAAAAAATCGTGAGTATATAGCAGATATTATTTAATACAGAACAGGACATCTTCATACATTACAGAAACAGGACATCTTCATAAATTTCTTTTCAAACATAATAAAAAAAATCATATGGAGATGTCAAATTCAATAATTGCACGCCATTTATATAAAAAAAATCAATAATTGCATGTTATTTATAAAAAGAAACAAAGTATTTATATCAATTTTACAATTTGCCCATTTTTTACTGCAAAGGCTCTTTTTTTTTTTTTGATGAATTCCTGAAAACAATTTCCTAGACACGTTATTTTTTTTTTTCTTTTCTAAAAATTTTATGTTGTTTTTTACTTTGCAAANAACAGGCATGTTCTAGACACACTATTTTTTTTTTCTTTTCTAAAAATTCTATGTTGTTTTTTACTTTGCAAATTATAATTTTAATAGAAAAGTGCTGTTGCTTTTATCACCCACTGTCCATTATATACTCTATTACGAGTTTTAGAACTGATTTTTTTTTAAATTTCTTTATTTTGCAGAATATTCATCATTAAATGCCAAGTTTTACTTTTTCAGAGGACGATTGATGATAAAATGATAATTGAATAACAATTGTCGGTGAAGATAATTTTCTTTTTACCAAGGCTAAACATATATTATTATCATGCTTTATATATAAGCTTAATTAACTGATAAATTAAGACTTAATGTATCTAACTAAATTTAAATATTAATTTAAATTAAATTCAAAATAATTAAATCAAAATTAATTATTTAAATTAAATTATTTAATAAATTTAAATTAAATTTTTTGAATTCAAGAATCAAATTGAAAAGTTTATTGTTCCAGTGTTATTAAAAGTAATTTGCTCTTTAAACATAAAATGAAATCTTGAATATTTGCCAGAGTTAGGTACTGCTTTCTTCCTCAAATTATTCTTAGTCTTTTATTCCCAACAAATTTGATGTTACATTGACATTTATATCACACTTTAGATGCTTTTGAGAACTCTCTTCCAATAACTTTTGATGTAATGATCAAAATTTTACATACTAGGACTCAATTTTAATGGTTCAAAGGACTATCTGAAATATGTTAATGAATGCATATTAATTATATGTTGTATGTTGCAAAATATGTTAAGAACATACTTTCCTTGAATAAATTATTTTTTTGCAACGGATTTAGATTTTTGACCATGTCATTATTAGAAGGTGGGAATAGCAACAATTTATTGGTGAGGACAGTAGTCTAAAGTTTGGACATTTTATGTTAGTTTCACTTTTTGTGTATTTCATTACATTTCTAGAAATTTTTTAAGGGAATCAAAAAATGCTTTGTATACAATTAAAAAATTCGTTTATCGAACGATAATTTAACAACTTATCATTTTATTTAATGATAGTCAAAATAGTTTTGAATTGTAAGGGAGGCAAAATTTTACTTCATTTAAAAGTATGTAATTTTAAATGGCAAAATACAAATTTTATACTGAATTTGTCGAATAGTTTCTGAGTTATCAAATTTCAACAAAGTCTCTTACTTGTATACTGTACCTCATTAAATTACTTTACTTTGACCTTGGTCATGCACACATTTGCTTAAATCAATTTTTTTTTAATTTTGTTCCCATACAAGCATAACATAATGAGGTCTTACTGATCTTATTTTCGGGGAACTCCAAACATTTATTTAAAAAAAAAATTCTTATAAAATGTCAGGAAAACATTGATAAATACTCGCCTCTTCTCTATCAGAAGTGCATGGAAGTGTAAATTTAACTTCTTGAACTGAAAAATATGAATGCAGAAACTGTCTATCAATATCAAATTCAGTGCTCAAAGTAGTGATGATGAGAACTTGATCACCCTACATCATTATAGAAAAAAAAGAAATGGTATAAGCAGTGCAATCACATATATCAATTTTCATGTTTTAGTTATTAGCAAAGCCTACCTTACTGTCAACATAATAAATTGGTTTCTACTAATAATAAATGGCAATTATAAATAATAACTAACTATGTTGGTTTCAATATTATTTTATAACTGGCATTGAACAGCCAACCTATCTTTGGATTCAATGCTATCAATGTTCAACTCCATAGCACTATAATTATGATCCCAACCCAAAAGAGAAGAGAACTAAGGGAAGATGATTCTAACCTATGATCGGTCTACCAGTGAGGACATTTTAAGTTAGCACTGTGGTTGGTATGAGCCAGGGGGCAGGAATTCTTATAAACCAACCATTGCTAAGAATCAAATCTGGGTCACCCCATTGGGAGGTTAGCTCTCTATCCCCTGAGTTACCGCTGATCAAATATTCATTATACTTGACACTATATATATATTTAAACACAATAATAGATTTATAAACGTAAATTAGGAATAAACCCTTAATTGGTATTTCCTCCTCTCACAGGGTGACTGTGTTTATAAGCCACAGCCTACATACATGGATAAATAGCAGTTTATAGGCTTTATGCTTCATCTATACTGTCTTTCATAACAGTAAAATCTACATGCATTACCTACATTCGTCGGGGGTGGCTGCATGTATGTGTGTATAAGTATATGGGGATTTTGATAGAAGGATGCTAAAGTTTCCTTACATATTTACAAATGAATTTCAGAATAAAATTTATATAAATGTATTTCAATGTCATCTATCATCGCATAATATTTAGACACTCTCTTTTTTTAATAGATATATAAGAATATATTAACTTTTGATTTAGTATTTGTTGAGAATCAGAGATGAATGAAAATACCCTTCTAACATTTTTGGTGGCAACTTTTTCGCACCCATATATTTTACAACTTTTTGACAAAATAAAAGTTATGCTTCTGAACACTGAAATTTGAGAATGTGTACTTAAGAAAAATCTATTAACAATTTCAAAATAATATTGAAATGCATATATCTAAAACTTAGCACAGAAAAACCAAACAGAATTTTGTGATGAGAAAAGTTTTATGACAATTTAGTTTAAATTTAAGTCTTTAAAAAAGCTAGACAAAAATAACAAAAGTGTACGAAGCAAGTTCGGATAATCAAGCAATCCGAAGGGACTCAAAGAAGCAATTTAAAAAGTCAGTGAGCAATATCAAAAAGGACGCCAAGCCATTTAGTTTGAAAAAAATATATAATTACAATAATGATTTCAAGTGGCAAGAATTAGGGAGTCGCTCTTAACAATCAGGAAAGAGCAATCATGCAAAAAAATAATATCTTAACTCTTAAATTGAAATCCAATGAAGAAAAATGGAAAATAATAATAATAATAATACTTTACAGAAATTTCATTCAGGTGTCTTAACAGATTTGACACATGTTCTTTTGATTTCAAATGGCAAAACAAATCAAACTTATCCAACATCAAGAAACTTGGAGAGCTGCAAAAATAATTGTAATTAGGAAAAAAGGCAAAAATCATTTTTAACAAGTCACTTAAAACTTAAAAACCTNTTAACAATTTCAAAATAATATTGAAATGTATATATCTAAAACTTTGCACAGAAAAACCAAACAGAATTTTGTAAAAAGAAAAGTTTTATGACAATTTAGTTTAAATTTAAGTCTTTAAAAAAGTATAGAAAAAAGCTAGACAAAAATAGCAAAAGTGTACGAAGCAAGCTCGGATAATCAAGCAATCCGAAGGGACTCAATGAAGCAATTTAAAGTCAGTGAGCAATAGCAAAGAGGACGTCAAGCCATTTAGTTTGAAAAATATATAATTATAATAATGATTTTAAGTGGCAAGAATTAAGGAGTCGCTCTTAACAATCAGGAAAAATAGCAATCATGCAAAAAAATAATATCTTAACTCTTAAATAGAAATCCAATGAAAAAAAATGGAGAAAAAAAAATAATAATAATACTTTACAGAAATTTCATTCAGGTGTCTTAACATATTTGACACATGTTCTTTTGATTTCAAATGGCAAAACAAATCAAACTTATCCAACATCAAGAAACTTGGAGAGCTGCAAAAATAATTATAATTAGGAAAAAAGGCAAAAATCATTTTTAACAAGTCACTTAAAACTTAAAAACCGAAAGTAAAAATGATTAAAAAACAGTTTTAATATTTGTTAAATACAATCATGCACACAACATTCATGAAATAAGTGAATTTTAGTTTATATACAAATTTTGTAAAAAATAATTTCCATGATTCAATGCAAGCTATTCATATTGTTGTGCTATAAAAAAATCAATGCAAGCGACAAAAAAAAATCAAAATTGAGATTTTTATAGTTAGCATTTTTACATAATAAATTACATATTGAAGAAAAAATAATATTCATTTAAAATCAATTTCTATAAAATAATTGAAATTCTATTTTAGCATTGACAGTATTATCAAGGAGATGAGAATATTTGTCAAAGTTGTATTTCTTGAAATTTATCATAAAATACAATGTTTTTTCAATAGCAGTATGCTATTTATCCACTTCCTTAACCATTTAAAAAGCAATCAGAAAAAAAGCTTATTTTTTAAAATTTATATTTAAATACAAGGAAATGGAATAAAATTGCCCCAATCTTGAGAAAGAGGATGAATATGTCTTTACAACTGACTCAAATTGTCATTTTTCATTATGCTACTTATAGTAGAATCGCTACCATTTACTCAAATTTCACTACTCTTACTTTAAAATCACCAATCATAGTTAGATAATATATACACGCATGTGCAGATGCATTGGAAGAGATTCTTCAATTTTGCAGATACTTTCTTAATATTTCTTTTAATATTAAAAAAAAAATATCCACGCCCCCCCCCCAAAAAGAAGCAGACAACATAATCCTAATTCATGCATAGAAGGTTGTTTAGTTGTATGCATGTTGCAACCAAAAAAAAAAAAGAATAAACTGTTAATTTAGCCCAAAAGTTAGTGATCCCATCGTTACCGGAAGAAATGACTATCGCTTTACAATGGAAATAATTCATTACAGTGACTTCAGGAAATCTTTTCTCGCAATTTAATTCGTTAATCAAAATGAAACATAGTTGCCCGCGTTTAAGACCAAAAGTTAAATATGGATTTCATGGTGAAGAATTACAGGAGCGAAATTATTAATATTTAGTGTGATAATAATTACTTAACACTAAACGTACAAACACTTTACAATACAATACAAGTTTTTTGACCGTTTTGGTATGTTTAATGTTTATATGAATGCAGTTCTTAAATTTTATTTCTTTTATAACTATATATATTAACCTTCCTTTGGTGTTTTTAATGCTAATGTGCTCTGGTGTTTTTAATGCTAATATATAAGCACACCGGACAAAAAATTAGTCACCCTTAGAGAAATCATAAAAAACATCATTTAATCGCGTGTAACTCCGCCTCCAAATTCGATAACCGCCTGGATTGGACAGGAAGTGAGTCCACAAGGTTTTGCAGGTATGTTGAATCCAGTATAAACCACTCGATGAGGATCTGATCACGCAAATCCACCAAATTGCGAGGATGCTGATTTCAACGTTTAACCTGCTGTCAACATATCCCTCATATATTCGATAGGGTTCAAGTCAGGTGAGTTTGCAGGCCAGTCGAGATGTAATTGAGTATCTGAGTGCTCGTAAAACCAGTCACAGATTCTTCCAGCCCGATGAATTTTGTTGCAGTCATCTTGAAAAATAGGGGTATCGACAACACCCTTTTCATGAAGATGTTGATTGAAAGGCAACATCTAATCATCCAGAATGTTCAAATTAACTTGTTGGTTCATATTAGTGGCCACCTCAGTAAGAGGGCACAATCCATAGTAAGAAAAGCACACCCAAAACATAACAGATCCACCCTCGACCTGAACCTGACCTTGCACACAGTCAGGATGAAATGCTTCATCTGCTCTTCGTAGCACTCGACGATGTGAGTCTTTTGAATAAAAGCAAAAACATGATTTGTCAGACCATATCACATTCAGCCAGTCAGCAACTGCCCATGTTCGGTGACTTCCAGCCCACTGAAGTCGTGTAGCTTTATGTGCCTGTGTGAGCGATGGCCTCTTACGAGATGCTCAACTCCAAATGTTCATTGCATGCAGCTCCCGTCGCAATGTTCTCTCACTAACAGGTTCGGATGGACCTTAATTTATAAACTGAAGCAATTCCTGTCAGGTTTGGAAGCGATTTTGAATGACAAGTCGTGAAACACATCTCCGGTCCCTTTCATGCAGGATCTTTTTCTGACCACAATTCTGACGTCGTCTTCCGTGACCACAAAAAATTACACTACTGCTTGTAGGCACATTGAACAGTCCGCATCGAAACACCAACAAATCCAGCAACTTCATTCACCGTATGACCATGGCCAAACACTATTGCCCCTTTTTGCCACTCTATCACATCCTTACACTTACCCATATGTACACACAATTCCAGCTTCAAAAAATTTTTTTCACTGATAGTTACTTGCCGTTGATCACGTTGAATCTATGAGCACACAGTTGAACACGTCAATTGACCACCGCATCATTTAACGAAATCTAACAATTCATTGGTGCTTGCGCAATGAGGTGACTAATTTTTTGCCCGGTAAGCTTATATATGGGTCATTCTCACAAAAACAGTCATTTTCATGTCCCCAGTATATTTTATGTTTGTTTTACAACTTACGAAAAAAAATTTTCAGGGAAAGTGTCCTTCAGAATGCAAGCTAACAAAAGAATAAAAATAAAATTATCAATTTTTATTTTTTATNTGCCCCTTTTTGCCACTCTATCACATCCTTACACTTACCCATATGTACACACAATTCCAGCTTCAAAAATTTTTTTTCACTGATAGTTACTTGCCTTTGATTACGTTGAATCTATGAGCACACAGTTGAACACGTCAATCGACCACCTCGTCATTTAGCGAAACCTAACAATTCATCGGTGCTTGCGCACTAAGGTGACTAATTTTTTGCCCGGTAAGCTTATATATATACACTGTTTCTTTTTGCAGGAATAAATAAATATGTTAAAATAATAAAAAAAAATTATAGATTTTTTAATGTAATGAAAGCATTTAGTACTAAAAAAATATTATGAGCCTTCACATACTTTTGGATTGTGTGTGCAAATACTAAATTTTTTTAAATCTAACTATGTTCACCATCCATCTGAAAACCCTGTGCATCACTTCTTCGACCCACTCACCATTTTTATAACACTTTTTCAACAAAATTTTCCTAATTCATCCAGCAACCGATAAATATACACAATCAAGCAAAGTATGTGATAAATCTGACTATCTTACATAAAAGCTATCACACAAATCTTGCCAAACTGTCAATTAAAGCTAAATATTTTCTTTTGATGAATAAAAACAGGTATCCTACAATTAATTGTAATAAAAGTCAAAGATGACTTGGGATGACAAAGTAAAGACAAAAATATTTAGTTACGAGTGAAAACAATTTGTTCTATCTTCTTTTCCCCTTCAGTTAATAAAAACCAGTCAATCATTTACCATATTTTCCAGTGAAGTATAAAATTATATCAAAGAAAATGTAACTCAAGTTGAGTATCGGAATTAATATGTACCTCTCAGAAGCATTTTTTATTACCAGGTTCATTTCTTCCTCCAAAGCAGTAAAAGTGTTCCTAAAATCATAGCATACACAAATGTATTAAATAAACTTCTTTAACATTCAATTCCAGAGCACAGAATTACATTTTGGGAAATGTATTACAAATTATAAACTCAAGAATTATATTAAAAACAATAGCCCACCACTCACTTATAGTCAAAGAATTTTAAAATTTTCTAATGGCAGTGTGCACTTATTACTATTGAAATAAGATACTCACATTGAAAGAGTTAAACAGGAATTTTGACAAGAAAAATGTTTGAACAAATCAGAGATGAAGAAAATGGTATTTTATAAATTTTTGACAAATCAACAATTAAGGTCTACTAAATGTACAGAGACGACAATAAGATAGAGGAAGAACTGTGATTTGTATACTGCATCTTCTTCTCCATAGTGCCACCACCCTATGCTAAAAATATCATTCCACTTCTTAATTTTAAGTGTTTTTGCAGTGAGAATGTTTCGATAAAAAGTAAGCACTACTGTTCAAACATTTCAAGATTCTGCTAAAGCATGATAACCATGAGAGGTGGATATTATCTTTTAACATAATCTTTGAGTAAATATCTGATAGCCTGTACCATTAAACAAAGCTCTCCAGTAGTTGATCGATCAGGACGCCCACAACGTCGGTGGAGAGCTAGGCTTGTGAGTCTGATTTTGGCAAGATGCATGTTAAATCTATCGTATATAGTTTTGTTACCCGTAATTTTAAAATGCAGATATTTTTATATATTTGAATTTATAAAAATTTAATCAACTTATTGATTTACAAAGAGTTAAAAATATTTTTAGTAAGCTCTTCATTTTTATCTGAAATGTTTTTCTGATAATATATTGTTTTTAATATTCATATATTGTTTTTAATATTCTGATATATATTCATCAATGAATATATATATCAGAATTTGAATACACTGAAGAGCCATTACATTATGACCACCCTCCATCTATAACAATGGGCTCGTCCAGGTTTTCATGGTTTCTTGCTCAGGAACTATGTTTTCATGGGGCACATTAGGACCCATAATCCTCATAGTACAATCTTTGAAGTCTGTACGCTACTTGAACATAGTTGCTGACCAGGTTCACCCATTCATGGCAACAGTTTTTCCTGCGGGGGATGGTGTTTACCAACAGGATAATGCACCATGTCATAAGGGTCGAATCGTCGAGGAACATTCCAGTGACTTTCAAGTCATGTCTTGGCCCCCAAATTCACCTGACCTTAATCCAATAGAGCATTTGTGGTCCTACTTGGAAAACCAAATTCGTGCTGCCACGCTACCCCCTCGCAATGTGAGGGAATTGCAGGACCAGTTGGTGAGCGCTTGGTACCAGATACCTCAGACTACCTATCAGCACCTTGTGGAATCAATGCCACGGCGAGTGCTAGCAGTTTTGATGGCTGAAGGTGGTCCTACATGTTATTAGCAGGGTGGTCATAATGCAATGGCTCTTCGGTGTATATATTACATTTGCTGAAGCTTTAAACTTTTCAGTAAAAATTTGTGAATAAAATGGTAAATTTCACCAAAACATGCCGATACTTCATTAATGACTCTTGCATAACAAATAAAGAGAATGTGATTATTGTAAATTTTCTCTTCGCAAAGGAAATTTTATTTTTATGCAAATACTCTTCTTTAGAGAATCTTTAAACTAAAAGGGAAAAATAGATATCTACTCTATATTTCTCAGGAGTTCAGCAATTGGCAAAAAAATTAGGGTGAATAAAAAAACGAAGAGTTGAAACTTATGAGCGAGTGTACTAACACAAAAGCAGACTGTTCATTCACAACAATAAAACAGAAGAAAATCTAATTATAATTATTTTTGCAGGAAGCTTCCCTTTTGTGTATAATCTGTAAAGAAAATCAAAGTTGAATTTTCCCATTTCAGCAAACATTTTAATTTTTAAATTTTACTATAGGCTTATTTTAATTAAACAATATGTTACTGTTAAGGGAAAACATATTCTCGGAAAAAATAGTTGGATGACAATATACATTTTGCTACCACTTCATCTGTTTCTGAATCTGAAATTATTCCAGAGAAACCAAAAACAAACAAAGAAATAAATAAAAAAATTAAAAAAAACAAAAACAAGCAAAACAAAATTCTAAAGATATGTATGGTAGCAAAAACAGCACTTCATCAGGGGACACACTGTCTGCTAGCACACTGAAACTTTTCTGTTATCAATCCAACAGTAATTACAATACTTATTTTGTTAAAAGCATCATTAAAACCTATTCAATCTTATTCAAAGTTAAAATAAGTTGTTTTAATAAATAAAATATCAGATTCTCAAAAAACCCCCATAACATAACATTTTTGAACATTTCTTACAGGCAAATCAGGGAAGACATATCTATTTTCATAGTAGGGATTCCATATTCATTGATAATGGCGTTCATAATCATGTTTTTTCCAGTTTTGGAGGGACCACTCAACAACAGCATTGAGATACAACCTTGAACCAAAAAAAAAAAAACATTTTAACTAATGATAGCAATTTATAAAACAATTTTTGTATAAAGAGTGGAAATTTAGTCCTAAAAACAACAAAAATAATTCTTTTACATTTAAGAGACACAAAAAGATATAACATATAAGATCATAATAATGTAATAAATAAGGGACAATAAATACTCAAAATTTGGAGCAAATTTAAGCATCGGTATATCTGACATTCAGGAGAAAAATTTTATATTTTTAATTTTACTAGTCAGCAGCAACATCTGTTGACAAAATCTCAAAAGTAATTTTGACGTTTTAAAATAAATTTACAGGGTTCCCATTCAATTTTAGGAATGAAATTTCCCTGTCTTTTCCAGGTTTTCAGAAAAATTTTAGTAAAACTCCAGGTCACATTTTTGTGTATACGGCAGCATTTCATTAGAAATATATATATATATATATTTACACACAGTGAAACATATGGGTTAAGTGGGCACTCTCAAAACCAAAAAAATGACAAAAGTTGTCCTGCTCTTAATACAGTAAATTGTACGCCAATAATAAGGAAGTTTAAGTTTGTAAATTGCTTTTAAAATAATTTCAATGATATAGAAATAATTAAATAATCTACAATAACTATCTACAATGTTATTAAATAAAATTTTCAATTTTTTTTATTAATAAAAAAGGAATGCATGGAAAAGTTTGATTTATATACACAATTCTAGATGTAGCTAATGTTAACGTAGAAATGAATATGTTTCTCCTACTTACACAGATGTTCAAGTTAATCATCTCATAACGAAAAAGAGCTTTTAATCCTCATCGGTTTCAATTATTAGTTTCACACCCCCATCACTTGATAGGAAACATTGCAGGTAGTAGGAAATCTTGAAGAAAAACCTCCTGTGATGCACAGAAAAAAAGAAAGCAATGCATACCTGAAAGGCAGGAGGCCCNTCAATGTGAATGATATAGAAATAATTAAATAATCTACAATAACTATCTACAATGTTATTAAATAAAATGTTCAATTTTTTTTATTAATAAAAAAGGAATGCATGGAAAAGTTTGATTTATATACATAATTCTAGATGTTAGGCAATTCTAGATGTAGCAAATGTTAATGTAGAAATGAATATGTTTCACCTACTTACACAGATGTTCAAGTTAATCATCTCGTAACAAAAAAGAGCTTTTAATCCTCATCGGTTTCAATTATTAGTTTCACACCCCCATCACTTGATAGGAAACATTGCAGGTAGTAGGAAATCTTGAAGAAAAACCTCCTGTGATGCACAGAAAAAAAGAAAGCAATGCATACCTGAAAGGCAGGAGGCCCTATAGAGTGGGCATATTCACAATTGAACATCTATCAAGAGTCTGAATATATGTTTGACTTATCTGAAAACGTCAAAGACAAGATATCTGCTTAATTTTTTTTAACTAGTTGTTTTAAATACAGTCTTCAAATTGATAAGAAGATAAAAGAAATTTTCTGTAGGGGAAGAGACATGTAGAACAATTAAGATGTCTCCTCCTATTTTCTCTTCTTTAGTTGCAAAGATAAAGCAAGTTGACAGAAGAAAGAATGATTCTTTAGTAGTGAAATTACTTAACAATATTTTTAGCTATAGACAAAGGGAAAAAATGCATATGCTTCAAAAATTATTGAAAGTTGCATATTTTTTCTCTTGGAATTTAAAGCAGAAATAGTTTTTTTCTTCTTCCAAATCAGGTTATGTAGCCAAATTATGCAACAAAAAATAAGCACTTTTCAAGAACTCAAAAAATATTTTTAAGTATTATTAAAAATATTTTTTTAAAAAAAAAAACATAATTAGGCAGGGTTGGAAAGTTTTTGACAATTGACGGTTTTATCTTGTTTTAACCGTCATGTCAAAAAAAAAAAAATTTTTTTTAAATTGTTTTTGACAACTTTCAAAAATTGTCAATGTGAACTGTGTCTTTTTGCATATTTCGAAGCGAAAATTAAAATAGTAAAGGAAAAATCTTATTTTGAAAACGGGAAAATTAAGCACTTTTTAAAAACACCCAATGAAAAAAGCACCTTTAAGGGCTTTTAAAAAACAAAAATAAGCACCTTAGAGCACTTTTTAAAAAAGCTACGCACCCTGCAAATTTAGAAAAAATGGTGTCTGGTGAAAAAAGATAAAAAATGACATTTTGGGGCAAAACTGACTGTCAGTTACAGGAGTGTGGAGATACTTTTGTGGAGATGTTTATTCATAGAAGATTCACAGGGAATTAAATATATATCCGTATTGAGAGACGAGTTTTCCCTGTATCTAAATTTATGTGTGTATATATATATATTACATTCACTAAGCAATGAGGTCTATACTTTTTGATGAAAAATATGTTAAATACATTTTGTAAAAAAAAAATTTCACAGGCGGAATCTTAACATATAGAATTTATGAAAAAGAAGTATGGATAAAAGCAATATATTGTACAAATAAGAAAAATACTTAAAAACTAAATTTAATATAATTTATTAACAAAGCAATCTCGTTTATAGAGTCTGCAATTGTACACTTTATTTGTGATAAAGAACAAAAATTTATTTATATTGATAATAGCCTCCATTTTAAAAGCATAACATTGCAAATATATCTATATTTAAGAAAAAGATTTAAAACAAGGGCATATTAAAGAAAGAATTTTTTTTTTCAAAAATTATTCTTGTAATTTATTAAATAAAAAAATTAACAATGCTGCACCAAATTTTTAAAGAAATAATAAAAACAGATGCCACATTTATATACTTTGAACCTCATTGGGTATTTAGTGTAACCGTGAATTCTGAAATCAACTATTTTGCGTGTTTGTTAGAAGATTTTGACTAAAAATTCTCTGACTATAACGAAACATTTATTTATTTGGTTTCCTCGACTAAATGCAGCAATTCACAAATTTTAATTTCTCTTTGATTTTAAATTTGAAGAGTATTTTGGAGACATTTGAAAGCAAATTACCTTTATCCTTTGTAGTTTTCAGAAATGCATTAATATGATTCCTTATGATTTCAATCTGTTGACGATATCCTCCTACGTGCTTAAAAAGAGGATACGACGATTCAGGCTCACTCACAATAATTGATGAACGATGATTTGTAATAAAACAGGTGATTGATTGTGCATCTACGGACCCAGAAGTATCATGAATAGAATCTTGCAAAGTTAATGACGAAAAGAGAGATGAAATATGCTTCGAAGAGTCGGTGACGTCACCAAAACAATTGCTTTTAGAAAAATTGTCATCACAGATAGCTTTTGAAATAACACATTCAGATTTGACATCGAACGAGGTAAATTGTAGTTTGAGACCACACCAGAAAAATCTATTACCTGAAATATGAAATAAAATATATATAAGAAAAAGTGCAATATATATCTTAAGCAATTTGTAATTTGTGAATTACAATCTATAATTTAAAAACAATGTAAATTGTAGTTTTAGGTCACACCTGAAAAATCTATTACCTGAAACGTGAAGCAAAATGAATGTAAGAAAAAAAATTATACATATCTTATGCAATTTGTAGGTTTTAACTACAAATTAAAATTTACAATTAACATAAATCGTAGTTTTAAGCCACATCAGATAAACCTATTACCTGAAACATGAAAAAAATAATAAATGTAAGAAAAAGCATAATATATGTAAGAGTGAACATTAAAGTGTAGATGTTGGGAGAACGAAGTAAATGTAGCAGAGACGCCAATTAGTTTGACGAAAACCGGGGTTAACATTAATTTTTCAGAAATTCCCAACAGTTGTTAAAGGGAAAACACATCTCCTGACGATATATTTAGGTTTTTTGAAGATAATTGTCATAGTTAAATATTAAAACCTTTTCATTCATTTAGTTTCTACATTTATTTATAAGTTAGAATCTTACATACGTGAAGACTAATGGGGGGGAGGAAAAGTTTATGTTCATGAAAGCTATTTCTAAGAAAAACTAATTTCAAGGCAGACAAAAGGGTTTCAGCTTTTTACAGGTACAAATATGTACAGGTATGCATAATATGCATAAATGTGTGGATGACAGTGCAAAAACCTATTTAATATTATTCATTATGAAAAAAAAATACTGTTGAAATGTCTCTATTTTACTTTAGTCAATATTTTTCCCCATCAGAAGAAATTTCTCAATTACTCAAGAAAAAAAACTGTCAAAATTCATCGCATTTTACTCTGCAGTCAATCTGGAAGAGAGTGATATAGAGAAATTTTTTTTCTCTGCTTAAAGCAACCAGACTCTCTCAGTGATTATGTCACTGCATTTGACTTTCGAGTATTGAAACAACAGCGATAGGTTTTTCTTAAAGGCATAGAATGTTGTTTTTCTGCATTCAGGTGGCACACTTGCAGTATAATGCAGTAAACAATAACCCTGCTCCCTAGTAGCAGACTGTGTATTCACCCTAAAAAGTGTAAATAAAAAGCTAAAATGTAAACAAAATATAAGAATTTTGGCCAATAACATCTATTGATTGGTGTCATTGGCATAAATGATTTGATGGAACATTACAAGCTTAAATTTAAAATAGTCACAGAAAGATGACTGGACAATTCCTGAACTGAGAAAATAAACTTTTTTTATCACACACTCAAAATTTTAAAAACCATAATGAAAAATCATGCATAGAACTACAGTTTCTAAACATTAAATAAGAAGCCTGCTTTTCCCAAGACAAGACTAGAATTGCACATTTTACACAATTGTCACAAATACTATATATATATACACACACACAGTGCCTGTTCCTCGATATGATCGCATTTGTACCTAAAGGTTTTATTACTAATAAATAGATGAGCTCTACAGCAGAATATTTACTTTGAATAAGAAATGGATAGTATATTCTCAGCTTTGAAAGGCATTTTAAGCTTAAATAAACAATTAGATTTATTAAATTTACAAATTTTGATTTTCGATTAGACAACTTCACTAAAGGAAACTATTTTTATTCAAACTTAATATTCATAAAGATAAAGTTACACAAATTGAAGTCACTTCTCATCATTGATTCGTGGTTAGTTTTAGAAAAGATGAAGAAAAAAAAACTATTGTTACTTATCAGTTTTAACGAAGTATGCCCTTCTAACTTTTGTTGGAACGACCCGGAACTTTTTACTCTCCAAAGGTTCTGTTTTACTTTTAGTAAATTTCTATTAGCGACCAAATTATTTTAAATCAATGCTCTCTCAAATTATTCTGTTCTTGAAAAATTCACGATAATAAATGGCTGATTCTACTAAACAGCGAGTTTTCAAAACCAAGGAGCACTATATAATACAATAATTGAAACAACATTGATTAAAAGATACATTACTTAATTTTTTTGCAAGCATTTTTTGAAGAATGTCACAAGATAACGAGGAATCACAGAATATTTCCTTAGCTTCATATATGTCTTTAAGAGGAGTAAGCGTTACTATTTCTTCATTGTTAAAGCCCATGCCATTCAGTAATATAACATTTCTTTTTTTAACAGACTTCAGAGGTTTAGCTATAAATACTGCAGAATTTGACTTTCCTTGGAAAAGTAAAAAAGAGTTGAAACCATAATGACAAAGCACAGAGGGACTGATAAAAGCAATATTTTTCCAGTAGCAATTTTTCGTCCACTTGTTATCTAAAACAAAGGTATAAATTAAAATCAAAACTTCATACAGACATGCCACAGCAGTTATAGAAAAAGAAAAACAGAACTATGTGTGGTAACAAAATTTCAGAAATAGGTTTTCAGAATTAAAAATTTAACTATAACAAATATTACAAAAAATATTCATATTAAATAAAATTTTTAAAAAAATAAATCTTTTAAAAACATATTCAGTATTTTCATATTAGTTTCATGTTAGTTTCAAGTTGTCTCTCAGTTGGAATAATTTCTTGCTAAGACCTAATCTGAAGATCTTATATTCTATTGAAAATTGCAAGTTAGCTAATTTTTAATTAAACTGTTTCACTAAATTTAAATGCAACAAAAATTTTAAGAAAAAAAGAGTTTTTAATCAACCAAGAAATGCATCAATTCATTTTTTTTTTTAAAAATTCCAGTTATTGAATTATTAATTTGGTTAAAATAAACTTTATAAGAAATGAATTTAAAATTTTTGACAACAATTCAGATTTTTGATAGAAACCACACAAGGAGAGTCTGCAGATCTGTTCTTATAATCAATAAACAGGACTAAACGAACCTAATTAAATAAAACTGAATTAACCACACTGTAATGGACATGCCGAAACAAAAACCTCTACAATACAATGAGTAGTCAGAAAAGGACTTTAGAAGAAATCGATGGTGCTTCATTAGGAGTGGTTGAAACATTATCTTTCGAACAATGAGTCACTCACCAGATAAGCATCAACATTCTGAGATAATTGATTTATGAGGAAAAAACCAAAAAGCTTCAGAAATCACAGTTGAAGAAGGAGGATGTACAAAACATCAAAACTGATTTGATTGCCTGAGAAAACAGTGGAACTGAAAACAATTAATAGAAACAGTTCCTATGTTACAATCAGCAATTAAACAGGTTTTGATGTTTGGCACTCATAGTCTGCTTCAACAGCAATTTTTCATACGTTATTAAATATTATTATTTTATCTGGTAGGTTTTTTCAGTATATCCATGCTTAAATATTTACTTAAAACCTACAATGTGCATACGTTATTACCTTCCTTTTTGACAAGGATTCAGAAAACTTATTTTAAGAGTAGTTATTATGGAACACACTGTACTTTTATTTTGTATCTGTATATTTATTTATATTATTACTGCATATTTATTTTGGGTGATTCAGAATTAGAGGAACGAATATTTAAGCAAAATACAGCAATCAACTTTAAGCACAGCCAAAGGATGAATTTGATCACCAAATTATATAATTAAGTAAAAATAGGCATTTCTGGACTAATTTTAATATAATTTTTTACACTTTCATTTGGGTTGGGAGAAACTTATTTCTAGCTGGTTTTAATCAAAGTTTTTTCTACTGTGGTAGAAACGTGTAATCCTTGATTTGGATAAATAAAAAATACCTTTTATTTTGAATCACTCTGTCTTTACAATACAAAAAAAATATAATTTTTTCAAGAAAATTCAAGCTATACACTCACATGTCTCCAATTATGAAAGTTATATATAGTAAAAGAAATAAACATTAGAATAAGGGAAAAAGTAGGCATAACTTACATTCATCTTTATTTTCAGTATTATGGGAAAGTAAAACTTTAAATTCTTCAGGACTCTCGCTAAATGAAATATCTTGAGAATAAGAGGAATCACTTATGTTCATCTCTGATACATTTGAATGGTTAGAAACAGTAGTAAATTTCTTCGGCTTTTTTTTCCCCATGTTGGAAGAAATACCTGAAAGAAGTAAAATGACGAACTTTTTAGAGAGATTTCAATTAGAACTCATTGGTATGTTTAAAAAATCTTGACATGTTTTAGGGGAAAAAATATTTGAATCATAGGAAATAAGTACTTATATAGAAAATGAAGTAATGATTTGGGTATATCTTGTGTATCCTGATCTGCCATGCCAATTATAATTGTCAAGAAGTCAAACGAACTTTAAACTTGCACATTTTTTAAAAATAACCTGTAGAGGTTTGCCTGAGAAGCTAATTTACGATACAACTTTTAATGACTTACTCTCTGTTTTACAGATTTTCCTCTAGGCTGAAGTTGGTTGCAATAGTAATGCAAGATTTTATTTCTTTTACAATGTGAGACCTGAACTAATAAAAAAGTCAAGAATCCAGTTTTATTTTAATTTTATTTAAGAAAATTCCAAACAGTAGAGCAAATCATTAAAAGCCACTGGATTGGAAAAATGCACCCAGGTGTTGCTGTTCCATCGTGTAATTTTGAAGTAACTTGAACACAAATCATAATAGCTTTTAAATCATATGAATGCAATACTCGATAACTGACATAAAATCATGTAAAAATAAATCAATATGTATAGTTGTAAGTCACAGTTGCATAGGTAAGGAAAGGGAGAGAAAAGGATCTTTTTTTCTCGAAAATTCGAAAAAAAACTTCTGGGCAGCGGCTTGTAAAAAAAACTAAAAAGAACATCACAGAAAGGGACCACCCCGAAAGGTATAACTCGTGGCCACCCTCGCGCCAACATCTATATCTTTTTTTTAAAAAAATTTGAGGGTTAAAAGCTTATTTGACATCTTGCCAACTGTAGTTGGTGTAACAGATCACGATACGGAAATATCCCCGATACATTAATGATATCTATTATATTACTCCAAAAATTTAATCTCAACAGTAACTTGTGAAATATATAACTTTTAATACGAAATTCATTTAGTTACTAATATTTTTAATTTTCTTTGAAAGGTATCATTATTTACAAATTTAAAAAATAATAAGAAATATTTGACGGCGAAAACATTAATTGAATTGCTGACAAATGTTAGTTGGTTTACCAATATATTTATTAACTTATCATTGAGTAAATTAATTCGCTGGAAATCACACAAAAAATACTTTGTCTACCTTTCAGGGGAAAAAAGATTTGAATTTATTTAAAACAACATAATGACAACCCCAAATTATTTAGATAGTAAATAAAAATAAATAGAAAAAGAAAAGAAAGTGACTCGTATAGCGATCAAATTAAATGATAATACCAAGTTTAACTTATAGATGTTTAGATCAACGAGTACTGTTTGATATTAGAGAGCATGGGCCACTTTTGTTTGTATTAAACAGCATTTTTGTTCTTTCATTATAGATTCAAAACTTGCTTGTAGCTTGCAAGTTGGTTCCGTAGAAATATGTTGTTGTTGTTGTTAATTTACGTCGCACTAGAGCTGCACAATGGGCTATTGGCGACGGTCTGGGAAACATCCCGGAGGATGATCCGAAGACATGCCATCACAATTTTGATCCTCTACGGAGGGGATGGCACTGTAGCGTATCTACCACTACAATATTACAACTACAATTCACTAGTATATAAGACTTGTTAACTCGACTCTATGTCGGGGTACCTTTTCATAGATTAAGGCTGACATGGTCTGTAACTACTCTCCCCACATTGGTGACCTTCGAACGTGATTTGCTCACGCAAGTAACGCCCACTTCACAATCTCTTCACAGGTAACGCCTACTTCGATGAATAGTCCACATTGTACGGTTGACTTGCTATTTGTGAATGCATCATTCACCTCCTGCGCTGTTGCTTCTCAGTCTCGTCTCGAACATTCACACAACGTCTACACTCTCAACGCCTGCATACTCTCGACTGCTAATGGCAACACAGGAGCGACTTCGACTGTGATGTTAATACACCTCTCACATTCAGCACTCAAAAAATCCGGTGACTCTCTCCCGGTCTTTCACAAGTACATCAACTAGTGAGATCTGTTCATCGAANCAACAACAACAGCATATTGCATGCGAAATAATCGCATATGCGAATTTAGAAGTCAAACGAGAATCTGCTGAACGTCTACTTATAAACATTTTATTACTATTTTCTCTTATTTAGTTTATTTTATATTTGCAAGCAATTGATAAAAAGCATAACTTTACACAATTAAGGATTCATTCTGTTGTTGTTCATTTACGTCGCACTAGAGCTGCAGGATGATCGGAATACATGCCGATACAAATTTGATCCTCTGCAGAGGCAATGGCACCCCCGCTTCGGTAGCCCGACGACCGACATATGAAGTCGAGCACTTTACGGTAGAACAGTTTAACGAAGACCAATACCGCACACCCTCGGTCCCTACGCAAACTGATTCAAGTGATCATCTTTGAACATCTCTAGATAGTTACCTGTTTAAGACAACTTATCGAACGTGTAGAGGTAGTTCGGTAAATATATAAGACTTTGTACAAAAGAGCCCAGTGCCTTAAAAATGATTAAGGCAATTTAAAGAAGCAAAAGGACATTTTCCTATAGTGTGAAAAGAGATGGCTATTTTTTGAGGAGTCAGATAACTGTGGGTCAATTCTGTGGGAGGTATAGTCAGTGTAGGATGCATTTATTACTCCATCCAGGGTATCATAAAAGAGTGGCAATTATTTTAGTTTTCTAAAGACCTGTTTTATTTTTTTAAGCTGTGCTCTTCTTCTCTATACTAAATACGAAAGTATTTTAGTGTTAAATTTTTTGTAATAAATTAAAAGTTGTTATACATAGAAAGAAATTAAAACAAAACAGAAGTATTTTTCTCGGGGGGGGGGGTTAGTTTTCTATTTCAAATTGGAAAATAGCTAGTAAATTGGAGAAAAAGTAGTTTCTTTTCTGAAATTACCAATTCTATTTTACTTTATTGTTGCGAATATTAAACTTTCAGAAGGGTATTCAGAGCAATATCGTCCATCTCAATTAAATTTTGGAGCAAAATAAAGTTTTCGATTTGGAAAATAGCTTTGAAAACAAAAAAAAAGTTAAATATTAATCTTACTTGACTTAATTTTTGAGAATGTCTGAATTTCAGAAGGGAAGAAGTTTATTCTTCGCCCCATGACTTTAATTTAAGAGGACTATAAAATTTTCATTTTGGAAAATAGCTTCTAAGTTTTTTTTTTTTTTTTGGAAAAAATAACCAACTTTACTTGACTTTATTACTGCAAATGTCTAAATTTCAGAAGTTACAAAACACATTTTTGCCACCCTCCCCTTTCTCTTATGTCAGATGAAAATAAAGTTGTCTTCCCCCTCACTATTAAAGAGGAAAATAAAGTTTCCTATTTGCAAAATAAGTTGGAAGTTTTTAAACAAAATTTTTTTTTCTTTCGATAATTGATTTTGATTCTACTTGATTTTATTCTCTTAATGTCTAAATTTCAGAAGATGCGAAATAGATTTTTTACCCCCTCCCTTTTATTTCAGAGGAAAATAAAGTTTTCTATTTGGAAAATAGATTCGAATATGAAATTTTTCTTAATTACCAATTTTAATTTTTTTTGAGCATGTTGAAATTGCAGAAGGGAACAAACACTTTGTTCGCCCCCTCATTACTATCTCGGAAGAAAAATAGAGTGAAAATTGGAAATGTTTCTCTACTTTTATTTTGCTTTTCCAAATCTCAAAAAACACATTTAATCACCCATAATAAAAAATAAAGTTGTTTCCTACTTGGTGTATATCTTCAAAGTTGAGAAAGAATAGCTTTTTTTCTTCTGAAATTACCTATTTCTTAACTTCGTCTTGGCGAACGACTAAATATCAGAAGGGTCAAAGCACATTTTTTCGACCCCCTACTTAAATTTTAGAGGAATATAAAGTTTTCTATTTAAAAAATAGCTTCAAAATTGAATTTTTTTCTTTTCTTTTAAATTTCTGATTTTACTAGACTTTATTTCTGTGAGTGTCTAAATTTCAGGAGGGGGAAACATATTGTTTGCAAATTTTAGAGAGGCCCTCTGCCTTCCTCCGGGAGGCAAGCCACTGGGTCTGACAATAGGTAGTAGAGGAAATAACTAAGTAAGCCAGAATTGCAATATACTGAAAGTGCTAACAATCAACTACATGCAGCTGTGGCCTTTCCCCTTCTCTGTGAAATATGTTTGTTCTTTTATAAGAAAGGGAAATAATTCTCTGAAAAGGTCTTTTACCGTTTTTCATCCTTCCCTTTGTGTTAAAGTAGATACGCAATTACAAAAAAGAAAATTTTCAGCAATTCTATCTTAACACAATTTCTTTCCTATATGTATATATGCCTTGGACTGGAAACACCTCAAAGTTTATTCAGGCAATCAAACTGGCTTTGATATTTTTATTTTTTTTGCTAGCAATTAGTGGTTTTGTTTCATCTTCGCTTAAATATTAATATGTAACTCTTACATTGTATTTTTTAATATTTTACTTTTTTAACAATGGTTCTAAAAGTAAACATCAAAGGTGGCCATTAAGTAGTAAATGAAGAAATTAAGGGAGTATTGAATTATTGGGGTAGAAATATTTCTTCATATCCTTTCGGAATACTGACTTCATTTAAATTTTTACTTAATATACATATTTTTTTTAAACGATGTTACAAGCATAATTTTCTCAACAAAAGCGCATCCGAAAGTGATGTATTCATTTAATTAATTTTCGACTACCTTATCATATGTTTCTTTACAATCAAACTCATCTTTTAATAGTACTAATGTCATCTTCTTGTATTTTATAACTCTCGTACAATAATTAAAAAAACAAACTAAATTATTTAAACAACACTAAAATTACATTCACCATTTAAATTGTATAAAATTAACATCAATATATATATAGTATATATCTAATAACATATACATCTTTTATTATATGTATATATATTGTTATAAGATGTTTATATATGTGTCAGTGTGCTTGTCAGATTTTAATATTAGTCTTTTTTTTTTCCTTTTCAATTTTTTATACTAGTTTTGTGAAATTTCAATATTTTGCACATTTTTTTGAAAGTTTATTTACTAAATGTTATAATTCAAAATATAATTTTAAATGAAATGCCTCTTACCTTTATAATATATAAAAATTGAAATACACAATTTGAATTTAGTAAAAATATTATTACTTTACTGGGATTTAGAAGACATTTCACCTACTGCATCCACAACTCTGAAAATGTAGAGGAAAAAAAATGTTTTTTCTTGATGTAAAAAAAAGAAAGAGAGGGACTAACTTTTAGTGTCATTAGGTACACTTTTAAATTTTCTCTCGAAATCAATCATTTTTTGACTTACAGAAAGGGTCACAAAATATTAAGTCACGAGTTCCAAAAGTTGATAGTCTGCTTTTAAAAATAAAACAGAAAAAAAATCTAATAATTGAAAATTAGGGGTCAATTTGAAATAAATGATGTATAGGGAAACCTCCTGAACGCGACTACTCTACGTTCCATAGTAATAATGGTCGTTAATGGAGGTTAGTCGTTTTTAAAGGTTACCACAATCGACTTCAAAATGTTATCAAATGTACTTGATTTTTTGTTAACGATTTTAATTTTAGTCAGTGCCATTCTCTTGGTATAGAAATGCCACTTGTGTTGGCGTCATGAAAACCGGATCAAGGAATAAAATTTAGAGTCAATAAAAATGATCCCTATTGACATAATTATGTTTAAAATCGAAGTTACCAATTATGAATGATAGAACTATTTTAATTAAATAAGCAATCATTGATAGCATCGTCTTTAGTGCACCCTGACTGCAACAAGAGATTGTAGATCTCCAACAGAGATCGACAAGAAGAGCTTTATAAATAAGAGCTTCACACAAATATATCGATTACATTTTAATCTACTTATTTGTTTTAATATTTTTTCGTGTTTCCTTATTTGACCTGTTTTGCATTTGGTGTAAAGGTCTGCTAGGGCACTGGTAGAGGTTTTGATGGTCTCTTTTAAAGGTTTTCTTCAACACAAAGTGTATGGAAAAAATTTCCCAAAAGTGGGCGTATATACAGGAGGTCACTAATAGAGGTGGTCTTCCCTGGAGGTTTCACTGTATTAGGTTTACTTTATGAATTTAAGTACATAAATGAAAAGCAGGTGTTAGTAAATATTGAAAAAAAAAGAAGACAAATTAAGAAAGTACTTTTATTTTAAAACATATTATTTGCTGAGTTTCTTCTTATGTTTCTTTTTCATGTGCTTCAGATTCCTTTGGTACTGTTTTTTTTCTCTTTTAGCTTTCAGCTTATCACTTTTTTTTTGAAGTTTCTTCACTTCAAATTGAATATTGCTCTTTTGTAATACTTTTGCTCGTTTTGTTTTCATCTCTTTAATCATTTTTCGTAACCTTTAAAGAAACATAAAAAAGTAATTGTCATAAAAGATATTACAAAATACATAAAATGGGTATATATATATATATTTATGAATGAATGTAAAACGTATATATATTTGCATATACAGCTATATACAATACCCTACAGAAAAATCGCAAGTCTGACCTAATCTTTATGAAATCAAATAAATAAATCAATAAAAAAATTAAATAACTATATAGAAAAAATAAAAGAAACTTAAAAGAGGCATGAAAATTTTGAACAGATAAAGCATTACTGACTTTCCTGAACTCACAATGAAAATCATAATTAGCGAATGATCTCTAGGTTCAAAGATTGTGGTACAAATCTTAAAATACAGCAGTGTACTTAATGCCAACGTTATTGACTTTAAAACGACAGAAACAAAAGAGAGAGATTGACACGCTAGGCTAGTTTGCATTGCAATTTCAATGTAATGAAACACTTTCTTAAACAGATTTTCAAATCATTGAAAAGGGGACCAAAACATTAAAAAGAGGAGTAAAACAGACTTTGGAGAAGAAAAAAAAAAGTTAATTTGGTCATTAGGTGTTTTTTTCAACATATCCATAATTTAATTCAAAATAAATTCTTAACTAATAAATTTTGAAATTAAATAATATTACAAAATGTAGAAATAAATAAATTTTATTTTTTAATGATATAAAACAGTTGTACTAATATTTACTTCTCAATTTCTTCTTGAGTTTTGCCTGCAGCAAGAGGAAGAAAGGTCGAAGGAGAATTGTCTACTTCACTGATGGTCACTGTATGGTCAGGTAAATCATAGGTTACAGGTTCAACAAGATGTTCCACTTCTGCAAGAAACAAAGTGATAATTCAATATCTTCAAATGAAAGAAAATCAACATTCACTTCTTATTTAGGATATTAATTTTCAAACAAGCTAAAAAATGTGTAACATATTATTCCATTTATGGAAAATTTAATTATTCTCCCCCCCCTTTTTTTAATTATAATTCAATACTTTTAAAGAAATAAGCAAGATAACATTAAAAGCAAATAAAAAAAAATTAAAAATGACTACTATTTATTATTTTAAATTACTCAAATTCTATTCTCAAAATATTTTGCGGAATACAAAATTACCCTTAGTTTAAATTATGAAACAATTTCAAACTTCATATAGCTTTTTCTTTTATTAATAATAAAAATTAAGGAAAAGCTTTGAATTGATAGAAATTATTAGTTTCATTCTATCTTGTAGCTACTAAAAAATTTAGTGCTTTTCAAATCATCCACATTGTGATCTAACAGTTTTCGAATATTGATCATTTTAAAGATTAGTTTTGCAGTTAGGAAAACAAAAATTTCTTAAGATTATTAAAAAAGAGTATTTGAGAGTAACTGAGCACCATAAAAAGATATTTAATATTGAAGCCTATTATTTGGTCAGGACTTTCAATCATTTCGGTTATAAAAGTTCGATTATATGGCAAATAATACTTCTTCCAGTTTTAAGATAAGCATTACATATGAAAATGTATATGGGTACAAACACACATAAAGTATTAAGAAATGAAAGTGAATCCTAAACAGTGTTCATTGACTTGGTTACAGTTAATTATGAGTGTTAAAGTTAAATAAAGTTGTAAATAAATCTAATGATAAGTTACATATCATTTGAATTTAGTAAATTCAACTTTTTCCTCTCTGGAGCACCTAATTTATGGCAGCTAATGAGAGGCCAGGGCTAAATACAACTTACAACATGCCATAAGCAATTATAAATTAACTTACAAAGAGTTTTTGACAATAATTAAACACACAGCTATTTTATACTTTTGTCCATTGACTCCATTTATTTCTGACTTAAAAACCCTTGGACATGTTTTTCGCCTATACGATTATAAGGCTATGTCTAACAAATTTGGAAAACAATAAGCTAAATTTACGGTCACACTAACTACCAAATTGGTGCAAATTATTTGAAAATGGAGAAATATTTACATCAGTACATTAGAAGAATAGAGTAAAGAGAGAATCAAGAAATAAAAACATTAAATTCAGAAGTCTGGTTTTGGTTAAAGATGGCAATCTTCCCATGCATGGTTGGATAATTATAAGAACAGTAAATGCACTTTTAAGTAAAAATAACAATGCATGCGTTGTTAAGGTTCAAAAAAAAAAAAAAAAAATTCTTACGAAAGATTTGTTACCGTGGAAAGTCGTGTATCCGGACTCGGTGGGACTTCCGGAAGTCCGGATAATAGATTTTTCCGTATAATAGACCCCAAGGTAAACAAAGCTTATAACGACCTAATAAATTATCTGAATATAAGAAGCAAAAAATAAATGAACATTATTTTTCGGGCAATAATGTTTCAGTGTTAGAATGATATCTAATCAATCGAAAACAGAATATTAGAAAAAAAATAATTATTGCTTAAAATATAGAAAAAAAATTTTGACAGTTATGAAAATATTAATTGTTCTGGCCCCCATTTTGAACTAGAAATATTTAAGCAAGAAGGGGAAATTCCAGTCATTCATTAAGGGGGGTAGATGAAGGAGAAAAATTCATTTCCTCCTTATTTGTCATTCAAGTTGAGGGCGGGGAAGTGACAAATTTCTATTTTCTCTCCCATCATTGGCTATCAATCAAGCATAAAGGAGTGGCATGCTGATTGGGTTCTCTTTATTTTTTGTGTGACTGAAAGTGACTCCCTCTCCACATTAACCTTTGCTGTGTTTACCCTTTTTCACAGTATTTCTCCTTTCCCTAACACTCTTATAAAAAGGTTCCAGGAAATGCATCTTTTACTAGCCAGTTGCATAGGAAAGAAGGGGAGGAGGGAGGGAATCAGTTGTGCTCTCTTGAAAACAAATCTCCCTCCGTTCCTGCATTCCAGAGGAGGAGTGTCACTAATGGTCAGTGGACAGTCTTGGTAGATCTTCTCTTCCCCTGTCTGTTGATTTATGGGTTCAATGCATAAATCACTAGAAGTTAGAAAAGGAAAAAACATGTCAAAAAACCTTTTTTTTTTAAATTATTTTTTCTAAAGAGAGGGGAAGATGAAGAGATGTTTGTTTATTTTGATTGTTAAAAAGTGTCTGGGAAATCGACTCTTCCGGAAAAGGGACGTCCAGATATGGGACGTTAAACTGTATAAAAATAGCAGTAATGATGTTGGAAGAAGATTAGCTTATAACAAACTTTGTAATTGTTACTTAAGTTTTAAAAAATGGATAGCTTCAAAAATAGTTTTACCTGGGACAGTTCTTTGTGTCTTAATTGCTTCTTCAAATGCTTCCTTTTGCTACACAAAGAATAAAAATAAGTAATTCAGTTAATATGTTAGCATGGTAAAAAATACAAATAGGAGCAACTGAATAAACAATCCTTTTCCCCCCAATAGAATAAAAGCTAAATGAGAAATATTTGCTCTGTAGCAGTGGCAATATTGCCAAAAACTAGTTTACTTATTTATTAGAAAGAAAAAACAAAGTCTAACCTATATGGGTTTTTTCCAAAACCAGATGAAATTGAGTTAATATTAAATAAATGAAACAGATATCTAAATTGAAAGTGACATTCTTAAATCATGAGGATACATTAGACAGTGAAATCATAAGTTTTTCACATCAAGAAAGAGATATCAATGCCCCTTGATGCCCAATTTTTTTTCTTTTAAAACATGATGCTTAGGCAACATTTTGTTTTGTTTAAAAAATTAGCAAAATAAAACAATATTAAATCTATTTAAACTTAAAAAAATAAATAAATTACACACCAATAAATTTTTTTCTTATTATTGATATAATTGCTACAATATACAGAGCTCATTATAGGCAGGGTAAACAGGGCGCAGCACCCTGCTGCTCTTTTAGTCAAAAGAATCCACCTTGTTGCCCCCCCTGAAGTAAATTAGTGCCCTGATATAATAGACTCCATAACCTTTTTGCCCTTTCTTTCCTCAACCTTTCTTTGTTTTTTCCCCAAACTCTACCATGGATTTCTTAAACTTTTGCTACTTTCAACTTTTTTTATTTAGTTTGTCATTGCTGTCAATACATAGGAATACATTTATATGGGAAAGGAAAAATAACCATCACACCCCTTGTTGAACTTGTCATTGAAAGTTTGCAGTTACTTTCACTACCGTTAAATCATAATTATTAATCATTTTAATTATTAAATCATAAGTACAGAAACTTAAAAACATACATTTATTATTTTATTAATATATGCATGCATTTTAAATAAATTACTAAGCTACTAAATAAATTACTACCCATTAACTCAATATATATGTTAATTTATTAATAAAAATTAGTAATTAATATGATTACTTTGCTACTTTTAGTAAAGTAAAAAAAAAAATTCTTTTACTAATTGACAATGTTTTTTAATACTAGAACGTGTAAAACCCATAGAAGGAAATTATTGCCTTTTTAGAATAATAATGCCCTATTTTTAAATTTTTGCACCCTGCCCTTTTTTTGTGCCTAGAATGAGCTCTGCATATTGGCTACATTAGAGCAATGTGGCGAACAGTAAAAGGTTTAGGCCATGTTGCCTTTTTGGAAGGATGGCTGTTGATGTGGTGGTATATGTGAACTTGAATTAGGATAGAATTTGGTTTCGCACTGACTACAGATGAATTTTTTTCTCTTAGTTTTAGAATTACAACATCTTTTAGTTCCCATGCTATTACCGTTAATGTAGGATCCAGCCAATACACATTCCTACTAAAATTTGCTGTTCTTTACATTGCTGTAATGAAATATGACACTTTTATTTGTTATTGTTGTTGGCTGCTGAAAAGTTACAACATTTTTTATTATATATATAAAATCCTTAATCTTGTATAGAATTCAAATATTATGATTGCTGGTTCATGTCCCCATGTTTAACTTACTCTGTCTGTCTCTCCCTATATACATTATATAGTGTATTCATTTAGAAATAATTATATTGATAAACAGAAATTACTAAATAAATATCAAGATATAATCAAAGAAATGAAAATATAATTAAAAACTTTACTTAAGAAAACTAGTTAAAACTTTATTGGTTACTAGCCTCAAATGTAATTAAATATCTTATNTTATTTATTTATTAGAAAGAAAAAAAAATCAACCTATATGGGTTTTTTCCAAAACCAGATGAAACTGAGTTAACATTAAATAAATGGAATAGATATCTAAATTGAAAGTGGCATTCTTAAATCATGAGGATTACATTAGACAGTGAAATCATAAGTTTTTCACATCAAGAAAGAGATATCAATTGATGGCCAATTTTTTTCCCTTACAAACAGGATGCTTAGCCAACATTTTGTTTTGTTTAAAAAATAAGCAAAATAAAGCAATATTAAATCTATTTAAACTTAAAAAAATAAATAAATTACACACCAATAATTTTTTTTCTTATTATTGATATAATTGCTACAATATATATATTGGTTACATTATAGCAATGTGGCGAAGAGTAAAAGGTTTAGTAGGCCATGTTGCTTTTTTCGAAGGATGGCTGTTGATGTGGTGGTATATGTGAACTTGGATTAGGATAGAATTTGGTTTCGCACTGACTACAGATGAATTTTTTTCTTAGTTTTAGAATTATAACATCTTTTAGTTCCCATGTTATTACCGTTAATGTAGGATCCAGCCAATACACATTCCTACTAAAATTTCCTGTTCTTTACATTGCTGTAATGAAATATGACACTTTTTTTTTGTTATTGTTGTTGGCTGCTGATGAGTTACAACATTTTTAATTATATATATAAAATCCTTAATCTTGTATAGAATTGAAATATTATGATTGCTGGTCCATGTCCCCATGTTTAACTTACTCTGTCTGTCTCTCCCTATATACATTATATAATGTATTAATTATTTAGCAATAATTTAATTGATAAACAGAAATTACTAAATAAATATCAAGATATAATCAAAGAAATGAAAATATAATTAAAAACTTAAGAAAACTAGTTAAAACTTTATTGGTTACTAGCCTCAAATGTAATTAAATATCTTATTTTAATGAGAATAAAATTTCATAAAAATTATAAGTAAACTATTTGTCAAAACAAATCAGTGAGACATAAAGTTGAACCACTTACATTATGTTTTATTTTTTTCATTTCTTCTTTTAACTTCTTATCAAGATTTAGTTTAGCTTTTACTTTACGAGCCAAATTTCTTTTTCGAGATCCAGTGAGAAATTCTCTGAAATTAAAAATGATAACATTTTAATTGAAATATTCGGTAAAAGATATATTTTTTTTTGTAAAAAAAAAAAAAAATAGACATTATTATTAATTTAAAGTTACCTGTTGGGCACGTGCGAACCTAAGTTACAGAGACAAGCAATATTACCTGTGACACACTGCCATAGTAGGCACCATTCACAGATCACATAACACGCAGAGAAGCACATCCATGCCCTAAGTGGGATTCAAACTTGCAATTATTGGCTTCGTAGTCAGGCATGCTGACCACTAGGTCACCTGGCCATTTAAACACAATAAATATAACAATATGCTAAAAGGTGAGCTCTGATGGCTCAGGGGATAAGAGCATTCACCTTATCAATGAGGTGAACTAGGTTCGAATCCCAGCGACGGCTGGTCGATACCAATGATGGATCATGGGTTAGAGTCCCCTTGCCGTAAGGCTAACCATGGGAGGTTCTCCCGGTCTTCCTCTCCATGTTACATAAATGTGGGTTAGTTTGATCAAAAAATTTTCCACAAAGGCAAATTTCTCCCAATACTTGATCCAAGAGTTTCCTTATCAGCTGGATTGGGTTAAAAATTGCAAGGCTACGAAGTTGAACATTAGTAGTCGTAAACACAAAAAAATGGGTCGGCTGATCAACAACAGTTATAAAATAAAATAAAACATGTCTTATATATGCCAATATGTTAATGTGAATAATGCTTCATAACTCAGATAATATTGTAACATATAAAGAACATAATTTACGCTTGCAAATAGAACAGATTTATTTACAAACGACTAGAATAAAAAGAATATAGTAACTTCCATTTCCGCATGAACTTATATATAGTGCAATAAGGAAACAAAAATCATGTAAGAGCTAATGTAAGGAACTTCTAGAACATTCCAGAAAAATAAATAAAATCTTAAAATTACTTATATACGCATTTAAATGCTTCTGAAGTCTTGGTAAAAATTGGGAGAACTTGGAGGATGGAATTGGACCTACGACTTGCCATGTGCATGCCTTTAGTCACTTAAGATGAGAATAACTCTTTTAAATTGACAAAGTGAAAATATTCTTTTTAAAAATGAATTATCAGCATGTGCTATTAAATGTTTTTATGTTGAAATTATTTTATTTTATAACCGTCGTTGAACAGTCGACCCAATTTCATGGGTTTACGACTACTTACGTTCAACTCCGTAGCCTTGAAATTTTGAACCAATCCAGAAGACAAGGAAACTCCTGGATCAGTACCCCCAGAGGTATTGATTTGTTGTGGGAACATGGAGGACTTTGAGACTCTTGGATATGGGCCCAGCGCCCTACCGACCAGGCTATCCCGGCCCATGTTGAAATTATTGGAAAGATTTCTGCATCGTGATCTAGAGCAGAATAATTACCAAGTTTTAATTTCCAGTCAATTAAATAAAACATCACAAAGGGGAGCCAACTTGAAGGGTGAGTAACTCATAGTTACCCTAAAGCAAACCACTACATATTTATTTTCTTTTTAAATTTCTAAGTTTCAAGCCAATTTAGTACCTTGGTGGTTGTAGTTGGTGCAAAAGATCTCAATAGGGAAATATTTCTAAATTATGCAATAATGCTATTAGTTACCTAATAATAACAACTTTTCCGTATCATGATCTGTCATGCCAACTACAATCACCAAGGTGCCAAATAGATATTAAACTTGCATTTAAAAAAAAACACGCATATTCTTGCCCGGAGGTGGCTGCGAGTTATATCTTTTGAGTTGGTCCCTTCGTGTAAATTTCTTTTGAGCACTACCCGGAAATAGTCAAGACTTGGCGATTATTCTGTCACAGATCATAATACGGATATCTCCCTATAATAGCAGTCTCATAACTAAAAAAATTATTTTTTATAGAAACAAATAATTCAACTTAGAAACAAAATTATTTTAAAGGTACTTTTAAAGTAAAAAGTGCTACAGAAAGTAAATAAATGGCCAGCAATAAATTTACTTTAGTGACCAGATAAGTTTCACAGACTTGCCCTTTACCAGTTAGAGCCAAAATTTGAAAAAAATTTTTTGGCACAGTTACAGAAGTTTTAAAGTGGTTATTTTCCACTGGGTCATCCATGCTTTGAATTAGTAAGTCAGGAAACACGTTGTCTTTCCAACTACATAGCAGTGTTTAAATATCTTATTGTAAAACAGAACTTTATGTAGAATAACAAATTTCTTTTCAAAGTTATTATCAGTGGTTAATAAATGATTTGATAATTAAATAATTGTTGGAATAGACAGGGTATAATCTGAATTATTAACTTACGCTCGTTCAATTTCATCAAATATTAGATGAACTTTTTTTCTTTTCTCTCCTTTATTTTTCTTCATAATAATAAAGCTAAAGATAGTTTACGTACAATTGAAGTAGGTACCCACAAATTCAGATATATTTTTAGTCGCACAAGTACGATCTTCTTGAGTTTGTTTACATTTATAAGAAAAATTTCCGGCGGTTTATTTCTGCTGGTCTGTGCACGTCGAGTGCACATAATCGTCGAGAGAAAAGTAGAATCTGATTGGTAAGTTTTTCATGTGAGAATACATGTCACCAATCAGATTCTGAGAATCAGAGGTTTGTAAATTGCTGATCAAAATGGTCCCTGAAAGGTGAAATTAAGATCTGTCATGCAAGCTATAAGCAGTGTGACTACGCTTGCAATGTTTAGAAAATGATCTAATTGTCAAATTTTATACAACCTCATATTTATACAATCCATCAAACCAATATCAAACCTGGAAAAAATAGTTCATTTAGTTGAAAAATATACAAAAAATATTGTTAGTCTATTCTGTATTTCACTTTTATTTATTTTTTCTATTGAAGATTATGTAATTTTTATTTATAGCTAAAATTTGTTTAAGGACTGAATTTTTACATTAAAAAAAATTCAATCCATATACGAAAAGTGATAAAATATTCCGGAAAACAAATAATATGATTGATTATTTATTTCCGGTATTTACTGTTACTTTTTATTTTCAATGATTTTGGATTTAGGATATGGAATTGGTATGCATTTGAATTGAGGTGTGACAGTGACATAATGTGTTAGCTTGATTATAATGAATTATCATAATTCTTCATTTCTTTTTTTAGGAGCACAGAGTATGCATACGGGACCTTAATCCTCAAATTGTATGCATTCTCTGTGCTGGATATTTCATTGATGCTACTACAATTTCAGAATGTCTGCATACATGTAAGCAACTCTTCTCTTATTGTTATTTATTTTTAGTCGCTTTTCATTATAATTATTTATCCATTTTGGGGATGATTTCGTATTTTTTCACCAACGGCAAAGTTATTTTAAACTTTTTGAAACATAAAAGCAAATATTTACAGGTTGTCCTGGAGGATGACTATGCATTATTTTTGACTAAGCATTATTTTTGGGTTGGTTCCATGGAGTTTTTTCCCCTTCAGTTTCTCATGGTTCAATGCTTTCAAATCTCCTGAACGAAAATAAGAAGATGTGTTTATAAGCCTTTGTTTCTATTTGGTTTACTGTTTGTTCCTATTTGGTTTATTTGAATTCTTTAAAGAAAGAGTTTTCCATTATAATCTAAATTTATAATGTAATTTAATGCTGAATATATAAATAGTTATACCTACCTATAGAGAGCAAAAACCATACATATGGCTCTAAAATTTTTTGTAAACATATGTCTATTTTTTATTTTGCTTTACATGTACATAAGGATAAAAGATACAACTGTGTATTTTTTCTCTTTACATGCCGGGCATTTTAAAATTAAAAATGTGACAAAATTTACTAAGTTTCCTGATGGGACAAATTAACAACACCAAAAGTCTAGGGGAAAAAATCAAATATTTTTGATGAAACCAAATTTATATAATTGACTTTGATTAGATAAATGCTAGTTAATTAAGGAAAGTTAGCTCTCGATTTTTTATTCCTCATGTCTTGCTTATTTTTATAAATTTTTTTTTTACCCTAATCATGGTGCATAAGAAAAAAATTAAAGTTTACATGTCACATTTTATTGTAAAAAGGTATGAACTTGCCTATGGCACTAAATTATTTTGATAATATTACTTCTATGTGAATAAAAATTCTATGCATTTACTTCATTAACATTTATTCATGTTTAATACATATATGTTAATAATGCTCTGGGTTATGCTAAAATAAAAATGTTGATGTAATGTTAATCTTATTTTTCAGATTAATGTTAGGTATATCATTAATTATGACACAACGCAATCAAAACAATTTTAGGCAAATACTCATATTATGCTCAGCATTGCTGGTAATAAAATCTTAAAAACAAACAAAAACTGCTGGTAACAAAATTAATAAAATCTTTCTCGACCTGATATGTGCAGGGTACGGCGAAAAAACTCAAAGCTGTTGCACCATAGAATGGAATTTAATTAATTTCTTTTTAATATCTGTGTTCATTTATTTTTGTCTGCCACTGTAATTATGAACTATTTTATATCTTTTTGTTTGTGCATTGTTTAGCTTTTGATGTCGGTCTAAAGATCTGCGATTTTAAAATTGTGTGAGCTAGGAAAACAACAGTGTGAAATAGTTTGTTTACTCTTATACACAAAAGTTTTGACTCCGTAAAGTAATTGGAAATGGAATAGATTAAAGATAGTTTGCGCCTTTGCATTGCTGCGAAAGGCAGTCACTTTGAAACCAATTAAATTCTATTCTTCTTATTATTTGTTATATTTTGTAAATTAATTTATTAAAAAAGTTTGAAAACTGTTTGCCCAAGTTTTTTTTGCCGCATCTTAGATGTATACATGTATATAATTCCATCTAAACTTTAAAGATAACTTTACAAAAATTCTAAACACTTAACAATTAATAAAAAACAGCGAAATTGATGAAAAATCAACACAAAAAAATGTTACGTATTTTATCTGATTGAGAGATTGTGGATTTTTAAATTATTTATGTACGTGAATTAAAAATTTTTTTGTAATTTCATATAATTTAGAACATCTCTTATTATTTTAATTTAATAAATTCTTGTTATTAATTTCTTACTGTGTATTTATTATTTAGTTTGTAAGAGCTGCATAGTGAAGTATTTACAAACAACTAAGTATTGTCCAATGTGCAATGTCAAAGTTCATGAAACACAGCCATTACTTAACTTGAAGATAGACAGAACTCTTCAGGACATTGTTTATAAAGTAGTACCTGGTCTCTGGGATGGTAAGTTTCTTACTTTCTTATTAGTAGTTTTATGACTGTTACCTTAAATAAATAACTAATTATACAGGGTTCCAATGGTCATAAAAAGTCCTTAAAACTGCTTAATTTTGATACAAGGTTTTTAAAAGTCCTTAATTTTTCAGCTTCATTATATTTGATAGGAACTATTTTTCAGTTTAATTTTTTAAAACAAAATCAAAATGCTATTCTATTATCACTTAGAATTAGAGCATGCATTGAGGGTAAAGCATTTCAGAGAGACAATATTAATGTGTGTGAGAGACAAAATTTATGTAAAAAGCTACAGGCAAGGGGAAGAAAGCATGTAGTTTCATTAATATGTTCTGCCTTTTGTCTAGAATGGTACTGCCTTTTGGCCTAGAAGAGAGTGAAGCATTTTAAGAGAAAAGAATAGTGTGGACAAGGGGATACTGCACATCGAAGAGATAGTGCTTTTTTTTGTGGGGGAGGCAGTTTTAAGGTAGTAGAAGTAAGTAGAAGACACAAACCTTCAAAATTGACAGAATTCAAGAAATTCAGTTCTACTGATAACACATCTGCTTATAGGAATTAAATAAAACACAAAGAAAAGAAGTATCAGAAAAATTTTTTTGAACTGGAATTCCTAACGAAAACTATTTCCTAAAATCTTTAAGAATTAAATATATTTGTATAGTATTTCAATCTGAAATAGGCAATTGTAAATTTATGGAAAGCAGTAACATTTATTAAAATTTGTGTTTGTACTAAAAATTAAACAGATCTGTAGGAAATAGGATTTGAAAAATCCCAGGCCACCTAGGTTTTTCATCAAAAACCTGGGGTTAATTGGGTTAGGATGAAAACCTCAGGTTTTTTTCAAAAATACTTAAATTTTTTTTTCCTGAGTACTAAATAAGAAAGCATGATTTTCTTCTAACACAATAATATAAAATAATATAAATATTATTTTATATTAATGTTAAATATTTGGAGACTATTTACAATTTGTTTTGTTGTAATGTTAATTATTATAATTTTTTTTTTTTAAGATTTAGATTGTTACGCTATTATTTTTATTTCTTAAGGACAAGCAGATTGTTACATAAAAATTTTAATCTACTTAACTAAAAGATCCTTGATTTTAATTATCATTTTATTCAGTTAACATTGTAACTCTATATACCGTTTTTAATTTTTATTCACTTTTTGGTTGCTTTAAAATTAGTTCATGTTTTTCGCCAGAATGTTTAGTAACATTATGTAAAGTTAATTCCTAATAATAGGTTTGGCTGGAAATAATTTTGTGTGAAGTTCATCATGAAAGTAAATATAACACATTTTCTGGTCTAGTAGCAAAACATAAACATTTGTTGTAATAATTTTTTCAATGTTTCTGCGAAATTTCTTTATTTACTCTTTTTTTTTAAATATACATGAAAAAAAATGCAAATCTTAATTTCTGCATTTAATTTTACTATTCAATTTCAATGAAATCATTACAAATGGAATACTGATTAGTTTAATAGATTATGTAAAATTTTAACAATCTGAAAATGTTTTTTTTTTATTTATTTATTTTTTTTAAAGCAACCAAGGTATGCAAAAATTACCTGGTACTTATTTGGTGAGCCCTGTCAATTAATACAATTATATTAGTACTTACATTATGATAAAATTGCTTTATTATTATTTTTTTTAAGAAAGGTAAATAAATGGTACTGTCACTGGTAGTGTATATGTATACGATGATAAACAATTATACTATTTTAAAGTCTTAATTTTTCAAAAAAGTACTTGATTTTTTTAAAGAAAAGTCCTTAAGAGGGCTTAATTTTTGCTTTGTTAAAAGAGTGGGAACCCTGTTATTATATTAACAAGATACAAACTCGCTTATAATGAGAACTTAGGGATTAAGAGAATTAAAAATAAGGGTTCTCCTATAAAAATGAGTTGGCTAAAACTATCAAAAATAAAAGGCATGTTCTACATACATCAACAAGAATGTCTTTAAAAATGACTCATTTTTTTAAACTTTATTTACATTGATTGAAATAAGGTTTGAGTTTTTTGGGATTAAATTTCAATAACTCTTTGACTTGCTGGATTCATGACATGACAATCTTCATATAGCAGTGGTCCTGTGATTTAAATGTTAGATTCTGTGAAACATTTGGTGAGAAACCTGTTCACAGATATGAATAACAATATATAGAATCTATTTAATGATTCACATGTCTTCTAAGTTGTGTGATTCATGGTTAGACTTATTCGGACATTTTTTGTATGTATGGTTTATTTAGTTTAATTTTGGGGCGTTTAAAAATCCTCTTAATGGGCGTTTAAAAATCCTCTTAAAGATAATGACATTAAATTTCTATGTTGAATTTGAGAATTCAGAATAACTGAGTTTCAAAATTAAAACTTTGCAAAATGTTCTCTTTAAATCAACACTTGTAATAAACAAGTTTGGCTGTACTAAAAACAGAGTTCTCCCTAGGAAAAAAACGGGTGTTGCCTCTCTGAAAAAGGCACTATAAGTTTTAAAAGGGCACTTATTCATTACCATAAAAATTTATCAAAATGTGTAATATTATGAAATAACTGAATTTGACTGTTAATTTTTCTGTGGAGCAGAGAGCGCTGTATTTCGGCATTCAGTTTGCAAACATGCCATTACATAAGTTATCCGTTTTAGGTGATGTCACGAGATCTTAAACATGAGCTCTTGGAACGTTTTGTTTAATTGTAATTTCGTTTGAACACGTCTATTCCACTCCAGAGTTAAACTTCTTCTAAAAAACAATTTAAATATTTTATACAATACAATGTTTTATTCGAAATTCAGTGCCAATTCAGTTTTTTTTTTCGAATTTTTTTTGTCAGAATTAGTTGATGGCGAATGAGTTGAAACTAGAGAAACAGGAATCAATTATTTGCTTCCAAAAAGTTTTTTTGAGATTTTATTTTCATTTTATTTTATTTAAGCCTGTTGCTCCTTTATGCTTGATAGGATAAAAATAAGAGAAATGAATCGTCTTCACCTTTCCTTCACAGCTTTAAGGATAACTCAGTTGTTCTAGTTAAAAAATGACTTGAGTAGCTAGCTTTCCCTGTTTTCTGAAAACCGTAAAAAAAGTTTTTGTACTGTACAGTTAACTATACTTCGATTTAACTATTGATTACAAATACTCGTATATTAGCTATTTTCATATTCCAATTAAAAATTTGCATTTTCGCTTCACTTTTTTTTAACTTTATTATATTTGCATAGTGAAGTGTAGATATATATTTTTTTATTACCCTTCCATCCTCTGTTTATTGATATGCATGTGTAACGCAATTCCTCTTGTAAATCAAGGACCTCACACATTTCCTTTTACTCAACTTCAAGGATGACTGGGATTTCGACATTTTGCTTCTATCTTTTTAATTCAAAATAGGGGGGGGGGGAACAGCAAAATTTTTCTTGTTTTTTTAGATACCTGATAAAAGTTTTCTGTACTATTACTTATTATTTTTTTATGTAGTTTAACTTTATTAATTATTTAATGCTTATAATTTAGATTTTTTGGTTCAGCAATTATTCAAATAAATAATTTTTCAGATGCATTCTTGATGTAAATTTTTTTAAACCATTTAAATGTTTTCTTTCAAATAAAAATAAATGAATTTGAATAAATAAGAATTTTATTTACAGATGAAATGAAGAGACGTCGAGATTTTGAGATGACAAGGGGATTAAAAAATCCTTATGGGGGTAAGATCATATTTTTGTTTCTTCACTTCTCTATTTCTTTTGTGTCACATGATAAATATTTCGCCTTCTTTAAAGCATAAATGTGCATATCTTTGTGTACACTATTTAAGAAAAATGTCCTTTTGGTTTAATTTTTTCTAGCTTTTTTTTAACTGTCAACGCTCTGGAAAATCTTTTCAAAAGTAATTATTATATTTAGATGGAATTTTTTAAACTCCTTTTCAGAAATATTCAAAACTTTTATATAGTATTTCATTCTAAGTGCCAGCCAAGTATGAGATAATTTACTAAACAAGTTTGTATAACAAAACATCATCATGGATATTTAACTTTCCATGATTTATGAATGTCATTTTTGCAGCTTTAAAATGCCTATAACTCTGTTGAAAAACATCAAACTGCTCTAATAATATTTGTTAAAATTACTCCTCGTACCATTTATGCTAACTATGTTTAGTGGTTTTCATTAGTCTTAAAAAAATTAAAAACTGAGTGTTAAGAATACTTGCAGTCTTGTAATACAAATGGATCGCAATATGTTACATCTGTAAAAGCCAATTTTTGAAAAAAAATTTTAACAAAAATTCGAACTTTTTGATTTTTTTAGCGGAATTATATGCATTTAACGTCTGCAAACATGATTTTCATAAACACGATTTCACAAACATGATTTCTAAATATACTAAAAGACTGCTGAGTCTATTCTTGTCCAATATCAATCTTAGAGTAGCAACATGTGAAATATGTTGGAATGAATAAAATTTAGGTCACCCATAGTAGCAGTAGCTTCTTCCCTAGAATAGAATGAAGAGGTGATTCATTATCCGTTACTCCAGAATAGCGAAGAAAAATTACTCATTGTTTCTTTTTAATATAAATTCAATATCATTAAAAAATTTTTCTTGCAGAAATTGTAACATTCAGAAACATGATTGACAAGACTTATTAGATTTTTATCTCTCCTAAGGTTATATTTTATGAAATTTTTTTTATTATGCATTGATGAATATTTTATATTATATTTTAGTTTTGTGGAAGTTGAAAATGATTTAGCTATTTTTTCTTAAATAGAAATTATGTGCTTTTTTCATATGTTAAAATTTTTATTTCTCCAGGTTCCGTTGAAAATAATTTGGAAGAATCAGAAGATGTTTATTTATCTACCCAGCACTATTTTATGAATGATGAACTTATTCACATTTGTTTAGAGCCCTATGATGAGTAATTAAATTTTACCCTTAATTTTATGACTTTTTTTTGTGCCTTTAGTTTAAAAAACTTTTTTTTCTTTTTGTAGGAATGACTTGTATGACCAGGAGTTAAAATATCCACTGAGAAAGTTTGTTAGGTGCTCTGTTCGTGCCCAAGTGTTCCATTTGAAAAAATTAATTAAAAAAATTTGGCCTCATCTTTCAAACAAAGAAGTACGATTTTTTTAAAAAATTTATTATTACTGTAAGCAATGAAAAATATTTTTTAAAGATAAAATTAAAAATCTATCTAATCATCTGTTTATTGTTAAAATGATTATTATAAATTTTTTTTAGGTGTTCTGTTGGTGCAATTTCAATTAAAAAAATTAAATAAAAAAATTTGATCACATCTTTCAAACAAAAATGACTTTTCTTAATTCTTTAATTACTGCTATTAAAAAAATAATATTTTAAAAAAACATAACTAACAACCAATATTACTGAGTATTCCAAAAGTAACAGGTGATTCAAAAAATCAATTAAAGAAAGGCAAATGTTAATAACCAAAAAAGATTTGGTGTTCTATTTAAACAAGCAGGAATTCAATCAAACAATTGTTCATTCAAAATAGATTATTTAAAATTTTTTTAAATGATTGATCATTAAATTTTTTTTTCAAAATAGATTGTTTCAAAATGGTTTCTCAAATTGCTCATGGGATTTTTAAAAAATTCCTCATTCAAGAGTTTAAGCTATTCAGAGCGCTTCTCATTCCCGAACTCATGTCACAAAATTAAGATCATATCATCAGGTTTGAAAATTAGGTATTTAAATTAAATATTGAACATTTTGCGGAGTAATAAAAGAATTGATTATATATATATATATATATATATATGTGTGTGTGATGCCAGAATTGGCATACACATATTTATTTTCTATCTTTTTAAAATATCCTTCATTACTTAAGCTTATTTTTATTAATAGAATTACTTTTAAAATAAATCAAAAACTTAATCTTTTTAAACGAACATAAAATATTTATTTCTTCTCTTCCAGATCAATGTAACGGATACTTTCTTTTTATTTCATTATTATGCAGACATATAAATTCACTGTCGCCTCTAATCGAAAACAAAAATCTATTTATAACTTTTCATTCTAATTTTCCAACGGCTAAATGTTTCGGTTGCATGGTTATAATAATTCACATAAATTTGTTGGCGACTCGTGATCGCCAAGGTGTTCTTTTTAACCCATGTNCACATAAATTTGTTGGCGACTCATGATCGCCAAGGTTTTCTTTTTAACCCATGTGGATATGCTAGTTGACTTTGTTTTTGGCTATGATATACGGTGATAAATCGCCGCTAATTATGGATCTCCTACCCATACTTTCTCTGTCCGTTATGAATAAATATATTCACTTTTAATTTCAAATTTGTGGAGACTGGGACCCCTTTTTGGGGGCCTCCCAAGTCTCAATTTTCTAACGGTCAGAAATGTTGTTCTGGCTTTATGATCTCTCAATAGAGAGTATTATTATTTCATCCCTTTAAGGGTTTTCTTATTTTGATGTGGCCACTATCTGATTCAAATTATACTTAATAAAATCTAAATTTACATTCAATGATTTGCACATTATTTCCTGGAAACTCAACTGTTATTGTTTTATTCATTCAATATTGGCCTAAATGAACATTCATATATACCACTATCAATGATACGCCTAATGAAGGAAGCAGCAAAGCTTTCATCATTATAATATGTAATGCTTTGAAAGCATTAACATGGTAAATTGGAAGTGTAGCTGATGGTTATTGAAACTGATATAGGAACAAATCGAAAAATTGAATTCTGTTTGGGTAAGAGCTGAAGAGAGCCAAAAATGAGAACATTACATTTTGAATAAAAATTACATTTGAATGAGAACATTACATTTTGAATGAACATTACATTTGAATGAGAACATAACATTTTTGAAAATGAGAGCATTGCAAATTGATATAGAAGAGGCAATTTGACCTTGGAAAGAGGGATTTTTATATCTTCCTTGACAATATATTAAACTCCTTGCCTGCCAAGACACCGATGAAGATGCGCACCGTGGACGCCTTGAAGAGGCTGTTAGCGACGAAAATATCAAATAAGTTCGCAAAATAATTTTAGATTACCATAAAGTGCAGTTGATCAAAATATCTGAGACTCTAAAGATATCAAAGGAAAGTGTTAGACATATCGTGAATGAATATTTGGGTATGAGAAAGTTCTAGGCAATGTGGGTGCCGCACGAGCTCACAATTGACCAAAAACAGCAAGGAATTGATGATTCTGAGCTGTGTTTGAAGCTGTTTAATCGTAATAAATCAGAATTTATGTGTCGATATATGACAATGAGTGAAACATGGCTCCAAAATTTCACACTGGAGTCCAATCGACCGGCAGCGAGTGAACTGCACGAGAAGAACCAACTTCAAAGCTTGGAAAAATGCAAAAGTCAGCAGGCAAAGTTATGACATCAGTATTTTGGAATGCTCATGGTTTAATATTCATTGACTATTTTGAAAAAGGAACAACCATAACCATCGACTATTACTGTTTCATCAAGACAATGCATCATGTCACAAGTCAATGAAAATGATGGCAAAATTATATAAATTTGTCTTCGAATTGCTTCCGCATCCACGGTATTCTCCAGATCTGGTCCCCAGCTGGTTTTCCTGTTCTCAGACCTCAAGAGAATGCTCGCTGGAAAGAAATTTAGCGCCAATGAAGAAGTAGTCACTGAAACTAAGCCCTATTTTGAAGCTAAAGACAAATCGTACTATAAAAATGGTATCGAAAAATTATATGACCGCTATAATTGTTGTATCACTCTTGAAGGAAACTATATTGAATAATAAAATGAAATTTTATCAAATTTTTTTTTTTTCTATGTTAGCATACGAACTTTTCAGCCCACCTGTTATATACGCCTGCAGTAGGCAAGGGGTTAAAAATGAATAGGTCTTAGTAATATGGGACTTATCAATCTCCCTATCTACTTAAAACACATCATCACATTTTCTTAGATAATTAGATTTAGTATTTTTACTTTCTTCGTGGGAAAAGTTTTAATTGATTATGCATTAGATATAAGCTCTATTTATGGGATAGATTTATAATGTGCATAATAAATTAATACATAATATATTAATACATTTTTCTTTTATTATATATTTATGCATACTCACTTTATGTTTGTAGTTGAAAAATATTGTATTTGATAAGTTTTTTTAAATCTTTTTTTTATTAGCTCATAGCACTGTGTGATGGTGAACCTCTTCCAGATAGTCATTGTTTAAAAAGGGTTTGGTTGTCTCACAATAATGAAGTAAGTATTTTATCTGTTTTGGATTCTCAGAATTCTGAAGAAAAAAAGAATTAATTACAGAAATAGCATTGTAAAAATATAAATATTTTTCCTTTTCTATTTTATAAAAAAAAAAAAAATACAATTCCCAATTATTTTTAAGCAGTAAAAGGGGGTAATTTTTTTAATGTTTATTAGAGATGGGTAAGTACTAATTTTTTTGATATCAGTTATAAGTAGATATTTATGCAACTGTTTATCAGTTTCAAAAGCCTGATACCTTAAGTATCAGACACATAAAAATCTTAATTTAAATCTTAAGTAAAAGTGAGAGTGAAAAGTTATCAGAGTAACTTTCTTTTTTATTAGAGCTAAAATTGTATATTAAATTTATGAGCTTACTCCGAATTTTAATTTGCTTAAATTGCAGGCTTAAATATTTTTGATGATAATATAAAAAGGGTAAACTTGTAGTAAAATTAGTCGACCGATCTTTTTTAGGGAGTAAACTTGACAGACTTGACTAAGTAATTGTATATCAAATTTTAATGACTTTATGGAGACAACTGCGATATTATACTTACATGGCATTGCTTATAGTTCACCTCATTATACTTATATGGGCTATCCCCAAAATTACGATGATTTTAAAAATCAATCGAAAAAAACCCTAATAGAGATAAAAATGCACAGTCTGCTGCATGTGACTTTAGAAATCATTGATATGTTCTTATTAAATTTCAAAATTAGTTGCAAAGTATGTCTACAAATATCAATTTGTTTTGAAAAGATAATGCTTTCTTCTACATGTCAGACTAATCTAACTGTAATGTTTGCATGGATGCCTTTTCATTTTGTCTTCAGACTCTGACACTTTGTTGATGCAAATGGTGGTCATTTTAAATGAAAATATTCTTTTACTGCTTTTCTCATTCAACAGTGCCATCTGTTGAAAAAGTTTGGAACTAATAAGATATTTTGTAACCATGCATTTTCGTCTCCTCCTTATTTTTCAAATAAATCGTAATTTTAAGGACACGAGGTAAAATAACTTTATTATTTGTGATTGGTGATAACGTTGACTCTTTGAATTATATAATAATTTTCTTTCTTTTTTAGAATCCTCCTTTGAAGCTTCAATTCCAACTAAAAAGTTAAATTGAGTGCCTTTGAACTAGTGCAGATGTTTTGAAAAATACATCTAGACAAGAAAGAATTGCATTACTGAATGATGTAAAAAGAAACATTTTTATTTATAATATTATTATTTAGATTGATCATAAAAAGGGTGTCCCAGAATTCAGGCAAGATATGGATTTTGTGCTATAAAACGTTGCTTTTAAGTTAAGTAGTATAAAATATATGAGAACAAGCCAACAACCACCTTGAAGATGAACATTGAGCAGTGTTACAACAAAACTTGGCAACATTTTTGCAAAATGGCTGTTAAAAATTTACACAAAAGAGTACATGTGTGTCATTAAAATCAGAGAGGCCACTTTCCTGATATGCTAATCCACACACATAACTTTGTACAGTGTATTTTATGAATCAAATAAAAAAAAATTCCAATTTTTTCTCAACCCTAATTTTACGGAACAATTATTTCTTCCATGAGTTTTTGAACACCCTGCATAAAATTTTAAATCGGAAGCCTCAAATCAAATGAATTGTATTTGGCATTCAAATGATTTTGAGAAAATAAAAACTAGTCTTCGTTCTCTAAAAGGTACCAATGAAACAATATGTATGGATTGTAAATATTTGTTAGTGTATTGAAACTATTTTGTGGTATATTATAATATTTGAGAACTGAAGGAAAGATTCTTATGCTGATAGTTTAAAAATATTCTAATATCTGTTCAGAAGAGTCTACAAATCTGAAGGGTAAAAAATTTAAAAATTGTACTTCATTTGTTCATTATATATATCTGTATGAAAATACATTTATGTACAATACACACATGTATAAAATACATACATGCAGGAAAATTAATGTTGGGTGTAATAGGGGGGTTAAATAGGGTGTAACAAAAAGCCTATGGTTGTAACTTGAGAAGATAAAACTTACCAAGCCAAATAATATAGATAGAGGGGTGGGATAAAAAAGATTGAGTCTGCGTCTTTTCTCCAGCTTTGATAAGTCTCTTAACTTTATTCTAATTCCTTGTGATGGGTCTAAAAATTGACATTAGAAAGCCTTAAATCCAATGCAATGACAAGTTAAATTTAAATTTGTATTGACACCTCATTTGATGCAAGTGAAGAAATTTGTTTTTATTGCAGGACTTGCTCTTTAAAGGTAAGCCATTCTATGGCAGTTAGTGAAGCAACCTGGTAAATTTACTTTAAAGTTGCTTTGAGAAAATAAAGTTGATATCTCCTCTTAAAATTTATTTTAGTTTACATTATTTGATCTTATATGGTCAGCAATATGTGTAGTTAAGTATCTTTAATTGTAAGATAAATGTTGTAACAACTTCTTTAATTTCAAGATAAATTCTGGAAAATTTACTACTATTAGGCTTTTATTAATTACATCTCACTTTTGTCTTAACTTTCAAAAATGTGATCATACAACATATACAGTTATATCATTCAATGTACAATTTTATTGTATTATGTTATGTTCTAATATCTATATTATGGTGCAGATGTTTTTTTTTTTTTTAAATTATTCCTGCCAATTGAGAATTGATTGTAAAAAGGTTTTATTAATTTTTTTTTTAATATTTTTATATAATATTTTTCTAAAAGTATTTTTTTATCTTATTATGAGATTCAAAGGTTGAACAAGATATTTTTTTCTCTTTTAAAATATGTACATTAGAAAGTATTGCTCTCTAAATAAATAAAGTTTTGTATTTTTTGTTTGTTGTAAACCTAAAGCAATCTTTGTGGCAATATGTGTGGAGCCAGATCTGCTATGGGAGATCGTTAAAGATGTCTTTATAAGGGACTAGGGTTTAATCCCTTGTGGTGACTCGAGGCCTACCCAGTTCCAGATTGATAAATAATTAGAAGACCTTGTCTTTGAAGTAAAGGCAGCTGTTGCGCAATACTGACTACATTGCCATTATCGTGCCATTGGACTAAAAATTGTGGAACCTTAACTTCCATGCTTTTCTTTACCCATAACAGTAAATTTTATTCTCTTTTTGTGTTTTAATTCCATTTTTCTAAGTGTTATTTAAGCTCCTTTTTTAAGGATGGATTTTAAAATCTTTTGAAAGATAAATTGCATTTTAAAAACATGTAATAAATACTTTTTCTAAAAATTTTATTCATAACATCGCAAATATAAGTTTCCGCATGGTGCTCCTAAAGTTGATTAAAATACACAATTGAAGGTGATTTTATTTGCTTAATTCCTGTAATTAGAATGGATTAAATTGGTTCTAAAACCATTCTGTCAATAAATAATTAACTTTACACCTTGTATATATAAATTGCTGAAAGAAAAATTACTAATTTGTTATCTGTTAGGAAACACTTGTTACTAAGTACACCCTATCAAATTTTTGTTTAAACCCATTTTAATACAATTTTCTTTTCTTAAAAATTGAGTGGTTTTATACAGTGGTTCCCAAAGTTTTGAGCCATTTGAAAAGGAATATTTAGTTACTCCATGGTTGTATTAAAAAAGAGAGTGAAGTGCATTTTTTGAAAGATCACCAATTCATAAATTTTTTCTTCATTTATCAATTCATAAAGTTTTATCACGGAATTTTCGCAACTTAACTGTTTCATATTATTTTTATATCATTCAATATTTTTGCTACTTAAATATAAATTCATCAACATGGTAATTTTGTATTTGAGACATTGCCACAGTCGTTAATTATCATTATTGCTAGTACTAGCGAAATTTTTTCTTCGTTAATGATTATCAGCAAGGCTAAAATGCTGATGATAAATGCATTTTTGTTTATTTCTTCCTTTACAGTTCATCATAATTTATGATTTTTTCATCATTTTTTTATGTTCCCCCCCTTTTTTAAAAATTATTTGAATTTTGAATGATATTTTTAAGGTAATTATTTGTAAATTAAGTTTTTTATTCATAAATTGGTATACATTTTGATTGAATCCTTGTTATTTTAAATATCTTTCAATAATAAGTGTTGATGTTGAACAGAGTTTTTCAAGAGCTAAAGAATTTATTTTTGGACAATAACAATATTTCAATTTGACGAAAATTGAAAATCATTTGAAAATCATGGCAATTTTAATGTTCTTGAACATTATAACTAAAAATTGAAAAATTCCTATTTACTAATATTTTATTTTATTTTTAAATTATATATTTTTTTTTATTATTACCTTGTTTTTTGTTACATTTATAAATACAATTTGTGATATGTGAAATTTTTTTTATAAAAAGAGCTAAAGTAAAACATTTTTTCAGAAACTTATAAAGACTTTTATTTTTCCTTTTGAATACATCTTTGAATACATCTTTGAAGGTTTTTAGACTTTTTGTTTTTAATGAATTTTCCAATCTTCAACATCCTAGCATAAAGTATCAGTAATACTCGGGAAATAGTTGTATTCTATGTGTATCGTTGTTAATAATGATCGTAATATTAACATTGTCGATGATTATTGTACATTTAATATTAATTGTAAGGCATGGTATTCTTTGCTACGTACTAAAACTGTTAAGGAAATGTGCGCCACACTTTGGGAACTACTAATTTAATGTATAAAATAAAGTATGCATAACAATATTAGTGCACCCATGGGTCAGGGAAAACCTGGAATTGTCAGGGAATTTTATTTTAACTCTAAAAAGTAGGGAATAATCAGGGAAAGCCTCCATTGGTTACGTGAAGTCTGGAAAATTCCTTTATCTGTAAAATAATCTGCCTTAGAATTGTCAGTAACAGTAATAAGTTATTGAGATTCGAGTTAAATAATTCTAACATTTATTACAATTCTGACATCTAATGAAACTTTTTCATGTCTCCATTCACTTACTATTTTATGTTTTTGCTCATAATATCTAATGCTTGACATTACGAACAAAAAACAAACAAACAAATGGATGAAAAATTTTATGGTATAGATAAAGTATGGCATGGATTTTCATTGAAATTTACCTGATATACCTGGTAAAGTCAGGAATTTTTTTTCTGAAATTAAGTGGGAACCCTGCGATATTTTATTGTAAATTTTTGTATACAAAATAAAAATTCTCATAATTTTATTTCTTATTTGAAACATTCACCTTGTTTTTCAAAGAATTCTTGTTTTTATGCTTATCTAGCTCTGTTTTTAACTGTGTTTGTGTTGTTTTTAGTTTGTCCCATATTGTATGGCTGTTGAGAATTTGTTTTGATTTTAAAAAAATTGCTGCAATTATTTTTCTTTTTATATATGTATGTCTGTTGATAGATAAATATTTGTTATTAGATAAAGGGAAAGAAAAGTGTTTGGAAACTCCGAAAGTACGTCAAGGTATAATTTTTAGATTGGAAAAATTTAAAAAAGAAAAATTTTTCTTTCTGAATAACTGTGCCATTATCTTATTAAAAACAAAATTGATTGGGACATAATATGGAAAATGCTTATTAACTTTGAAAAAAAAATGGCTACTAAATAAATCAAAGTTGATATTTTTTAAACTTTTTGAATGTAAAAATTATTTCTTGTTATCTTTTAGTGTTTCTTCTCCCTGTCATATGTCATTCATAGTTTATTTCTAAAAGTTAAAACTACAAGTTTACATTCTGATCTGTCTGTGTGAGATACGATACTGTGGTAAAAGAATGATCATTATAAAAAACAAAACAATAAAAATATATTTTATCTGTGCATAATGATGTTGCTTTAGTAGATGACATTTGAGAATAAAAACTGGTACTTTGGGATTATCCTGTCAATCCTCGTAAAAATGCACAAACCCTTGGCGCCATCGTTATGAAAAGCAATTTCCAAAATAAACATTTCAAACACATTAAATTTATCAAATAATAATAAAAAATTAATAACAAAAAATTTAAGTGTAAAAATACATCATAAGGAAGTGTAATAAAAAGAATCAAAACAAAGTAAAAACCTCTGTTTTTTTTTTATAATTACATATTGAATTATTCTTGGGGGATATTTCCGTATCCTGATCTGTCGTGCCAACTACAATAGCCAAGGTGCCAAATAAATTTTAAACTTGCAATTGAAAAGATAAATAAATAAAAGCCCATGTAGATGTTTGCTCGGCGGTGGCTACAAGTTATACCTTTCGAGCTGGTCCCTTTCTGTGATGTATTTCTTAGTGTCTCGCTCACGCTGCCCAGAAGTTGCCTAGACTTGGCGATAATTCTGCTACAGATCACGATTCGGAAATATCCCCCAAACAATTGCCTAGCTCTGTCTTCGGTGCTAAGCAAATCCCAAATTTGAATCATTTTGCAGTTGAGGAAAAAAAAAATGGTATATTTCAACACGCTAAAGAAAATTAATTCGCGTAGTCAATGATTTCACAGTATAATTTGCGTTTATTGGAGCGACGGGATAATCCCAAGGTACCACAAAACTATTTAAAGTGAGGCCACTGAAAAATTCTTTTGAACACATATCGATTGAACATATTCTTTAAGGTAATTAATGTCACTTAAAAGTAAAAAGTATGCAGTTATTTGTACATCACACTTTCGAATTACAAAACAATAGAAATTTCGCACATTTTGTGTTATTTAATAAATTTAAATTATAACTGGTTTTCAACTTACATACTTTTCTAAGTAAGTTTATTATTTATTTTACTGCACTTTTATTATTTATTTTGCGAACTATTTTACTGCATTAAATTACTTACATTTTAAATAAATCCTTGAACTAAATTTGTTTTGAATATGATTTGTTAAAACTTATTTTATCTTTTTCGATTTTAATACTATGGATTAATCACTTTACAAGAAAACATTTATAGAGATCGATAGATACGAGAAAACTATGAATGCGGGTTAGTTTAAAATATCAAAAAATGCCTTGGAAGTGTATTAAAAGTAATGGAAAATTAACAACTTTACATTAAGTATAAGTAAAACATAATTGAAAAAATTATGTATTTAATGTAATAAAAATTTAGAATGCAAAAGATGAATAAACTTATTTATTTAATTAAAATGGTTTGAAACTTCCGTTTGAACACACTCGTTTCTTCTCAATAGAACAATAAAATTTGGACCTTTGTTATAAATTGCTGTTAAATTTCGAGAAGTTAGCACAATTACAGAAAGCTCTTCAGTGTTTTAAAGACTTCGATAAGGCCGGGATAGCCTGGTCGATAGGGCACTGGACTCATATCCGAGAGTAAAGTGACTGATGCACGTTAAATCTGTCGAGTCGCAAAAGTCCTCAATGTTCCCATATCAAATCAATACCTCTGGGGGTACTGGATTGGAGATCGATCGTTCTCTGATTCAGGTCAAAATTACGATCTGTGGATGTATGAATGGGTGTGACTTTTGGTGTGGTAGAAGTCGAATTCTTGGCCATAGATGGCGCCCCTGGAAAACAAGAACAATCGCACCCCCTCTGCCTACACAGGCAGACGTCAATATAACAACAAAGACTTCAATGCCTTCCATAGATGCTAGCTTTGGTTGTGGTTCCGTTTTACTGTCTCCATCGGTATTACTTAATCAGCTTCTGCTAGCATTTTTGGAACTGACAGCAGCACCAGTTTACTTTAGTTGATATTGGTTTGCTAGACAGTTATAAAATTTTTAATGTAACTCAAATAGTTTTTTTTCTTCCAATTTTACATTTTGTTTTAAAACAAAGAACCCTGCATTGATTATTGAGGCTCCAAAGCAAGAAGTTGTGCGCTCCTAATTTAAGAACTCGATGTTTAAAAAAGATTAAATTCACTTAAAATTTCTGAACTAATAAGTATAATATTTTCTGCGAAGAGCTTAGCAATCATCTGAAACCTTATTTACGAATGGGCGTTGCTTATTTTGCTCTTTTTTTAGAGAAAAAAAAACTTCCTTTAATTGTCTACATCAGTGTATACTAGGATTAACTTTTGAATATGCTAACACAATTACATATTGTAGGTGCTTATCAGTTAACGCCATATTTTGTTTTAGTCAGTTTGTAATGGTTTATTTTGTAATAGGACTTTTTTTGGTTTGTAGAAAGACATTTTTCTTTTTAATGAGTAGAAGGATATTTTTCTTTTTAATTTGATTGTAACAGAAAAAAGTTGTGCACTAATATATGTTGATCATTGATCAAAACTTACAATTACGTTTGATAGTAAAATTATATAAGCTTTGAAAATTCTATTTTACTACCATGTTAAAAAATTAATTAGTTTTACAGATATTAGCAAAGTTTCTAAAGGGAACATATTTTCATTAAGTCTATGCGTGCTGCAGCGAAAATTTTCCCTTGACACACATGCCGTGAGTTGTGCATCTTAATTACCATTTTCATGCTTTGTAGTACATTTGTCTATCAAAATAAGTAACGATTTCTTGCGTATCGTCTTTTTTGTTGTTATTGTTAATTTTATGTGTTTTATTTCATATTATTTATTTAAAGTATATATATTTTTTAATAAATTTGTGTCTGCTTTATTTTCGCCTCAAAATTACAGGGAAATGTATCTATGGCAAATGGATACTGAATCAGAGATCCGAAATTCAGTTCATTTAAATTATTTGACATGTTCCTAAACCTAATCGTCTAGAAATACAATTTAACACCATCCATTTTTATTTCTTTTGAATTTAAAAAGTCACGGAAAATGTCTGAAGCACTTTGAACGGAATGTTCAACATGATTTTTGTCACCTTGATGAAATCCTAAACCATAACAACTGACAATTTGTCTCTTATATTGTTTTATTCAATAATCTTTAACGGTACTAAAAATTATATTTAAAAATCCCTCAACAAATTTACCAAATAGCTAAAATTAAAGTTAATTTTGTAAATAAATTTTTTTTTTTTTAAATGAGCCATTTGTTAGAATTGCTTGAAAAAAATAAATGTTTTTTAAAAGAAAAATTTTTACTTAGATTAAATTTAACTGAGTAAAATAAATTTTTTTTAATAGAAAATGATTTAGTTGATTCTTTTTTTTAAAAAATTATTTGAAACTGGAAATAAGTTTTATAAATAAGTTTAATTAAAATTAAAATTTTTCTCTTTTTTGATTTTGAACGTAATATAGTTTGTCTTAAATAAGAACTCCTCCAGACATTCGTCTGAACCTGTTGCGGTGACTATGGTAACGAGGTTATGACTATTTCAAGTAGGGGTGCGGGGTCCCTGTTTTGGAGTGGTTTCGAGTCTTCTTGGCGAGAGAAAGGGAATCTCTTCAGTCTATGGTGTTAGTCCTAGAGTGCAGCCACCCTCCTTAAAATGCGCCATTCTTGTTTCCATAGCACCAGGCGGCCCCAGACTTTGTGGTTGGAGGCGTTCTTAGCTCAGACAAACTATACATGTGTTGTAAAAAAAAAGAAAGAAATATCTGTAATAGTAAAATAATTCGTATAAACGTGAAAAGAACACAGGAAAAGAAGCAGTGGTTACTATATACAGATTTTTATTATTTAGCCATGTAAATGATGAAAGCCTTGATGATAATTCGAATGTCCACTATAATGTAATTTGACGTCAGCTGGTTCGTTGCCACTCAATCCAGGTTCATTAGATTTGACTTGAGCTCTGAAACCATTTTGGTCAGCTACATAATGAACTTCTCTCTGCACTCCTCTCTCGTCGGTGAAGCCGTAACTTCCCTGAACCTGACCGTGACCATCACCTCTTTCCTTTCGAAACTGCGCCGCCCCATGATCATCTTGGAAAGCATAGCCGAAGTTGTAAGGCAGGGGCTCCTCCAGCTGAAACAGAATCGAATAAAAATTTCATACACATTTAAACGTTTTCAAATATCCTCTATCTGTGAGTGTGGGGCGCCAAGCAAAATGTATGTAAATGAACTTGTATGACTTTTTTTTTATCTCTGAAAATTTTTTAAGAGTGAACTAACTATTTCTTTTTTTGTAATTTTTTAAACATTTTATGCTATTATTTCATTTTGATCATTACAAATTATCGTTTATTTGATGTATCAAGAGCAGGGAGTTCGGAATGGAGAAATTTGTATTTATTTTTTTAAATTCTTCATACTTTCTAATTCTGCGAATTTGATTTCTGTAAGTAGTTTCTAGAAATATATAAACTACTGGGTGCTTATCAATTATAGGGATGATGTGCTGTCGCCAAAACGAATTGTGTTCCGATAAGTACGAATTTTAATACCGTGATGCATTGTTAAATGTATCGGAAAATATGTTCCCGATTTAATTAATTTTTATTATTTTTTAATTCGTCAATGTTTTCGTCATACTAGTAAAATTTATCCGCACCCTCTGAATGGTGTTCAATAATTATCGTTACATCACGATATCTTTTTTATTTATGTTATCGTTTTTTTTTAAAACTTATTTGAAGTTTTTTCATTGTTCAGGTGGAGCAGGAAGTTATATTTGTAAATGTGTTAAATTTTCTAATATTTTAATATTTGCAAATATGTGATAAAATATGTACTTTTTGAATGTATACTCATTGGTTTTATTTGCGTCCAGTAATGGCAAAAAACCCAAGATTGTTTTATATAGGACATACTGTATATATAGACTTCTGTCTTTAGAAGCTATGTTATCAATCAATATGATTGATATAGTTAAGGAAGTTTCCGTATTTTTGCTGAAAATAAAATTAAGCCCGAAATTTTTATATTATTAAGAATTTTTTTTTTTAAATACTTGTAGGATGACCTGTGACGTCTTAGAAATGCAAGGTCTTGGTCAAGTCCACCTTGATTTTTTAGTAGACAACTGGATTTTGTCAGTTTCTCCTCGTTTTTTTTTTACATTTTAGAAAATACTCTAAAATTGAAATGTTCTTGGAAAAATTTTATTTCATTATTTTTCTTTATTATTGTGTACCTTTGTATACCTTTGATGGTAATATATTGTCACTAAATGATGTGAAAATCATTTATAGTTTAAAACTTAAAATTATAAATTTGTAACTATTTTTTTTAAAAATATAATTTTCATTTATTTTTTTCATTGAAAATTCTCTGCCTTTCAATCACTTCAAAAGTATTCATTTTTTCTTAACATAATAATTTTTAACATATGTATCAATTCAAAGTCACTGTTCTATACTAAAGTATAGTATTCAAAATAACGATTTTAAAATTGAAATAAATGTTAAGAAAAATTTCGCTTTTTAGTTCATTTTATAACAAAAGCAAGTTTTAAATATAACAGGATGTAGTCAATACTTACATGCTGACTAATGACTAGGCAGAAACAGCACAATGAGATGAATAGAAGAACCTGAAAATGACATTTTGAATATTAACAGATAAAAATATAAGTTGTACAAAAAAATTTATTTCACTTTTTTTAAAAATTTTTATAATACACAATGTTTTTTTTATTTATTTTAATTAATTTTAAAAGTATTTAGCTATCTGAGACATATTTTATAAGATTAATATGCTAATGAATAAAATGTCACTAATATCTATATTTATGAAAAGTAAGGTTTTACTATACTCGGAGATGCTCCTTAGACTATCGCCAACTTGTTCGCCAAGATTAGCAATGTTGTTTCATTTAAGGCAACATGCCCATAAACATGTAAATAAGGTATAAATCGATATTTCCTTGTTTACTGCTCATATTAAATTACATGAATTTACTTTTAACGTTACTTTTTTGTTTTATTTTGTTATAAAATGCATTTCATTTGGATTTTATGTTTTAATTATGTTGTTTTCGGCGCCAATTAAATGGCTGGATTTTACGCGTCTAATACCGGAGAAGAATAAAATAGGTATTCTGAGAATTCTGCTTAAAATAAAAATATAGTTTCAGTAGTTAAAAATTAAAAAAAAAAGAATAAAAAATTTATTATGAATAAAATGTTAGATGTACCTATTTAAAATATATCGATTTTTTGAATTTAAAAGCGAACAGTAATAAAATAGATACGGGTATAGTAAACGCGGCTTTATGCCTAATTTTTCCAGTTAATATGCATAAAAATAAATAAAATGAAACCAACATATAAACAGATGGAATAATGATAATGATTATTTTAAAATTAGTATTGATAATTCATTGTTCGAATTAAAGTTGACTTTTTTTTTTCTCGTAGCATTAACTAGATTTTGTAAGAGCCTCTCTCCAATTTAATGTGCACGTAATTTCTACAGACACAAAGTTCTTAATATTCTCTCTTTTAATTACAAGTGGGAATCGCTTTCTGATCGCCATCGTCCGTTAATCGCCGAAAATTCCTTCCAAGTTCTCATGCTTTTCTCCTTTCACTTAAGTTTTTCCCCAATTTATATGTCTTGATATTTTCTTATATTTAATAATGACTACGCCCGCTAGTATTTATTGATCCCCAATCCCTAAGCTTTAAAATTTAATCACTCCAAATAAATTTGAAGTTTAAACATTGTAAGATGCTTTGTTCATAATTTCGTTTGTGTTTTCTGAATAAAATAAGAGAAAATTATTTTTCTTAAACATGCCGGATGGTCAGCAAAATTTGCTAAATAGTGAAAACGTTTGAGAGGTAACAGCGGCCTCTCGTGACCTCTTATCTCAACACTCCTCTAGGGTCCAGCAGTGTCCTCTATTTTTAAAAACTTAATTCAGAATTTTAGATTTTTTTTTAAAATTGCGCATTCAAAAACCCGAATCTGATGTTTGAAATTAAAAATGAATTACTTCGTTTTGTTTGATCTGGGTTGAAACGAAAATTGGAAATTAACAAAAGGTATCAAATTTATACAACTTCTAAACTTTATTTACTTCATTTTGTTTTTGTATACAAAATATGTTTACTTCATTTTCTGTAGTAAAGTTAATTCTGTAAAAATTAAAAAAATAATTATCGGAATTTAATAGATCTATTCTAGTAGAATCGAAAAAAAATGTTTGAAATTTCTTACTCAAGAAATCGAATCAGTTCCTTTGTTAAATTTATTTACCTCATCTCATTTCACATCATCATTTCATTTCATCTACCTCATTTTCGTATTGCAAGGAATACTAAAATTCGTTTACATAATTATATTTGCAGACTAATTTTGTAAAATTTAAATAATATATACGGAATCTTATGAATATGTAATATGGAAATTTCTTACTCAAGCTATCAAATTTAATATCTTGACCAGGTTGAATAATTTTCTTCATTTTGATTTATATTACGAAACACACGTAAATATGTTCATATAGTAAAAACGATACTATGATTAATTCCGTAAAAAAATAAATAATATTAATGACATCCAAATAAATCTAAAAAAAAGTCAATATTCTAACAAATACTAAACTATGTTCGAAAAGTTGATGCTAAATTGCAAATAACTGCAAAATATAACCTATCTCCATGAAATCTAAATTAGAAAAATAATATAGAATGTTAAATATCTTTATACTATTTTATTTTTTTATTACAACAAATTATGAATGATTCTATAAAAATTAAATAATATAATGGAATCAAATTAAAAAAAACAACAATACGATAATATCGAATGATAAATTTATTTACAGCTACTATATTTACTATTATTATTATCATTACCAATTTAAATGTTAAGTTTATCTTTCTAATTTTTATTTTACGACAAATACATAAAATCGCATAGTAAAAATCTTATTATGAATAATTATATATATATAAAAAAAAAACAATTTTAATGGAATATAATTACATATTAATAAAAAACACTTCGATATTCGAATAAATATTAAAATATATTACATTAATTAAAGCTGCATAATAAATAACTCTTAATAATATCCATGAAATTTAAATTTAAAAATGTTAAATTTGTTTACTTCATTCTTTACTTAAGAAAAAACAGTAAAATATGTTCGGATAATAAACTCTGTATTATAAATATTTCTATAAAAATTAAATAATTTAAATATAATCTAAATATAAAAAAAAATAATTCCATGATGTACGATGCATTTATCGACTACTACTTTACTTCTATTATTAATTATTATTATTATTACCAACTCGAGTGTTAAATTGTTAAAATTATTTACTTTATTTTGTTGTTATATTACAACAAATATCAAAATATTATAATAATTGCTACAATGAAAATTATTTTGAAAAAATTAAATAATATGGATGGAATCCAAATAAATAAAAAACGACACGATATTTTAATTTAAAAAGAAGAAGAAAAGAAAAAATTCTTAAACATGGATGAAGGTGAGGAACATACCTTGTGGATCATTTTGTTGTTGTTTCTTATTGTTGTCATTACTAAGACAAGTGTTTGTCTTTTATATAAGGAGGGATAAATAAAGGAAGTGAGCGGCTCCGGGTACTTCAAAGCTTCCTTTTTTCTCGATTCATTGAGCTAATCGTTGGGTGACAACTTCCCTTCTTTCTTCAGGAAGTCTTATTCTTTTTAATTATTCTTTGTCAAGTGCATGCTTTGTCAAGTGTTCTCAAAGAACATTTTAACTAACGTAGAAGAAAAAATTAGATATTCTTCAGCATCATTGACGAGATAAAAAGAAAGTTAGGGGGGGGGCAATGAAAAAAAAGATAGCTCAGTTATTAAACTTACCTCTCCAAAACATGTCATTGTGTCAAAAATGTATCTTTACCATGTAAAAAAAAAATAATTAATAAATATTAATCACAATATTTCTTTAATTATGTTTATTTTTTACAATTTAACGTAGTAACGTACAAAATTTTTTTAAAATATGCCATAACGAAATTCGAATTTGATCGAAATCGGTCGAGCAGTTTTTGAGGCATATAAATTTAAAAATATAACTGTTTTGAAGATGGAATCTTAAAGAGCGATTTTTTTTTCAAATATTAGACTTTGAAAATTCTAAATTGAAGTTCTCTCTTGAAAAATCAACTACTTTTCTTCGTTCTTCTGTTTGTTCCGTAAAGTTTTATATTTTAAATTTCAATTATATTGTGCTGTAATCACCACCCGTCATAGATGTTTTTAAAATTCATGCGAAAATGATATCGGAAAATTATACTCATCAAGAATCCCAGATTATTATTTAAGTGAGGAATAAATTAAGTCTCTACTAAAATCGAACATATCACCAGTGAAGAATGGACTGAAAACCTTTAAAACCATCTTCAACTGTTTGATGCAGATTTGATTGTTAGAGGTATCCCTAACAATCATTCGAGCTCTTTGATAACTTAATTCCCATCTTTCCTCAGTTGCATTAAGGGAGCATTTTTATTTTTTTCACCTTTCAATTTTAATTTATTACCCTGAATGTAAATATTTTTTTAAATTTAATTTCAAACAAACATTCTAAAAACATACATTAAGAATGATCTTCGAAAGATCTCATAAAATAACGTTCATTTTTTTAGCGAATAATATACTATTCTTATAACTGTTGAGTTTGCAACAGTTAGTTATGATTGTTACGTTAGGCTTGGCCTCTCTTATAAAATAATAAATAAAATAAAATAAGCATATATAGAAGCATAGATAGAGTAATAAGCATAGATAGCATAGATAGAGCTATTTATGCTTATTTTGAGAATGTCTCAAAAAGTTACAATTTTGCGAAAATGAAAATCGTTTGTGAGCTAATTTTTTAATGTTGGATAAATTACTGGCTCATAATCATTGTCTAGGATCATAAATTGATATTCATTAAAGGATTTTAGTAATTTTTATTGAGTTGGGATTAGCCCACTAAATTTATGATTTTTTAAAAAGCCTAACAAATATATTTTTTAAATATTTAACATCTTTTTACGTAGCTCATTCACCAAGGAAAATAAGAAAATAAAATCAGTTTGAGCGCACTTGAGGCAAAGCTATAACTTTAAACTAAATATATCATCTTACCGTAAAGAATTATTTGAACTTTAGAACGCATAAATAACTTAAATATATCAACGTTGCCAACTCTTGAAACAACGTTGCGCAGCCTTCTTTTTGCTTGCTTTCTTAAAACTTATTGAATAAAAACTATTGTTTTGCTTTTCGTAAAATTAGAGTTTGCATAATATTTAAATAATACTCTCTGTTTGAATTTTAAGAAACTGATGAAAGAATAATAAATATTGTTTCATGCAGACGATTTTCTTTTACAGCGAAACAAAAGTAAAAATTCTTTATCTCTCATTTGATTTGTTAAGAACATGCCAGCATGAGATGCACCATTTTTAGTGGTTCCATAAAATCCAATATGACACGTCAAATAGTTGCTTCTTTTTCAAGAGTTCTTCTTATTTATCGCATTGTGCCGCCAAGACTAGGATTCCAGCAAAACTACGAAGCTATAATAATTTTTTTTTAATAATTCTATGATATATATCGTAAAATATAGCACGAATTAAATTTCGATTTTTAAAAGCTTTAATATTGTTTTGAAAGCATATTTGTATAATTTGATAAAAAAATAAATAAAATGGAACTATATGCAGTCGCGGAAGATTACTTAAATCCTATACCTCAATTGTCTCTTCTTAGCTTGCAACAGAGTATAAACCTTTTTTAAAAATCGCCAATTTGGGGAGATTTTCCACCTAGATTAAAATTATCAAAATCAATGAGTCAATTTTAATGTTTGCACATGTATATGATGCAGTGTTAGAATAACCTTTTTAGTGTTTAAAAATTAAATCGCAGACGCTTTTCGTTTTCACCCAACTGTGGTTTTTCTCCACAATGATGTTAAGCGACATTTTCAAAAGTAGTCTATACTCAGTTGCAAGTTAAGAAAAGACCATTGCGGTAGAGGATTTAAGTAATCATCCGCGCTTGCATATAGTTCCGTTTTATTCGATTATCAAATTATAAATTATATTTTCAAAACAATACACAATAGCTTTGAAAAGTTAAACTCGTCGGACAGAAATTTAATTCGTGCTATCTTTTACGAATATATCATAGAATTATTAAAAAAAAGATTATAGTCTCGTAGTCTTACTGGAATTCTAGACTAGGCGACATATTTTGATAAATAAGGAGAACATTCGTTCTTGAAAAAGAAGCAAGTATATGACGTTGCGAGAGCATTGGATTTGATTGGACCACTAGAAATGACGTGTCTTATGCTGACATGCCCAAATTAGATGTGAAATAAAGAATTTTCACTTTTATTTTGCTGTAGAAGAAAGTCATCTGCCAGAAACAATATTTATTATTCTTTCATCAGTGTGAACAGAAAAATGTACATTGTTACGATTTTTAGATACAATTTTATTAATTCTTATAACTTGTTAATTGATTATTCTTGTTAATAGTTGTTACTATTGTCATAATAAGAAAGCAAGCAAAAAGGAGGTTCTGTAACGTCGTTTCAAGAGTTCGCGACATTGATATACGTTCGTACTGGGAGCTTGGCATCCATTTGGCGTGCACTTAGATGCAAACAGGCTCCCTCCATAGGGATGTTTTTTTTTCAAAATTTGCTACAGAGTACAGACGACGCTGACTAAAGATATGCATGAACGAACAGTCATGGATAATTCGCATCAGTTACGAATTTTCTTTCTTTTTTTGCGTTATTTTATGGGTCACTCACGACAGAGCTTTTGAAACATGACTTTGAGCCCGAATAATTTTTTTACTGTAAGATGGTGTAATTAATTATAGCTTTGCACAGTGCTGACTTAAAATATCCTCAGTGGTAGAATGGTCATGGCTTAGAATCTCCTTGCCGTCATGCAACTGTGGGAGGTTTTGTGGTTTTTCTCTCCATAAAACGTAAATGAAAGTTAGTTCCACAAGAAAAAAAAAAAAAACTCCACGAAGGAAGGCAAATTTCTCCCAATGCTTCATTCAGGAGTTTCCTTGTCTTCTGGATTGGATTCAAAATTACAAGGCTACAATAGTCGTAAACCCAAAAATTGGGCCAGCTATTCAACCGACTATTATGAAATCACTTTCATGGTTCAACGCCATTTATAAAATAAAGTAAAAAAATTACTTTTATGGAGCCGAGAAGCATCAGTAGACTGAATGTTCTCCTTCCAATGAGGTGGCAAATATTCGAATCGCAGTGAAATGAAAAACATCTTTAAAGCAAACTAAGTTAGACAACGTTAAAGAGCACAAAAATATTATTTATTTTTGTGCTCTTTACAATATTTTTGTGCTCTTTAACGTTGTCTAACTTAGTTTGTATTTTAGCACAAAGGTCGCCCACTTGTGTATTTACATCTTTAAAGGTTAACGTTGTACAATACCCTGCATTATTTCAGAGAGTGAATTTAAACTTTCTAAATTACCATATTTTAAAATACTTTTATAGTTCGACCCTGGTTATAAAATTAAAAATAAAAAACACTTTTTGTACCGAGGTAGCTCAGGGCATTAAGCGTTCACCTTTTAGCGGTGTCTGGTTGATATGAATTCTGCACTTGGCTCACGCTGACCACAGTGCTGACGTAAAATATCCTTAGTGGTAGACGAATCATGGGTTAAAATCCCTGTGCTGTCGGACTAACTATTGGAGTAACGTAAATGCCGTTTAATTCCATTAAAAAGTCCTCCATGAAGGCTAGTTTGTCCCACTGCTCGATACAGGTGTTCCCTTGACTTCTGGGGTTTGTTCAAAATAACAAAGGCTACGTAGTTTTACATTGATAGTCGTACACTTAGAATTGGGGTGGCTGCTCAAAGCCAGTTGTAAAATAAAACGAAATAAAATTACTTTGATGCACGCAATAATGAAATACACATACTTATATTTTAGACGTGTCCTCCGTGTCTTTCACCAAACTTAAAATATGAATAGTTCTTTTTGTTGGATTTCTTATTCGCTCGACCTTTTGGCGTTCTGCTTTCAACGACTTGATCCTGTTCATCGTCTTCGTAACTTTCTTTCTCTTCTTCGTTTGTTTTCTTTTCTTCTTGCTCGTGCTTGTGTTCCTTATCGTGGCTATAATCGTGCACCGTATCGTACTCAGAGAGGAGCAGGACATTAGCCGGACTGTCGTTTGCCGTACCGGGTTCATTCGTTTTTATTTCAGCTCGAAATCCGTTCTGGTCAGCTATGTAGTGAACTTCTCGGAATATACCATCAGGTCCGAGGTAACCGTAACTACCTCTCACTGTTCCGTCCTGATCCCTTTCTTCTTTCTTGTAATGAGATGACTGACCATCTTTCACATCGTAGCCATAATGGTAGGGTGATGGATTAGACTGAAATAAGAGATTCTAATTAATTTTTTTTGTGGGAAATGCTTTTTTTTCAATATTTTAAAAACTATAAATGTTCAAGAGGAGTTGAGAGTTATCAGGCATTCCATTAAGTATTGTTTTTCCTTCCACATTTTGGGAGATTATTTGGTTCTTTCTCCAAGGAAAATAAAAAAAAAAGTCACAGTTTAATACCACAAGCAAAGCATTATTTTGTTATTTGGTAAAACTTCATTTGCTTCAAAATTATTTTCGCCCTACCGACGGAGAAACTGTTCATGGCAAATTCTGTTTCACCTCTACTTGTATTTTTAAGTAAATAAGTGCGCTCGGACTAACATAGAGTAAACCACAGAGTTTCAAACGCTGAAACGCTTTTCAACAAAGGATTGCACAGGATTATTCCCTACTGAGTAATCCTGCCATAATTTGTTTGTATTTGGATACTTTTAAGAACTATTTTAAGCACTTGGAACTCCATGGTCTACTCAGCGTTATTCTGAATATGAATATACTTATTCCTTAATTTAAATTTTTAAATACCAATGGAAGTGAAACAGAATTTGCAGAGAAGGTTTTCTTACGCTTTCTAGCGCCCTCTTAAGGTGAAAAAAGTCAACTCATTTCACGCAAAGCACTCACGAAAAATAAATAAATAAATAAAAAGAAGTTAAAAGGTACGGTACTTTTGTCGCACAAAGCTGCACAGTAGGCTAGTGACGACGGTCTGGGAAACATTTCTGAGGACAACATACATAAGTCATATCCCGTTTTACAGGGAGGACACATTCACACATCATCCATCCATCCGCAGATCGTCGACCTGTACCAGAGCACAATCAATCTCCGGTCCACTCCCCCATTGGCATCGATTTGTTATGGGAACTTGGAGGACTTTGTGACAATCCCGTTTTGTACTCGGGGAGTCTTCAGCAGGCGGGGATCGAACTCACTGCCTCTCGGGCATGGGCCCAATGCCCTACCAGCCAGGCTATACCAACCTTTAAAAAGAGAGTTAAGACAACTATTTTGTTTGAACTTCCCTGCTCTTTCACTCTGTGGCTGCTGTTTTGAGAATGTTAAGGAACCTTAAAAATAAGAGTTCAGGAAATGAACGGAGGGGATTTATTGAAAAACCTGTAGAGTCATTAACTCTGCAAGTTTTGAAGGGTTTTTAACTTACCACCAGAAACTACAGTTTCATGAATTTCCCACACTCTTCCCATAGACGTTGCAAAAACATTCTGAGGATAGAGCAATCTCAGAACAACATGGACGTCTGGTGTGTCTTGAGAATGAGTACCTTGTTTTGAACGCTTGAAACACGTCGAAACAAATGAAGTTTTTTCCATCGACAAGTATATCTTACCGTTTAGTTTCTTGGGATTATTCATTGGATTTAATGTATAGAATTATCGCTAGGCTTTCGAACAGACAAGTAGCTTTTATGTTTTTGAAAGAAATGTTAAACTTTTTTCCTAATTAAGCAAGATTTTGCAATCTAGGTGAGACTGCCAGTTGGCCGAGTGGTTAAATTGCCTAACTGCGAAGACAATGAGACTGATGGTTCGAATCCCGCTCAGGGCATGGATATTTCTATATGTATTTTTTCTTCTGTTGTATGTGATGTGTGAATGCGGTACGGATGGAATGTGGTGGGGATGTGTGAATGTGGTACCTTATGAACGGGTATTTGTGGTGTGGGCAACGTTGCTCGACTCCTTTTTGAAATCCTTCTTTGGTTCGCAGGTGCCCACCGGGTAACGATAAATGAGCAACATTTCCGGCATTTTCTAAGGCGAAGAACGAAAGTTCAGTGCCTGTCGTTATTAAAAAAATCTAGATGAAAATTATTCAAATTAATTAAAAAATTCTCAATTCTGAGTCTAGATAATCCTGTTATAGAGTAACACGAAAAGAAGAAAACGCTTTCACAAAACTGTTTGGCTTTTCTTCCTCTTTAACTGCATTTTCATAATTAGTGTAGAGGACACACTAGTTTACTTGTGTTTAGTCTGCTAAAAATTACGTTTCTTAATAGACTAAAAAACGTAGTATGACTTTTCTAATTAACTTTTATAGCTATCGAAAATCTTCCATCCCAAAGTTTTTCAAAAGTGATGCGCTTTACTATCTCCTCATTAGTCTACTTGAAAAATGCAGTTTTTTTCTTAATTCATTCAGAATATTTAATCATTAATGTCTGTATTATTAATGATTATGATTCATCTTTTATTTCCTTTTTACACTTTAAAAGAGCAGAGAAATAAAATTTTAAATATACGACTTTTTTTTAAAATGTGATAACACAGAAACTAATCCACCGATTTGGCCAAAAGTTTGCATTTAGTCATTTAAAATCAGATTCTTGAAAATGAAAAATCTTATACCATACAATTCAAAATGCTTTGAACTGTTTATAAATAAAATAATAAAAATAGTAATTGTTTAGTTTTTTCTTCAGGGAATTCTCGTTGAGAAAACGAATTTTATAATTATGTTCAAATTTTTTTTAATTTACTTAGAAAGTTCTCGAAATATGGCGAAATCCTAAAAAAGTAAAATTAACATTAATGGTCCAGCATTTTAAAAATTAAAAATCCAAATTCATCAATAAAAGTACGTTTATGAAGTGAAATAGCATGTTTATGTCGGATACCGTTACTTAAAGTATTGTCTACACTAAGTAATTAATATATTTAAGGTTAGAACATGGAGATTGTGTCCTAGTATGTGAAAACTCTGCTCACTAAGCTAATCAGAGTGTTTAATTTTTCGTTTGCGCTCTGTACATAAAAACTATCATTAAAAAGATAAAAAGCAACCAGCTTACTTGTTTTGTTCCTTCTGCATGGTACACTATGAATGGAATTAATAAGAAAAGACTAGACAACAACACCTAGAAATATACAATAAAATTCTTATATATAGACATCAGAAAAAATAATTTCAACCAGTTTGAAGAATAACTTAAGTAAAGAAAAAAAACTGAAACAACAGTCTCTTGTCGACCAAGAAGGTTTAAGGCTCAGAAATTGTGTACTCAGGCAAGATGGTGGCATAGTGATTAAGGAGCACCAGACACATTTTCGATTTTTGCTCGAAGATTCTTTGATTTTTTTTATACGGGGATAAGTAATATCGAATAAACAATTGTTTGGACTCTTTGTTGCTTGTTTTTAGTCCTTATGTTTTTCTTGCAACTTATAATTTATCGCTTTAGCCAACTGACCAAAATCAAATCTTTTTTTTTTTGGCCAACAGATTATCCTCTTGCAATAGAGAAAATATAGTACATTAAGAGTCATCAAAAACAGAGTTTACAATGAAATAGAATCAGAATAAGATAGATTGCAAAATGGAACATGACTGACGAAATTTTTTTTAAACTTTTCGCTAGTTCCATTCCGTTACAGGTAAGTTCTTCAAATTTGTTCAACGTTTTATTTCCAATACAATATCAATAAACTGAATCAAGTTTCTAAGAGCTAAGGAAATAGATTCCCGATAGCAAGAATGAAATAATTTTTATGAAATAATTTTTTTAAGCGATTCGTTTCATAATGTTTATAATAATGGATTTTTAAGAATTTCATTTATTTATTATTTGAAAAACTAACAATGTGATATTTAATTTAACAAACCTGGCCGGATATTAAGTATACATTTATTGGAATCTTTTAAAATGCATTTCATAAATATATTTTAAAATACATATATTTATTTGACTGATTCGAAAAAGTAAGTCAAAAAGCCATAAACTTTGTAGAATAAAGTAGATCTAAAGATGTACTTCATTTGTTTCAATAAAAGAAATAAACTATTTTGTTATATTATTATTCTTACAAAATGTAACTTTTTTCCATCAATATATTATTGATTTAACAATTTTATTCCTAGTTAGGCTAGCTAATTAATAAAGTTGGCTTATAAATAAAATAACTAATGAATTAGTTTTTTTATTTATAAGTTAATGAGTCAGCACTCTAGAAATGTCCAAAATTTTACATTGTTTTGAATAATGACAGTAAGCAGCAAGTTAGGCAAAAATTTAGAATTTGAAACAAATCTTTTTTTCTTTAATATCGAGATATAATCAAAAATTATTTACACAAGTTCAGCGTTCAATTTAAGCGTCGTTTATGCAGTTTTTCAAAGTCTTTTAATTGTAGAAATTGCTGTGTGTTAAAAAATGAAGATAAAGTTTCTGTAGTGAGTAATTAAATTGATAATTTTTTTCTTCAAATTTGTGCATCATTCGCTTTTAATACTAAACAAACTGTATTTATCTATTCAATTCCATACTTATTTTTCTTTAAAGACATTCGAGAGGTTTTTTGAAAATGGCTAAGTGGGATTTTATCTGTGCATGCGCACGCGTGCGTTTATAAGCGAGAGTTCCTTTTCTCTCTCTCTCTCACACCAAATCTGAAAGTGGAAGAAATTTCTGGTGATAAAAATGCGATGAATTCTTCTCGCACCATTTAAAAAACGATATTAAGTTGGATTAGCATCAGATGCTAGTTTAAATTTGAGAACAAAATTTGTCGGAAAGAAAACGAAATTTTGATGGACATTTAGTTCTGTTAGGAGTTGAAAAAAATTAGAAAAATTCTCTCATAGCTGTTCAGAGAATAAATAATATTTATGTTGCCCTTATGAAATCCAAGGCAGAACTCTTGTTAACTAGTCAGAAAGGGGTCAAAGTTTTAAATAACTATAAAATCTCAGACGTTATGTTAGAGATAAATTTTTCTTGTGGTTTTCAAGGAAAAATTAAAACTTATATTTTTCTCAGACGCAGAGCTGCAGTTAAAATTTCAGTACTTAAGCTAGTTGGAAAGTGGTCGAAAATTTTGATTAACGAAAAGTTCTAATACGGTGATAAAATGAGGATAAACTCTCTCTGTAACAATGATACCATTGAAACGTTCATTTTCATCAGACATAGAGCTATTAAAGATATTTGAGTGCACTGGCTAGTCAGAAAAGGATAGAAATTTCGATAGAAAAATTTCGTCATAACAAATACTTAAGTAAGTTAATGAAAACGCAGTAAAAATAACAAAAAGTTTTTATAAACTTGTAAATTTATTTATAAAGTTAGCTTTTCTTTCCTTAAATAATGGTAATAATTGGATTGGCTCTGTCAAAGCGATTCGCATTGATTGCAGAATTGATTACTTTTTATAGAAATTCTGAAATTAAAATAAATAAGTGATAAAAATACCACCATTATAATAAATAAGAAAGTTATTTTTTTTAACAGTTTTAAAAGTTCTACGGTGATCAAAAATCTTTCCTTTTGCGATATCCCTAGGATAAAATCACTAAGGGCACTTTTTTTTTAGAATTAATCTTCTAATCTATCTCGTCAAATTACTCTTATTTAATAAGGATTTGGGTTCAATCTGATATACCGACTTTTCTCCATTTTGATATTTTTTTATACGTCTGCCATTCATGTTTGAATACATTGAAATCATAAGTCTAAGAGGCGATCAAGGTTAAGTAACGAATCGTGAAAAGTGTTTGCCGAAAACAGAGTGAGAGATAGGCGCTACGATTCACTGGCGAAATTTTATCGCGGTTGATGGTTCAAAAAGATGGTTTTAGAAAGGATTATACCTCTGTTGATATACTGAAATATACAGAAAAACTTGTGCTTTTTTAATAAGGTGGTTTCCAGTGGTTGGCCTGGTTGGTAGGGCATTGGACTCGTGTTCGTGAGAACGGGAGTTCGAAGTTCCTTGTCTTCTGGATTGGGTTCAAAATCTCAAGGCTACGGAGTTGAACATTAGTAGTCGTAAGCCCTAAATTGGGTCGGCTGTTCAATGATGGTTATAAAAAAAAATTAAGGTGGCTCAGGGTATAGAGTGCTCGTTTTCCAATGAGATGAAACGGGTCCGAATCCCTGCAATGACGGGTTGTTTCTAATTCAGCACCCGGCTCACACCGACCATAGTGCTGACGTAAAAATATCTTTAGTGGTTGATGGATAATGGGTTATAAGAGTCTTCTTGCAGTCAGGCTTACTGTGGGAGGTTTTCGTGGTTTTCCTCTCCATGTAGCGCAAATACGGGTTAGTTTCTTCAAAAAGTCCTCCACGATGGCAAATATCTCCTGGTACTTGATTCAGGAGTTCCCTTGTCTTTTGGATTGGGATCAAAATTACAAAGATGCGGAGTTAAACATTGCTAGTCGTCAACTGAAAATTCGGTTGGCTGTTCAACGATGGTTGTAAAATGATAAAATAAAATAACATTTCTTTAAAACAGTTTTTTTTTAAACTTTATTTAGAGCGAGTTTCCCTTCGTCCACTCGGTACAGTATTAAAATATTTTTGACAACTTCTCGAGCGCTTAAAATGTTGTACACGTCAAAATGTTTTCCACATCTTAAATCCCTTTCATATCGGCAAGGATGGATTCTTGCAACTGACATTAGGCCTTTTTTTAAAAATTCTTTTAAAATTTCATTTAACGTTTCTTAATACTATTTCTTAACAATTTGACGTCTTTTTACGGCCAAATAGAATTTATCAGCAATTATAATTTCTACCACGATCTGACAAGTTAAACGTGTTCAAAACTGAGCTGAAGCTCCGAAACAATAAAGATTTCATTCGTTTACTGAATTTTATTATTGTTATCATCCCTTTATTGCCGAGTAGATTTTATCGAAATTACGATCACTTTCCGTAAAGAAACTAACAAGACTTAAAACTAAAAAGAAGAAATTAATTAAAAAAGATATCTTAGAAAAAAGAGAAAATAATTTTATTTTTGTCAAACCTAAAATGAGAGGTGAAGGGCACTTTAAAATAATGTCAGGATTAAAAACTAGTATTTTGTCTTTTCCTTATGTTAGAATCAAGTTATGGAACAAGTTTTATCTTTATTTGAATTTGGAAAGTTATTCTCGTTTTAGCTATTGTTATTAATCTAAAATTAAAAACGAAAAATGTTTTATTTCTTAATGTGATTCGTTTTTTTCGGATTTCGTTGACGGTGCCTTGTTTGTACGTGGTTTGACAGTCAATAGCATAGTTTTGGGGTGGGTTTGGGGAACAAACCCCCCTCCGAAATTATATATTACTTAATTAATAAATATATAATTTCGGAAGGGGAGAACATGTAATCTACCGTAAGCTAATGTAATGCTTACGAGACGATGTGTGAACAGGCTTAATATTCTATAAGTATAACGTAAGCGGAGTGATACACCGGAGATTTTCTAAATAACTTCAGATTTAAGGAGGCTTATTATTGTTTACATTCAGTCAACCATTCATATATATATATATATAGTTTAAGATAATTTTATTATTATTATTTGTGTCATATTTCAAAAAAAAAAATGCCCAATGAGGAAATACTGTAAATTGTATTTAAAAACGTGATTTAAGCCCAGTATGACTATCTGAATTCTGCTCTCTCCTCTCCAAAGTGAACCCAGTGGTTGGAAAAACTACATTATTTTTGTAGTTAACTACAAGTACAACTATTTAATTACAAATGTAGATAACTACAACTACGGCTACTTTTTTTAATGTAGCGACTACGAACTACTTTGCAGATGTAGCCACTATTTCAACTACTTTTAGAAGACGAACTTGGGTAGAGAATTTAATTTATACCCATTTTCAAAATAGTTCGGAACAAAAAAATTGGCTTATTCAAACGTGATCAATCATCAAGAAATATTTATTCGCGTTCACATGAGTCAGTTTGTTTAACCATTTTTTTACGAATGGGTTCTTTTATTTTTCAACTTTTTAAGCTCGAACGACTTTCGACAATGAATATTAAATTTAACAAACGCTAGGGGGGTTGATCAAAAGGGAATTATTTAAATTATTGTTAACAGATGGTGATAAAGATTTACAATAGAGTGCTCGATTTATTTTGACAATTTTTCATGCTTTTTACAGAAAACAGGAAAAAGGACAAAAGTGAAATTTCTTAATAATTAAAAATATCCAAATAGAAACAATAGTGAGATGAAAAATATTATGTGCAATAAACTGTTTTTATTCTAATGGAGATGATGAATAAAATATATAAGTGACGGACACTGTATTCTATTTATGTTTATTTAATTGCCTATCTGACAGAATCGAATTAACGAAACCTTCGATAAGACAAAGTGTGTGTATAAATAAGCATGAATAGGTGAAAAAAATAAAGGTTTCCATACATAAGCAGTACATAACTAATACTTGCTTGTCAGAAAATGCATATTTCTGCATATTTTTTTCGCATTGAAATAATTGAAATCTGTCCGAACTTAGTTGATAGTTGACTGAACTTATGTGAAGAAATTATAATTTTTGACCTTTTTACGCATAGAATCTTTCAAAACTATTAAGTTTTATCTACTTTGGTTTCGATCTTATTTGATTTAATGTGAAAAAACACACAGGGATCAATATTTTTTGTATTTAGACATAGATTAATAGAGAAAATAGGTATAAGTTTAAAAATTTACTGTTTCAAAATTATTAACTGAATTTTAAAAAAGTCGATATTTAAAATTTAATTTCTCAGGAGTTACTTAACCGATTTCGCTCAAGTTTTGTATTTTGCTATTTAAAACTAGATGCTTTATAACTATTTTAAAAATTTATATACCTTGCAATTCGAAAGTTTTACGACTGTTTTTAAATAAATAATAAAACAAGGTAAATATTAAAAAAAATTATTTATTGCATGAAGTATCTTTGGATAAACGAATTTTAAAATTGTTTGCAATAAACTTCTCGAGACATGGAAAAATAGGCAAAAAATAAAATTAACATTAGAAGATCCATACTTTGGATCGCCTTCCTGACTCAACTATGGGAACCATATTTCCCAGTTTTACGACTTCCCACTATATTTTCGGGGACAGAAATCCGAATCCGCTGAAAAAAAGGTACGTTATGTTTATTCAGAGGAAGTACGATATTTTAGGTCACCCTCTCAAACCATTAAAACGAAATTCTAATAATGTTTGTTTTGGCTCACTGTACGTCTTATGAAATTATTACAGCTCACTAATTCTATAAGAAAGAACCTCTTTTAGAATTTAGATTCATTCTATTGATCCTCTGAAATCATTTCAAAAATATGTATATTATAATGCAATTTTAAGAAAATTCCTCTTTAATTGGAATCTCGTTTACCACATATGGCTCACAGACCCCCTATATGGCATTCCTTACTTATGCGTATTTGACTTGCATTCGGCCATATGTATGCGTATTCGACATGCCTTATCCACAACAATAAAGAAGAAATATTTGTAATGTTTCTACTATACTTTAAAAGAAATACAACTATTTTTGTATGTAATGAAAAGTGTGGGAAAACTCACCCTTGTGAACATTTCGGATGACAGTTTTTGTTAAACTGGTTTAAAACATTTTTCCCACACGGTTTATAACTTAAATAGAAAATAATGCATCGAATACAAGATAAAAGGATTTGTAGTCATTTAACGGATTTATTTGTATCCCTTCGAGCCAAAGGAAAAAAATTATTTCACTTATGGCGAATAGTGCACCTTTGCAAGAAGAGAGAAGCCTCAAACCCAGAGGCAATTATGCATATTTGTTACAAAGTTAGTATCAAACAAATTTAGAATTCTTAATATTTTGCTAATGGCAAATAGTTGTTGATCTCCTATAAAAATTCTATTTAAAGTTACTATTGTTTTTATGAAATTTTATTTCCTCTCAGTTCTTAGAGAGCAGGAAATCTGATGATTGGATTGATAAGGCACAGAAGAATGAATTTATTTCCTTTAAACTCTCATTTTGTCTTAAAAAAGCACATTTTCTTCAACACGATTAAGTTAAAACTTTGATTGCAATGAATTAAATTTAATTAGACGAGCAATTATATATATATA